TATGTCGTCTGGAGAGCAACGAATTTGACGAGTCTCGATTGGCCTCCACGAGTGCAATCGCGCCGAGTGTAAAGCGCAACTCGCGAGGCGGCCTCGACACCTCGGAAACAAAGCAACCGATGTCACCTTGAAAGCTGAAAAGATGAGACATGTACGTTTGGGAACTGTCACGGGAAATTTCACAAAGTCAGCCTCCAGCTTCAAGCATTCAAGCAGAACGAGGCAACATCGGCCTCAGCTCCGAAGTGTCGCTGTTGTACTCCGCGCGAACTTTTATTGTCTTTGCAACCGTGCACCTATCTATCCACAAGGTGGCCGTGAATTAACGCGCTTGCGCCGCGTAGCGAAAATTTCCTGGCTAAATTGAAGTCGATCTTCCACACGAGAATCGCGTGTAATTGAAAGTTGAAGCCTCTTGCGCGAATTAAACTCACGGGCCCCGTCGAAGGACAATGAATCTCATTTCTGAATTTTTGAATTAATTTCGCCCGGGTTTGCTCACTTGAGCGGTAGAGGAGTTTCCAACTCGCGATCGCCTCGGTAACGCTATTTTTTCATTAACGAAAGGTCGGCTTCGATTTCGAATCGAGGCAAGCTCGGTTACGCGGAAACATGCGCGCCAGTTTATGGCCACCCCATCTACATCTCAACGTGCAAGATCTCTAGAGGTTTAATTAGCACTCACTCATTTATGATTTGTACGATACTTGAGCTTCTTACGTCTCATTTCTCTACACTGTGTGGTATTTAGTACGTATTCCTATCGATTACTCGCCACCAATCATCTCGTTTGATTTCACCGATGTCGAGTTAACGTTATCGCGCCTCACATCATGTTCGTCATGCGTGCTCCACCCTCGTACAAGATTCATTCTCTTCTTTCCATCACATTTTGCTCTCTTTATCTCTCTCTCTTTCTCTCTCTTTCTCTCTCTCTCTCTCTCTCTTTATCTCTTTATCTCTCTCTCTCTCTCTTTATATCTCTCTCTCTCTCTCACTCTCTCACTCTCTCTCTCTCTCTCTCTCTCTCTCTCTCTCTCACTCTCTCACTCTCTCACTCTCTCACTCACTCTCTCACTCTCTCACTCTCTCACTCTCTCTCTCTCTCTCACTCTCTCTGTCACTCTTTCTCACTCTCTCTTCTCTTTCCCTTCTCTGTTTCTCTCTTGTGTATATATTCACCCATCGGAGACACACATTTTTTGACCGGTATTTGTACATGTATATATATTTATATTTATATACTTATATATTTATACATACATATACACTCTCCTTCTCTCTCTTTCTCTTCCTCCCTCTTCTCTATATCTATCTGTCTATATCATCTATCTCTCTATATATCTCTATCTATCTATATAAGTCTGAGTCCGTTACTATATTGCCTTACTATAAGGATTGGACTGAAGGTTTTCTCTGTGTATTATTTGATTGGCCGATATATTCTTTCTGTATTTTTATAAATATATATATATATATATATATATATATACCATCCCAAATATATATATATATATTTCTTTTTTTATTTTTCCTTTGTTTCACAACTAGCAGAATATTAATTAAGCACGTTCTGTACGTACGTATAGCATGCGGCATGTTTGTACGTTACGTGTAAGTGTAAGATACTAATGTGTGTGAGGGTGTGTGTGTGTGCGCGCGCGCGCGCGCGCTCTTGTGTGGACAAGCATGAAACTACAAAACTCTGCATGGTAAGACGTCCCGCCGCGAATTTTCCTTTTTCTCTTCTTTTTTTACACGCGCTTACCTCCGAATGCATGTTGTTGTATTCTGCGTAAGTTTTCCGTTTTACCTCGAAACGGAAGATCGGCGTCATTTGTGCGGGCATCGACGAGCGTACTCTCGTGCTAATTCGTAAACGGCGATTCGGTAAGAAAACGATCTTGCTTCTGTCTTTCCACTTTCTCTATCTTTCTGTGTAACTGTGCGACTCACACTTTTGCGCACCTCGATCATCGGCATGAGCACAGCAACAACAATTTTCATCGATATGTTTTGCGAGACTTTTGTTTTAATCAAGAAACGTCACTAGAGCAGCGACCACACACGTGAGGACACAGGATGTTCGGCGGCAGGCCATTTTGGTGGCTTCATCCAAAACTAACGAGCGTACAACTCTTTTTCTCAATCAAATCTCTCGCGATGGTAACGGTTTTGGAGCTGTGGCTGATTAAAACTGGAGAAAGAAACTAGACTCTTCAAGTAATACTTGGGATAAAGAACGTTCTTATCGCAACGGAATCAAGCGCGCAAACAATCGTCTCGCCACGAGAGATACACGAAGAATACTTTTTCGACAACCAAATACGCCCGTCGTCGAACATCCCGCACGCATTTATCTTCGTTTGCGCTGTCACAATTCATCTACCCGAGTTTCGTGAAAATATGACGGCTTTTTTGCACTTGATGTTACAAGAACCACGTCACTTCGGAGCATCCATTCTCCTTACGCGACAGTAGCCTTTCACATCGCGAATTTTCCGCCGCGAATAGACCACACGCTCTCGGGACTGTTATTGGTTCTGTCCGATTTGATTTGCTCGCAACTATATTTTTCTCGGACCTCGGCCTCCGGCCGATTCACAGTCAGTTCGATCGAATTTCGAAGCGATACCCGTCGATGCCCGAACGATGCGCCAAGCGCGATACGCAGCTTCCTCGTGCGGAGGTCGGCGAGATCGAACGTCGATCACGGACGACAGGCGAATATCGTACGGAGTATAACGCCAATCGGGCGTAATATCGCACCTGCGTGACAGCGCGATATTTTCCAATGACAGGATATATTATAATATATTGCACAGGATATTGATCGATGGATCGACTATAACGTATCGGCGTGATCAACGATAATGGAATAATGCCTGAATAATCGCTCGCACAATCTGGCGAAGAGATTTTCATCAAGTACGATAGTCGTCATTTCTTCGACGAGTCTTCTTTTTCTCATTGGAAAATCTCGCACTGCCGGCCTATTTCACAGCACGTCCAAGAAACACGGTGGAGGGTGTATCCGTGGACTTTTGTATAGTTTCCTGATTCATTTGCGAACACGTGATCGCGTCGACGACCTTGCGGCGAAATAGAAGAGCGACGTACTGCGTTTTCTTTTCTCTCTCGCGCGCGCGCGCGGTGGCCTCTGACCTCTCGGATTTTTGATTTTTGGTTTCTCTGTTTTTTTTTTAAGTTGACTAATACCGGACAGCAATCGATGCCAAATGTAAAAGAGCCCCAAACGAGTACTGACTTGTAACACGCACAACGCACGCACAAAACGTATAACCGACCGCAGGTAATTATCTAACGGAATTAATAATATTTACGTATTATCTCTTATACGGTTGTGTGTCTTTTTGTTTCGTTCACTTGTTGCGATTCACGACTCATCATTGCGCTCTCTCTCTCTCTCTCTCTCTCTCTCTCTCTCTCTCTCTCTCTCTCTCTCTCTCTCTCTCTCTCTCTGTATCTTCGTCTATCTCTGTCTCTTTCACTCTCTCTCTCTCTCTCTCTCTCTCTCTCTCTCTCTCTCTCTCTCTCTCTCTCTCTCTCTCTCTCTCTGTGTGTGTCTCTATATCTTATCCATCTCGCGCTCTCGTCTTCTCTTTCCTTTACTTTACTTTCTTCGTTCACCATTCCGCGTTTCCGTAAAATGCGCTCATGTCTCTTATCATTCACCCTCACACCGTCATGTTCTCCCCTCTCTCTTCACCGTTATATTACCGCATGCACATTATACTCGCACATATTACTCGCACGCATGACATAGCAAAGAAAGACGAAATTCGACTCGCGATCTTCCGCGATCGTGCGATCGTGGCGTGTCGAAGTGCCAAAGTCTTCGGGCCAAAAGCGTTCACGCTGTGTTTTAACAATAGCTGTTTTTTTTTTCTCCTTTTCTTTTTCTCTTATACCAGTGCCATCGAAACAGTGATTGTGGATTATCGTGGACGGCAAACCGCGAACTCGAGTTTGCGTATGATCGTTATGAGAAATAATCGATTGTTCTCAATATCTTACGATCGAGGCAAGTCCGTTGTACACGACTTATGCAACATGTATATTATAAATATAATTATCAATACATGAATATAATTGGAAAATGTGCAAGAGCGGTATTAAGATGGACATTGTTATCTCAATCAGAATCATTTTACATATTTTCTCCCACAAAATAGACTCTGCCGGTCGTACGAATCTTTCCGCACATATCGACAAGAGAATTCTTACCGAAGAGAAAAAGTCTTTATTAATTTTAGAGCGGCGTCGTGGATAACGGACGTTGCGCGATCTGCGCCGGTCATCATCTCTCTCGCAGTTCATCCTCCCTCCGCAGTGTCATTAGTCGAAACTCCGCCTAGTCGAGACGCCACGTTTCTACGATCACCGTTCTCGTTGTCAGAAAAAGCATCCGCGGCGATCAAACGCGGTTGTCATCTAACATGTATTATACACAAAGAATGTACCGCGAAGCCGCGGCTGTATAAAAACAAAAAGAAGTACCTCTCTGTACATACACGACAACAATATGTACATAATCAATGTGCGGTTTTGGGAAGCTCTTCATTCTTTACACTCGCACATCTATATGTCTGTGTGTCTTTCTCGTCGTCCCTCTACACATGCGTAAGTATCTCTGTGTATCACCGTATGTTTCACACACACATACACACACACACACACACACACACATGCACATACATGCACATGTTCACTCTTCTCTCTCGCGCCTCTCGTGCGGTGCGACGAGAGCACGCTCTCTTCGAGTCGGCGAGTCCGCGGTCACTCGCATCCGGGGGGATGCTTCTTCTGACAGCCCGACGAGAACGCGCAGGAGCACGAGCTCCGACGCCGAGGAGCCTCGCGCCGCTGTGGCCGTCGAAGGGCGCGCGCGCAGCCTTCGACGGCCACAGCGGCGCGATGGCGAACTCGGCCTTGAATTAACGAGCACAAATCCTGATTCCACGTGTCTGAACGAACAGGCAGCTGCCCCTGTGCCAGCGGAACGCACTGTCGTGGGGTCAACGAGCGTCCTCGGGGGAGGGGGCCAGCCTCTCGAGCCACCCGCCGCCCATCAGCAGCGTCCGGAGAACGCACTCGACGCTCTGCTAGACGAGCTGCAGACCTTCTCGCGACCCAGCTCGCAGATGGGCCAGGTATCCGGCGGCTTGTCGGTGCACCCGGGTTCCACCACGCTCTTAGCCGACGTCGGTCGCGCCTCCAGCCTCCGGGACTCGACAACGAACGTTGTGCATCCCGGGGGCGGCAGTGGCGGCGGCGGCGGCGGCGGCGGCGGCGGCGGCGGCAGCGGCGGTGGAGGAGGAGGAGGAGGAGGTGGCGGTCGCGCACCCAGCATCAGCGACATCGGTCGAAAAGGCAGCGTGGACTCGTCCAGCGGCACCTTGACCGTCGCCGCCGCCGCCACCGCTGCCGCAAGCGGCGTGGTGGGTCTACCCGGGATGGCACCAGGTGCCAGCGGCACGCTGCGTCGCCTGCACTCGTACCCGTCGAGCTCGGACACGGACACCTCGCCGCCCATCGCCAGGCTGCAAGTGTCGCTGCAGGAACAACAGCCAGGCTTGCCGGTGTTGCCGCAGGGCTTCTTGCCTGGACAAAAGCCGCCGGTGCCGGAGCGGAACGCCGAGCTGCTGCAGTTGGCCAGCGCCAGGAGAGTACCGCCGCCACCGCCGCCACGCACCAGCTCCAGATCGCCCTTGGCGAGCCCGACCAGTCCGCAGTTGCCGCCCAGGAACCACCCGTGCAGCCTGCAGAGCGGCAACGCGACCCTGCGCCGACCGGCGGCACGCGGCAACGCCATTATCGCCGGCAAAGAGGGTAAGCCGCCGATGGCTCTACCGCCGGACGCCACGGCGATTTTGTCCACCGTCGAGGCCGGTGACAACCGATCGGTGCCGACGTCGACAGCGGCGGCCGCCGGTGCCGCGCCGCCGATGCACAACTCGTCGTCCTCGCAGTCGTCCGCGGTGCTGTCCACCAGCAACTCCAGCTCCTGCGAGAGCGTAAACTCGCAGGAGGGCCTGCAGAGCAAGCGAGGCAGGCAGGAGCAGCTGGAGCAACGGCATCAGGAACTGCTGAGGAAGCAGAAGGCCCTGCAGGAGCAATACGCCCGGCTGCAGCAGCTGCAGAGGAACGCGGCGGGTCTCACCACCGTGCCGCCGGCGCCGCCCGATCTGCTGAAGAAGACCGGCTCCGAGAGCAACCTACTGGCGAAGATGGGTCTCGGCCTGAGCGCCGCTAGTTCCGGATCGCTCACCAGTCTCAGCCTCAAGCCGCAGGTCTTGCAGGACGCCACCGGCGACGGCCAGGCTAGTAGGATCGAGATCGTTAACGGACAGACGAACGCGGTGACGACCAACCAGGTCCACGGAGGCGTCACCACTTCGACGATGGTCGTGCCGAGCTTGACGACCGGCTCGGGCACGACCGTCACTACCACGTCCACCACGACCACCAGCAAGGTCTACGAGACGGACATTCTGTGACCGAGAAGCCGTTCGCTCATCGGAGCGACCGTCAAGGTCGCCGCTGAAATCGCCTTGGCGAGTTAACACGGTCGCCGAACGGCGAGATCGCGAGACTATCGCGTGGTCCAGGCTCCTCGGAGAACAATCGTCGAGGAGGTTGTGGTGAAGTGAGGCGAGTGAGGAGGAGCGGACGAATCGCAGACTTAACGGAACAAAAGTGAGGAAGATGACAAGGAATTGCTAAGATTAAAGAGACTGAATTGCTGACGGAGAGACGCGGGTATGAAGGAAGGAAGGAAGGAAGGAAGGAAGGATACGCCGAGTAACGCGAAGCAACGACGGGAAGCGATCGTAACCGAGGCTGAGGAGGTGAAGGGAAAGTCGAAAGAAGAGCACACGAAGAGGAGAAGAAGAAGAAGAAGAAGAAGAAGGAGAAGAAGAAGAAGAAGCAGAGGAGAAGAGAAGACTACTCCCGCATTATAGTCATCCCGTTCGACCTTGCGACGGCGGAGGCTCCGTCGTGCGCGGGTGCATAAGGTCTCTTGGAAAGTAGAATGCAGCGTAGGAATTTTAGCGCGCGTCACACACGTAAAATAATTACCACACTAATCACTATGGTTAAACGATAGCATTAATACTGATAAACGGCGCGAGGAGGCGATATTTCGATACACGCGTCGTCGTACGCGGACGCGTAGCGCAACATCAACGTCCGGTCTGAAGGAAGAGAAGAAAGAGGAAGAAAAAGAGAAGAGAAGAGAAGAAAGGAAGGAAGAAAGCGCGGCGAACCAGACGCGAATCTCGCCGTCGTGTTCGTCGGTTGGCCGCTTTTGCATCACTGCATATCCGATGCGCCCCGTGAGGTTGCCCTCTCGATCCTTCGACACCTCCCGAGGCTAAGGACGTCGTCGAAATTACGACGGCCATCGAGATCGATGTCTCGAGCGCAATCGCATCCTGTCCAGATCGACTACGGACCGGTAACGAGCGACGTGGGTCTCGCGGTAACAGAAATAATCGAGCTCCGATCTCGCGCTTCGCCGACGCTGCGAGCGTTCGGATCCTCTGTGCGTATCGATCCTCAAATATCATATACACACACACACACACACACGTATACACACATACGCATCCGACATACTCGAAACTTTCGCAACGTCTGTGCCAAACGAGAGAAACACGATATAATTGCGTACTTTTTTAAGATTATACACGTACAGTCGTGCGCGCGTCGCCGCGGCCATCCCGTAACTACCCGGCTACTCGTTTTTTCTTCGTCGTAGTAAGACGAGCGCAACGTCGTCAAGGTTCTACGTAGGTGATCATCGTATAAATATTATACAGATACGTACGTATTATATATATAAATATATACATACTATATGTACGCGCGCGCGCAAGAGAGAGAGAGAGAGAGAGAGAGGGAGAGAGGGAGAGAGGTAGAGAGGTAGAGAGGTAGAGAGGAAGAAAGAGAAAGCGGGCAGGAAGATTTATATAAATATATACATGTAAGTGGATATATAGCTAGGTAGCTAGGTATATATTATATACATATACATGAAATATACGAGATATATTGCAATCGTGCATACACACGCACTCATATACACGCGTACACGTACATACACATGTATTCACATGGTTAATGTGTGACGAGCGAAGAGAAGCGGGTTGCAGCTTTCCCTCGAGCGACGATGTCGACGAAATCACAGACAAACGCATTTCGTACACGACGACGACGACGGTCCTAACGTGCACAGACGTGACTCCCATCGCGTTTAGAATATAATTACCCAGCGTGCGTGTACGGACACTTACACACACACACACACACACACACATGAAACACATGTAAGACACAGACGGAATCAGCCGTGTATACGTAGACAGGATGCGTAGGCGATCGACGTGATTGTCCTCGTTGCCTCGGCAAGAGACACGGTTGGCGTACTCTTCGGCAAGTGCGGTTCACGTGGAGGGTGTCCGAAGAGGAGCGACATAGAGCGGAGACGCGGAAACTGGCGCATACGACGCGACGCAAGGCGGTCGATCCGTCGACGGAGGACTCGAGATACCCAGGAAGCGGCACACCAGGATGCAAACACACGAGACACGTTTAGAGACACCCGGTTACCTTTTTAACCCATATAACACGATCTGCTGTATTAATGATAAGGTGATCACAATGTTGGCGAATCGGTCGGAGTCGTAAAGCGCGGCGCGGCGTCGAGTATTTCTATCGGGACTACGTTTGCACAATTATTACGGTCGAGTTGCACCGACAATGCGAACGAAGTAAATCGCTCACACATACACATACACACATACACACACACACACACACAAACGGTCTCTCTCGCTCTCTAGGTTAGACGAGGGGTGTTGTCTCAGTATTACAAAAACGAAGACTTGACTTTCCGGCCATTTTCGCGTGAAGCATCGGTCGACCGGGGCTCAACCGATACTCTTGATGTGGAAACAATCGCAGGAGGGGAGGAGCGACCGGTGAAACCTCGATAGACTCCAGCGAGAGGTTCAAGCCGTCGGGAGAGTCGACGGGCGGGAGCTTGCGAGAGCCGCAATTGCGACAAGGTCTCACGTCTCAGGTGGACAGCGCACGGCTTGTGTCGAGCCGTTCCGTTTTCGCAGTGAGCTCTTTCAACATTTATAGCAACGAGTCCGTAGATAGAGAAGAGGAATTGGTTGACCTCAGGTGATTGACAAGTCGGTGCAACTGGACTCTCGCCGTTCTCTCGAAAGCAACGTGACCAATTCGAGTCGAGAGAGAGAGAGAGAGAGAGAGAGAGAGAGAGAGAGAGAGAGAGAGAGAGACATGGCAAGGCGCGCGCTCGCGCGCGCGACAAGCCTGTCGGCGAGTTCTTTTCCGGCGGCCAAAGGTGTGCGTTAGAAGGAATATTGCTCAATATTTACCAACCCGAATCGCAGCAGCTCCGTTACATTTCGTAATTAACGCCGCGCGTTCCGTGCCGGATTGTTTGGCGACCGCGATTATTAGCTGATTATCACCTCGCGCTGCTACTCAGCTCGTCAACGGGACGACGTTCGGTCGAATCGTCGCGCTTCATCGTTTCTTCATTGTCGCAGGCGAGAGGAATCGGGGGCTCTCGATCGAGGTGGCGAATGGCGGGCTGCACTTTACACCCGTTCGTATCGACAGGACGCGACCGATGGGCCGCGTTTTTTAATCCAGCTGAAGGCTCAAAGTTGAAACTTTCGCGCTCCTCCTGCGTCCATCCAAGGAAGCGAAGGGAGAAAGGTGGATGAATACGCGCGTGTGTCCCTTCAAGGATATTCGCCTTCACCAAGGCCGAGAAGGCGTTAGCTCCATCCGCCACCTCGATCGTCGCTCTCCGAGCGAGAGATCGCCGATTCGCACTATTTTATCGCAGCTTACTGCACAAAGGGCGAGTTTCGTCGCGCTTCTCTCCCCGGCTACGCCTGGAGTCTCAATTCTCTGAGACGTCCGGATCGTCGAAAGTGACATCCCGCGAACTTATTTTAGATAGCCCTTCGGGCTTTTTGCGTTGTTTGGGGTGCCAGGCGCTTGATGCGATCGCATATACCTTGCTTCGAAGGGCCTAACAGCTGACACACACACACTCACGTATACGCGTATTTATTTTGTTACGCGCTTTACCCTTTCGTTAGCCAGGTTCGATGTAGACCGGCTCGACGAGGCTTTCGTATTAACCCTCGGATGCGTTCCCGCGCGGATTCGTTCCCGACTTGGCGAACGGACTCTTCGAAGATGCGGAGATGCCGCGAGAGTGAGATGAATCTCGCGAGACTATATCGCGCGACGTATATTTTCCACGAGTGAAATTGACACACGTCGCCGATTAACAAGCGGGAGAAGAGTTTGCAAATGAAACTCGTTAGTTTTAATAATAATAAACGGGCCAAAACGCGCGAGAGAAAAGGAAACGACGATGAGAGAGAGAGAGAGAGAGAGATTCGATCTTCTGTATATTCGTGCGTGTAATTCGTAGATTATAAAAGTTCCTTCTGTCACGCCGGTAATTAGAGGTTATCGAAAATTACTGATAGATCAATTGAAAATCGATTACGTATACGTTAGGGTCGTTGTTGATTGTTAGGCGAATTTCTGTACAAAATCGCGCATCGACGCGGTCGTACCGACACATGCGCGTCGCGCGTTCCGTCGATGATGATATCGATGTGATGCAAAGGAGAGTTCTAATTGGTGGTGGTGTGTAATAATGCGAAATTCCTTAGGTTAATTCGAACGCGCCTACATTTTACGATTCGTTAGCGATAATACTAATACGATAACGATAAGCGGCGTGGGAAAGAAGAAAAGTATTCACGTAGCCGCGATCTCGATTGAGATTCACTTCACGGTTGAGGGAAGAGAGATGAGCCTGCGTGGCTCTTTACATTTACGTTACTTACGCGATGACAGTCGTTGGCGTTGGCAGTCGGCGGTGGCATCCGGGGGTTAAACATGCAGCGAGACGTATATCTTATTTATTTTCCACTGTCTCAATCCGCGGAGCACGTCTATAAAGGAAATAATAACTTACTACAGTAAGAGTACTAAGGATAGGTAATGATGATGACGAAGATGATGAAGATGATGATGTTGATAACGATAACGAATTACGTTGGGAATTATGATGATAACAATTACGAATGCGAGTGCTTATCAAATATTAAACGATAACGACGCGAGACTCCAGCGACAAAAGCAAAAGCAAAAGAAAAGAAAAGAAAAGAAAAAAAAAGGAAAGAAAGATTTCTACCCATTTTTCGTTCTCTCACACATGTCGGATTTGTATATTGTTCCATTGATCGTAGATACTTACGCCGTCGCCAATCGTCTATTGCATTTGTATAAAGCTACTTTGAACGGTTCGCATTTTCGTTCGCGGCGATACTCGAGCATCGCCACAGCTGTTATTTATTACCGAATACTAATTTAATCGCTATAAGTATAATCTCATCTCACCTACTCTCCACCTGCTCCCACGACTCCGTTTGGTCGTAAACGTCACGAAACGTCTCGAACTGGCGCGCGCTGTCGATCCGCGCGAAATCGGCGCGGGCAGTTTGAATGGATATTTGCGTTCTCCTCTACGTTCTCCGTATTACGCGATTAGCGAATCATTAGTGTAATGTTTTCTGACGATCCTGTACGCCAAATCGAATTGACTTGTTACATTTGTAAATGTTTGTAAGTATTACCACGTAATAAAATAATCGAGTAATAATCATCGAATTGACCCTGACGACCGTGTGTCTGTTATCCATATATCGATAAATTCGACCTTACGAACAACGAATAAAGCAAATCATGACATACCGCAGCACAGTCTCACTCTTATTCTACAGGATGTCCTAAAGAGGGGAGCTCGATAGATTTGCAGAATCGACCGTTTTATCTCAGCGAAGATTTAAGACCGAACACGTCGATCACGTGTAAAGCGTCAATAAACATTCGACGTCGAACTTTATCATCCTTTTATTTTATCATTAAACACATCATTCTCTCTGGAACTTTTCATTCGCACAAATTTGTTATTTTCGCATCTGTTATTTCCAATCTTCGCCAAGCAGATCGTTTCTTTTTCCCTCAGCAAAGTTAAAGTATCTCAATATTTCGAATAATTCGTTCCTTCATTGTTAGTTGCCGTAACAAATTTGCGGTATATACAGGACGATAAAGAGGATTGTCAATTACACGCGTACAGCTATTTATTGATTTATATTTACATTTCATTGGTACTCGATGGAATACCATGCGCTTTTTTGATGCCTTCCTCCACGATTCGATGCTCCCGTCGTAATTCTTTGTACGAATGTACGAGCTTCTCGATTGTATGTCTCTTGGGAGAATCCAGACGGGCATAATGCAGGATGAATTCAGTGTCATCCGAGTCTGCACTGCACCGCTCGACCGCTGAATCGCTTGTAGGATGAATCTTATGATATAGGCGTATCAATAGTATGGCGTCTTTAATTCGACTGTTCTCAATCATCTCGCACAATAGATTATCAATGTTACTCGTCCACACTAAATGAAACACCATCGGACCAAAGTGACGCGTAGACCTTAAGACGTCAAAATGTTTTTCCAAGTTTATGCGCTCGTAGACTTCCCGCGTTACCCTTTGATAATCCGGGTTATCCGGATCGAATTGTACACACGCGCGATCGAGTATAAACTCGTATTCCTTGCGATCTAATAAGTTCTGGAAAGTAAGGAATCAATTAACAATAACATTAATATTTGCTTCATATTTCTATTTCCATTTCCTCGCTAAAACTATATTTCTATGCAAAAATATCAATAAATATCAAAATGGTAAATTATTTAAAGTAAAAATTCTACCTGTAAATATTCGTCTTCAAACATCCTTGGCTTTTGTATTTCTTTTCCCGGAGATGGAAAGTAGATTGGTACAATTCTATCGCGTTCTTCCCAAGTGGCATGTCTCAGTGTACCATCTGGTTCTCTGACGACAACAAACCTTTCTCTATCTCTGAGATTATATGTAATATCAGTAAAAACAAATTTAGAAGTATTGTAATTTTGTAATCCAGGATCCTCACATATCAACCCAGTTGGGTTTGATCTCTGTTTCACTACTGGTGGCATTTGCAGATACTCTTCTGCTTTACGTTGTGTTTCATTTATAGCTTCTTGAAGTTGTTCATCTGTCATGAATTTATATTTCGGTGATTTGCGTATATGTCCGTCTTTACGTGCTCGAAAAACTTTTTTGTAATCTATTGTTGTTAATGTTCTCAAGCATGATTGAACCTCTTTGTCAAAGAAGAATGACGCTGGATCTCTTTCAGTTGGATCTTCAAAAATTATATAATAATTACATGAATAAACCTAGTAATTCCATATTATTTTTATAAAAAAATAAAATATTTTGTACATGCATATCTTCTTATCATGATAATACAATATTAATTCAAATAAATTAATACGATAGTTTTATATATATATACACGCATATACACATAACACATAAAACAATGAGATAATGTTTATTATTCTTTTACCTCTCTTTATATTATATCATACCACATAAAATTAGCCTAAATATTTTATCTAATTCCATAAATTGTTTGATATAATAATAAAAAGGTTTAAAATACCTGTCTCAATATTCGCAGAAGCAAAATTGCGGCAATTTGAGATCACACGAACACATGATTGCCGCAAAAATCTACTTATATTACGTGAAAGCATGACAGCCAATTAATTTAATAAATAGCAGATGATACGAAAACTACGCGAGTCCACCGACAATATACTAATAAAGACCGTTGATCTTACAGGATTTAGCGTACCAGAGAAATCTCGTTATGCGCTAGCGCCCTCTGAGGAATATTGTAGCTGGAGTATGAAGCTCTAGCTCGAGGTAAGCCTACGTACATACAGAGAGAAACCTGAGAGCGGCAAACACGGTTATGGGTCTCGTTTGTCTCAATCCAATCTACCTTCACACTTCGGGTTGGCGGCTAATTACCGGACACTTTGTATGATTTTCATGATATTATTCATACACAATGTCAATTATTATCCCTTTTGCGCATGTTAACATGTTAATTTATGTTATAATCGCGTAACAACGTGCGAGACCGTGCTCCAAGTCAAGTACGCTATATATAGAGGGAAGAAGAAGAGTTGTCATGGGCCGCTTTTAGCCGGGCCCAGTGTGAGGCGCCCTCACATCCTGATATGTATTTACCAAAATTTGTCTGTGAAGATTTCGTTCTCCCATTCTATATATAGCTTTGGGTTTTGTTATTATTTACACATCCCATATGTGCCGGGAGGGAATACCACCGTAATTCCACCGATCCCCCTCCCTCAACTACGAACAGCCAGGCAGTCATTCCGCTGGGGTTTTAGCCGGTGAGAGTCCGGCATAACTCCCGTCACCCCAAGGGACGGGGTCGGTGATGGCAGGTAGAAGGGGAGCGAGGAACGGTTGGGGCTGGGCCTCGCACCTCCGCCCCCCCTTTCCGCCCAGTAGGGAAGGGGGAAGGCGGGGGCGAGGAGAGAGGGCGGGTGTCCTCTCTCTCCTAATTAACACCGGAAGACCAAACCGGCCGGGGCACCGCGCCCTTGACTCCCAATCTGGGAGAGGCGCGGTACTTAAGGCCATCACACGTAGAAAAATTTTAACCGTAACCGTAAGGTTGTAAGAAAACTGATCAATCACAGTCGATCCTTTCTCTTGTGACATTATAATAATCGACTGTGATTGGTCAGTTTTCTTACAACCTTACGGTTACGGTTAAAATTTTTCTACGTGTGATGGCCTTTAGGCGTGGGACTGCATTAGAGCCCTGGGGCCGGGGTATCGGGGAGGAAATGCAGACGTAGTTCCTCTGACTCTCCCCACCACGGCCCGAGCGATAAGCACCCCGCAGGGGTTTTAGTCGGTAGAAATCCGACATAACCCCCGCCCTCCCCAAAGGGCGGTGGTATCCATGAGAATTTCCCCTGCGTGATAAAAGAAAAAAAAGGGCGGGGGTATCCATTAGGATTTCCATTCCATCGTAAAAAAGAAGCAGCGGCTATGTAATCAGACGTCATGTGAAATAACAATCACGTGAAACGACGAACACGAGGCCGGTGACCACGTAACGATCTCCTAGAACATTTTGAAATTCTTCAGAAAATTCTATAATCTACTGAAATATTCTAGAAACGACGATCACGTAGCACGTGGTTGCGTCACGAACTTCTAGAATATTCTGGAATCTTCTAGAAAGTTCTAGAATCTCCACAGTTAGCCGACGCTACAACATCGTTGACCGGCTCGGTCGCCTCGCGCCGGCGACGCTGCCGCGCGACCTCATTAGCTTTGCTACCAGCCGGCTCGGTCGCCTCGCCTAGCATTGTGTTTTGGGCTTTAAGCCTTTTGCAGAATGCCAGGCAACAGGTAATAAAAATAAAAATAGACCAATCACAATAGATTATTCTTGTAATAGTCGATTGTGATTGGTCTATTTTTAATCTTATCGCTTGTTGCCTGGCATTGTGCAAGGGGCCTTAGCCTCGTTCGTGTCGCTGAGCGAGAACGAGAGCGAGAAGGAGGGAATGATATCTCTTTGTCGCTCGGCGCGCTGACGATTGCCGAACGCGTGGTCCACACGGATAGACTGAGCCGGCTATGAGTACGTGCGTGTTGAGGGAAATCAGAAAAAAGTCGTGGACATTGGCATCGTAGTTCATGTGCACGGTTGTACAGAGGGCGCCTCACACTGAGCTCGGCTAAAAGCGACCCATGGCGCCTCCTTCTTCTCTCTGCTGGTACATATATATAACCCGTTGATGTCCTTCTCCCACTTGAAGCTTTCTAGAAACTTCTGGACTATATTTGTAGTGCAACTAGACGAAGTAAGGCCGAAGACACGTCCTTTAGTTGAACAGGAATTGGCGGGATGTTGTGTTGTTCTATTTGTCTACTTTTGTCATTTGTATTAGAATTTAATAAAGTAATGTGTTAATTTATATATTATATTTGCACAATACAGTGATCAAGTGTATTTATACTTTAATATTCTTACACTGTATTATAGTGATTATAGTAATTTATCCTTTTATAGAGTGTTTAAAACAAAAAAATATATTATAATTATCCGCGTATATTATAATTATCCGAAATCTATTTCTACAATTCTAAAATATATTGTGAAAATCAGAAGACGACATATAATCAGATAAAGGAACAGGTGTTTAATAACTTTAATTATTTTTAATATATTTAACATATGTATCGTTATTGATGTTACAATTATAAATGTAAAAAATGAATTAAATTTTTTGTCTTCTAATAGTGTTTCAACTCATTTCTAGCACTTATCTAGTACAATAAGCAAAACAACTAACCGGCACAATGTATGTTTCAGAACATTTTAATATCTTGTAAAGGTATGGAATATTCGTTGCAAGATACACTGGACACACTTGAAGATAAAAAGGATGAACGGAAAAAAACTATAGAAGACTTGACAAATAGAATATCAAACAATGAAGTTTGTGCTATACAAGCATCAAGCTCTACAGAAGACTTAAGAAGAAAGAAAGAAAGTATATTACAAAGACTAATAGGGGAAGTTCAACAAATACAACCTGAGAATTATACAATTCTAAAAACACCTGATTCTCATGCAGAAGTTTTTAGAGAAATGGAAGATGAGATTCAAGATATGCAGTTGATCCTTAATAAACTTGAAAAAACACTTACTGATATTCAAGATGATATTCAATAGTGAGTGAAATACAATATAAAAACATAAAATAATTTTGGGCAAGTAAGAGCCAACATAGAGATGCATGAATATATTCAATATTAATATAATCAATCAATACAATAGTAGGAAAGACCAGGGTGTATTTGTAAATTTCTCAGAATTTTGGTGTTGAAATTTTTCTAACAACTGATTGTTGCAATTGACTATGCAAACATTATAAAGACAACTTTCTACATATTCACATTAGAATTACGTTAGTCTATATATTCCCATAAAAACAATTACATTCTTTTTTCTAATAAGCAAAATACAAAAAAAATGATACAATATAAAAGTTACTTAAATTAGAATTAACAGCTTAAAAGTTATTTAGATTAGAAAAAGATCTATATGAGTATTAAAATTTATATAGAATCTATCCCTTATATAAACCAGCCATGGCCCACTTTGTTAAAAACAAATTGATCTTAAAAAGTTTATCCTATTTAAATAATGATAAATTATTCTGGTCGAATATATAATTCGATAAAAAATAATTGTAAAAAATGGAAAATTATGATTTCAGGCATTAAGATCAACTCACATGGAAGAGGTGATATTTATATAAATATCATATTGAAGGTTTTAAATCATGAACATTTACTCATGATTATGCATCTATGTCTCACTTTTGGATCATCTTTAGCATTGTAATTCTAACAAATAAATTTTTTTTTAATCCAAGTAATTCAACAGTGTCTTAACATACCATTGGATTCAAAAGTTATATAATCAGATGAAAAAATTAATATTGTCATTATTTATTTATCAAATTATCGATATTTTTCATATTACATTAACTGGAATACAATAATCAAGATATTGCTTGTCCATGTCACCTTGTTCTTCACATTGTTTGTAAATAGTGAAAACATCTCAGAGAGTTGTAGCAGAAATAGTAGCAGAGAGTTGGCTCATACTTGCCTATATTATTTTCATGATTATACGTTAAAAAGCCTTTCCAATGCCTATGATATAAAAACTTCATAATAATACACTTATTACTTACATTTGACTAAATATTCATACTATCATATTTATTGTAGTTTAAGAAATAAGAAGAGCGGATTAGATAAAATGCGAGAAACTTATGTAGGTTTCACAGAAACATTTGCAGATAGGACGTACAAAAATGAACAAATTTTAACAAAACGCATATTTCAAAAAGTGAAAGATGATTTGGTGAGTACAACCAAAACATACTGACACTTTGCTTTATTTAATTTCTTTTTATTGTGTGTGTTTGTATAAAATCGCGCGGCTGTTACAAAAAGTAAAATACGAATACAAAGATTCATATTTTTCGTTTAATAAATATTTTTCAGTATACTGTTGTTAACACGATTTTTCCTGATAATAACAAATTCAAGGAATTTCTAGCGGTGAGTCATATTCTAAGTGAATATAATTTTCATAAAATTGATCAAATGTACAAACATGGGGAATTATTTCCAGACATTAACATCAGCTTACATGAAAGGCGGTGATGATGTTTATGTGAATGTCACACCAGAGATTCTAGATTGTGTAAACTTTCTACTGGAAGCTGACATAGTACAATATCATCGTAATGACAAAAATAAAGTTAAAATGACTGAGTTATTATGATATCAAATGAATACCTAATCCTTAGTTTATTATACAAGTATTGGGAGATCATAAATTTGTAAAGCGTATGTAACCGTAATTATTACCAAAACCGCTAAATAATATGGCAGATATCTTTTTTTACCACAAAAATGGAGTTCTTTCTCTTAATATCCTGACCCCGTATCGTTGCCATTCTCCCCAAGGAATCCACAATTCCTGGGCTGTTTCTAGACAACTTAGAATTCCCGCACCTTTCCAAGTTGTTATGCCGGGATCCATCTCCTTCGGTTCCGTTATAATGTCCAATTGCTCTACAATAAAATTAAGATAATGGAGCAGCAGTCTGTGTTTGCTGTTTCTCTTCAAGGTATAAATTCGCATTTTCTAGCGTCATAATTCAGCACGACTGCAATGATTGGCGGTAAACTTTGTAGAGCAAATACATACCAGCCCTGTACATGTAAGGTATTTGCAATGATATTCGATTTCGCAGCCACATCCCGATGCCTCTAAACTTCATTCCCGAACCAACGACTAGCACACAACTGTACATTTTCCTCTTCAGATCATCGGTAGCTGTTGTGGAGGTAAAATCAATTGAATAGTACTTTCGCTAAATTATAGTTTTACAGGTATCTTTCATACTTACGACATCGCTCAATGCTTTGCAATATTGCATGGTCAAGACCTAATAGTTGTTGCGGTCCTACTACGAAATCTCGGGGACCTTCCGAATCGCGGTTTGACAAAGCAGGTGCGGAATCATTGACCGAATCAACTACAACTTCATCATCGCCTACATTTGTGGGCGCAGCCGTCTCTTCTTGCATCTCTGACGTTTGCTCGAGAGTCTCTTTTATTCCTCGTCTCTAAAATGAAAATTAATTGAATTAAACACAGACAAGATTAAAATAGAAATGCATTTGATTGAACTTGAAAACTGCACAGAGATCTTCTTTTTTCCTGGGGATACGTTTTCGAAATCTTCGCATAAATGTTGAAAATAAGATAAATTAGAATGTTTGTTTGGGCGAGTACTTACACTAGTTTCTCTTAAATAATTCTCATCGAAGAGATCTTCCGGGTCGCCCGTTGATCGTTTTTGTACGTGTACTGTGTGTGCTCCAGTAATTCGAAATAATTCAGGTTGAAATAAGCTCAAAGGAGCTATTAAGCACTCATCACCGACCTGTTACAACATGTCCAATACATCGCGGCAATTACAATAATTTTTATTTTTATGAAAAGCAAATAAACGTACGGTAAAATACCTGCAAAGTGTACTTCTCCGTTGACTGCTTTGGTTTTTCAACAACAAATTTCTTCTCCTGCGAGCCGCAAACATTTAAATCCACGTGACAGGAATCTTCCTTCAGCTGATTTAAAAGAGTCGCATCTGACTTGTTGGTCGGATCACATAGTTTATAAGGAAATGCACTCTTCTGTAAAAGCCAATAGAAAGCCTGTGTAATATCCCCGCCGCCGTAATCCATACGCACTCGAGTGTCCTTGTGAGAAATTGCATCGTCCACGCAAGACACCGACGTTTTCTGAGCGCCAACGTCCACCACACATGCATAACTCAGACCCGCTCCGAATATCGCAGCTACATGATCCTATCGAGCAACAAAGTAATACCGTTAGCCTGAATGAAACTCCAAATTGTGATTAATAAAACGTGATAACAATTCTCACGAGAAATATGCGACGCACGACGAAAGTGCAAACTAACTTGTAACAAGAAACAGCTGCCGAAACCCATCTCACATAGCATCAGAGATGTTAGTTCCTTTAGATAAGGCCTGTGATAAATGTCAGGTATGACAAGTACTGCGCGATAATGCTTCAGATCTTTCAGTGGGATATTCAATTGCTCGGTCAATACATATTCCCAGATTGTCTTGAGATCTGCCATAACAGCTCTCACACTGCCACCCGGACCCGAGTGAACATTGAGCTCACCCCTTTTATATGGGAAGTGGATATTAAAATCCTCGTCTGGATCTAACATAAAAACACCATCCCCGACAACTACATCGCGATCAGTTTTTATCCAACTGCTGCTATTTGAAGGACAGACTACTGGGCTGGATCTACGATTGTAGGGTGCTAATTGTTGCGGTGGCGTCGCATATCTCCGACTCCCGTCCGATTGTAAACAGGACTGTAAAGTATGTGAGATCTGCAGCCGAGATTCTTCCATTCCTTGCATCAGTTCTTTATTCTAGTAAGTACAAATTAAAAATAAAAGAATATTTTGTAGATAAAATTTGACAAAGTTCATTCAGTATCACATTCTATTGGATTATATACTTACTACCGGTACAACTGGTGGTAAAAAGCTGTCCCTATATTTTATTCCACCTGGCAAGCGTCTCCTTGCTACAGCATTTAATAATGTACATGGCTTTAAATCTGAAGCACGACCCATACGAAGATACATAGATCCAGGGTGAATTACAATAATTGTCTGTGTTTCAATTTCCTAAAAACAAAATAATTGCAATTATATACATACATTTATAATTATATACGTAACAAATAAAAATTCAATATAATATACCATTATACTCAGTGATACGCTATATAGTTTCACCTATATATTCTCTGTAAATTGCAATACAAGAAATAATAATTACATCTGTACATTCTTGGAAAACTGGCATTCTTGTTGGCTAAAGTTGATCTTGTAAATATTAAAGTCCCCCACTTCCAACAATGTTTTTTTTCTTTTCTATAAGTGTATCTTTCAAGATACAATATCACTGTTTGTATATATATATATATATATATTTTTTTTTTATTTATTTTCTATATTCGATTAAATGTTATTGTTCAGAAAAAATTTGCAGGAATTGAGAATGGTTTCACATTGTGTTGTGTTTATAAATTTGTTGTCTATAACTGCTGTACAAAGTATAGGTTATGTTCCCTATTATTTAAATTTACGAGCTTAAATGATGAACGACGAACATAAACAACGATACAGATAAACATATATTCGAACTTTCAATCGATCCTGCTATGAGAAAAAGTAAAAGCCTATCTCTTTATCCGTCCTTAAATCATAATAACATTTGGAAAATAATGGATCCCTTTGATACACTATTCAACCTAGCATTAGATTTGTTCTTTTTAACTGCACACTGGAGCTAATAAACGAAATTCAATAGATTGTAACTTTCATAAAAATTATATGTAATAATTAGATAGTTTAAAAGCATTTACAGTTTAAAGTTTTTAAACTTCAGCATTATTGTTGAATATAAATTTTAATCATATTTCTTATGGTGCTTATACGTGTGCTAGAGGCGGAGAACTATCGATTCTGCCTCATCGATAATTATCGATATTATGTAATGTGATTATTGATAATTATTGAAGGCTTTTAATAATTTTCATTTCTAAAAAATTTTATGAAATAGAACAGTACGCATTCGTTTAGTTTCCTTTATTTTTTTATTATAGGTTTTGGTTGTTAATGAAAAATAGAAAACAGGACACACACAATATTCAAAAAATATTTTAATTAAGAAATTAGCTATTTATATATATTCTCATTCTGTTTAGTTAAATTACGGTTTGAGTCTCGGCTAAATTTTATGAGGTCTAATAAATTATGGTTCATGTTTTGATTGAAAAGCTAATTTTAGTCAAGATTCGAACCATCTCTAGAAATTTAATATTGATTCGACAATTGGTTTGAGTCTTAGCTAAAGGCTTGACCTGTTATCAATTTCCACGATGTCGTTCAAACCAGCCGCCACTATTTCTAACGAAGAACCGAGCTCATAATGCAACTCACAAACGGTAAATCAAAAATATTTTTACTTTAGAATTTTACGACTTGGCAACAAACTAAAAAATTCTTTTGCTTTTAAACAATACGACTCAACAGTGGGACATGAATGAGAAATGGTAATAGTTTAATTTTTAACCTCTTTTAAAGAGGTTAATAATTGAAATGCTGAAAAAAATGTGTTACAATGTGAATAATTCTAAAAAAATGTTACATCTTAACCTGGACATATCCATGAATTATACAAGATCTCTTCGTTTTTAAATGACGTTAATGGGACATTATTTGCATTGAATTTTGCATGTATTTATTGAAAGGAGAACAGACTTACAATGCAAGATCTCGAACTTTTAAATGCCACATAATATACAATGAACCGAAATAAGTTTCCTCGCAAATTAATTCTTTTAATGTGACTTCTTTTCATGTGCAACAGTATCTACAATATTTCGAGTCAATCAAAGTTTTAAACGTCTTTCTCCGAAAGGCTACCACGAAATTAAATAAAGATCAATACCACTTCGGCTCTTTAGACGCACGCTGATGAGATTGAACGGATGCTTGACCTACTTAGCCTAGCAATCGTTCGAATATTTGTTAGAATTATAAGCAAAAGTTTTCAATTATCAGCAAAACTAAATTCCAAGGACATCCTCAAAAATTTTCGGATGTTCAAGCAGATATTTGTTCATTCATCGTTTACATGAGACGTTGATCTGTTTTTTTTTTTTTTTTTTTTTAGTTTAACGCAATTTACATATATGTATATATTCTTTTTGAAAATTTAATGCAATTTAGAATTACAAAGAGACGTTTCCTGAATATTAATCGCGTGTTATGTCGACGATCAATTAGCTTTTTTATAATAAGGCGCATAATTGGACCGTGCAGTCATTAATTAACTTTATGTTGATTTATGTAATTCATGGCGAGCGAGGAGGAGCGGTCACGCGACGGACGGGCGCGGAGGGAGTATCCTCGCAACGTGATTTCGCGGTCGTGCGTGGTCACGTGACCCCGAGGAGTCCACGTGCTCCTATCAAGTTACGTAAGCGACGAGCTACGAAAGCACGCGTCGCCGTACGCTATCACCTTCGACGTTAATTAGCGATTTATTGTTTTGTAATCGCCGCAGGAGCCCGTCTCTATAACCCGTTGCGCGCGGGAAAGCTCGGGGTTTCGTTTAATTAACATCGCGAAGTAAGCGCGCTGCGTTACGTAATTACGCCGTCGACGGCAGGAATGGACCCGTAGCGGCGCCGCTTTGCATCGCATTGTTACGCCGCGACTGACGCAACACACACACACACACACATACACAACTTGTCTCTCTTAATCACGTGGCTTTATCCAACGACATATTTATATCCTCTTCTCTCGCACTCCACACATTATCCCCTTCACGATTCGGGGAACATGGCGCGCATTTGCAAAATTCTCTTGCGAATAAGCGAGAGATTGCATGCTGCTTGTGCAAGCGTGTTCTCCGCGCTTGGATCCATTGTGGGAACGCTCGATTGAGTCTAATCAACGGCACAGATGCGTGCGCGAAGACACTGCTTTTTGTTTCACGTCGCTACGTCGACTCGTTAGCGAGCTGCAGCGATTTACAGCCGCGGGGCAGCGGCGGCGTTGGAGTTTAGCCCACTGTTGGCGCGAGCGAGACGGCGGCATCTGTCGCTCTCTGTTTACGTCGCGCTGAACTTGCCGTGTAGGTTAACGACCGCGCTGGTGGAGGGGGACACGTGCAGCCGGGCGGCCATGCTTGTTCTGGGCCGTGGGATGGGGACAAGGCCGCGCGCGCGTTACGCACCCTGCGGCACGTATCGCGTTCCATCACGCACGACGCGAGCTATGCTTTCCGGGAAACTCGTCAGCGGAATGCGGCTATTGTTCCGCGTCGATCCACGCCGCTCCGCGCACGACCTACCCCACGCGGCGACGGCGGCGCCGAGCAGATCGAGAGCGCGGATCGATGCAAAAGTCGATAACTCCGCTTCCAGACGTCGTAGCGACTTGAGGCAAAAACCGTCGTGCAGGGGAAATCACCGCGCTTCTGATGGACGTGAAGTCGTTCCTCGGGGAGTTAAAGGTCGATTGACATACTCAGGAAAATGCAAAGCGCATCGATTTTCACGCCCGCGTTAAAGTGGACATTAATCTACGTTAAAAATCATGTGGAAAAATTGTGGTTCAGCTTCGTCACATAATGTCTCGGTTTTATGCTCCTCACGGGTATAAAGTGCGATTTGAAAAAAAAGAAAAAAGAAAATAATAATAATAATAATAGGAAGGACTTCATTGCCGGATTCCGGATTTATATTTGACGATTATTCCGCTGAGAAATTTTGGACGCTCGAAAATACCGAGGGGGCACAGATGTATATATACGAAAATTCGGTCATATAATAAAACGCTGTTTTGCACGCTATGTGATTCCGCAGTGAGTAACGAATTGCGTTTGCTCGATAATTTCGGACTCGATAAAGTCGGTTTGTCAGATGGCACATCAATTCGCTGGAGCGAAGTTCTCGAAAGAGAATTTCGCACAGGACCGCGCGAAAAGCTGCATATCTCTCCGTTGAGAAAAGCCAGAGTATGTCGAGCGGACGAAAAGAACAAAAAAAAAGGTAACGACATACAGGGTGGTAATATGCGATTGGAGGATGGCTGGACCAATGATGAGGGAGGCTGCGCCGCGTTTCGAACGGTCGCAGGACACGATTCACGAGCGCGAAGCAGTCGATGACAGCAGTCGACGCGCGTACTCTGAGACGTTCGCGTGTCTTTTCAACTACGGTAAAGACTTATGAGCGACAGGATCTTGTCTTGAAAAATCTGTCGTTGATATACTCATATATCTCGATATATATACGTCGCGCGATTCTACGATCTTCTCTCTCAATCTCTCAAGCAAACTCGAGTTACTTTGCCGACCGGAGTAATCACTGAATTGTTCCGTAGATCGACTTGTCCGTCGCATATGTAGCGTCATTTGCGTAATATCGTACGTTCTTTTTTTTATTACTAATTCTTAGAATTAGAGCTTGATACATTTTGCAAAATACCAGACACTCGTGACAGAGTGATCCGATAGTCACGAGAAACAGATAGTCACTTTATACGTTTGCCGGACGTACGAAGGCAATTTTACACGAGTAATGCCGAGTTTGATTTACATACACTCGTTTATTTATACGTAGGTTCGTAAAGAGAAAGTAAGGGAATAAATATTCCGAGAAAGAGACTGATTCGAGTCGTTTTCATTCTGTTACGTGTACGTATCGTTTTGCATAGCAACAGTGATGCAACGAATCGTCAAATTTGTATCTTTCATCGCTCGAATAATTCCACAGACTAATGTGGAACATTTGAGCTTGGGATGACCTGGAATGACAAATGAAGACTTCTGATGGGAAACGCTAGCAACGTGTCCGTAAAGATATCGGTAAGATCTCGTGCAATGTATTATCTTGAAATAATATATCGATTGCGTTGCAATTTATTGTTCGAGCTGCAGTTTATACGAAGATTGTTTTAAACTAATTTCGTCATTGTCGATTGCGACCGCAAACTGGAAATCGTGTAATTATTCTCGGACAGCCTCAAAAAATGCATCAACTAGATTATTTTATCAACTAGTAACTGTTGATTGTTTTATTTCTTGCGATATTTTATTGTTTAGCTTGGGGAATTAATTTTCAGTGAAAATCCCATAACAAGAATACAAAAAAACATACCAAATATAATTATCTTAATTTTAGTAGTAGAATTATTAATAGTAGTAGAATTAATATTATACATAATGTTACATTATGCAAAGAGCTCGGCCCAGTGAAACCTTGGTGAAACTTGCTATCTAATCTATCTACGTTCATACAGTCATCATTCGTGTTAATATGAGACGTGAAATAGATTTAAACGAACTTCGGAAATTATGGAATATGAGCTTGTTGAAAATTGCGCGAGTACCGTTCCTCAGTCTCGGTAATAGCTTCCGCTGCAAATTATCCATTAAATACATCGCCACACGTTTCACAATACGTTTCGCAATTAAAAGTTTCTTCCAGACACGTACCGAGGCTGGAGGTACGAAGAAAAACCTCGCGAGGTATTGAAACGAGCTCTAATCGACTCGCTAAAAATGTTATCAGGAAAATGAAACTCTCGCTAATTGAGATAAGCTTATTTTCCCAATTAAATATAATGAATGGATTCCAATGAAACACATCACGTTTCTCAGCTTCATGTTTGTGAGTGTATATGAACTAATCAACCAAATATAAGTGTGGAATTACATAAATAATTATACATATATATATATATATATATGTGTGTCACTTTGATATTGTATTAAATAATAAATTGATATTTCTATATCGTATACGCGCATCAATATTAAATAGATATTTGCGGTTGGAGTTAAAAGTTGTATTATCACGTGTTATTAACGTACGAGTTTATTACGATTCATAAATAATATATATATTATTACGCAACAACCTCTTATCGCTTTTAAACTACCGCTTTAGAAAGAATGACAGCTGAGCGCAAACTTTTCGAGGCTTGCAGTCGCAAATTCGGATTGTTAGTATACTCCTCGAGCGTATCTCTGTAATTTGCATTTTAACAGATTTATTTGCTCGGGTGTGACAGTACGTACAGCACGTACGAAACTTTAGGGACAGGTTGGGAAAGAAATGTGAACAGGGAAGAAGGAGAAGAAGGAGAGAGAAAAAGAAGAGAAACGGAGAGGATTGTGACTTCACTGCTGAAAACTCTGTACTTAATGTCGCTCCGTCCGTCCAGTTTAATGTTGTCTTGAAAACAGCGCAGTATCTGAGGATATGGCAAAATAAAATAATACAGCAAAGTGTATCATCTCGTTAAGACAGTAATGCCGACATTAACGATATAACATTGTCGACTATCCTAATCGAACGCCATCGGAACGCCGTCATCAAGACGGACGAAGAGATTCGATATCCGAGACGAAAAAGAAAATCGCATGTTATGCAATGTTCTTCGTGGAATTTGCCACTTGTGTAATGTATGGCAATTTCTGTTTAAGCCGTACGAGGATTAACACGTAACATATTGAGTTTGCCTTCGATTAGATACGCAGCTATTGGCAGCGTTTCGATTGTATAATCTGACTGATATGTGTGTGCTGAGATTCGCATTGCAAACACCAGATCAGCTGATCAATAGCTGTGCGAGAATGGGGACTACTTGGTCTTCAGCTCACACAGAGAACACACAATTACGAGCATACTATTAATACCGAGAGACTGTGCTAATCGGCGCCTGCACAACTGTGGCACAACTGGTTTAAAAAAAGAGAAAAATTCCCGACAATTATCTCGATGTTCAAAAGCATTCGTAATGTGGGTCAATGCGTAACTGCGGTTGGATTTGACAAGGGAACGTTTATCGTTCCGACATGATAAGCAATGTGCTGCAGAATGATAAAAAGACGTGTAATTTGTATTGCTAATGCGTGCTTTATCACACAGTTAAATAATTTATCGAAGCGTACTGTTGGCATGTTCGATTACATGCTTACGTGGCTACATGTTGACGCAACGGCGAAATGTAAAGAGAAAATTCATCGGCAACAGCTGCGAAATATAATCTGGATTGATCGGGAATTTAATTGAAGTTTAACACGCCACATAGCGAGTTTTGTTTTCGATCTATTTCACACCGAAGTTACAATTTAATTTTCACTATATCGAGAGAACAATTTGCTGCTACGTGAAGAAGTTACGTGAGAAAATCGTTATTCATCGCGAGTCCGCAAATCTCAGTCGCAAAGAAAGATTGCGGTGGGGTGTGTTCCAGATTGAAATTAAACGTGAAACGAAGACGAAGGTGCGGAACTTCAGCTACGCTTGTGCCATTTAACGGCTCTTTCTCGCTTGGCCTAATCAAACAGAATTCGATGAGCTCCTTTTGTACACGTCGGACGTGAATCTAGACAATACTCGTTAAACAATGGCGAACATTTGCCGAAACGTCCGCTAGCATCGGCTGGCCTGTTTCGATCCGGAAACAAATCGATCCTTCCGATCGCTCTTCTAGCTCGCTAATTAAGCAGTCGAAACTACGATCACAATTTTAGTTCAATTTATTTACAATTTTGAAACAAATATTGAGAAAATCGGTGTGTTTTCTGGTAGAAAAATCTGTCGCAATGATATGTCGAGTGATGCTATTGTTTCGTTGATGTTATATTTATATTATTATGTGTCAATGCACGTGTTAATATTTGCAACATTAAGTGTAGTTTCTTTTTTAGATTTTTTAATATTTGCAACATTTAGTTTCTCTCTCTCTCTCTCTCTCTCCCCCCCTCTCTTTCTTTTTCTCTTTGTCTCTCTCTCTCTCTCTCTCTCTCTCTCTCTCTCTCTCTCTATGCGCATCGTTTGCATTCCTTGCGCAAATGTATCTCTCACATTAATAGTCAATAATTATTGAAATCGCGCAACATGTATTTGCAAATCGAAATAAATCATTCGTGACAAACTACCCACGATTGATCCTCGGTGATCTTTCCTTGTCCGAGTAATTAGTAATCAGGTTTGGCATTTGGGGATCAATCAATGTGGCGTTCAGGACAATCGTATACCTCCTGCAAATAAAACGAAATTATATTTATTCTTAAAGGTCACACAGTTACGTGTAGATTTCGCGTCAAACAAAGTTCCGGAAATCGGTAATATCGCTTGAACAATTTTACAATAAACGTTTCGTATTAAACTCGTTCCACTTGTAACGCTGACGCCTCGGAAACTCTCGCGTGCACGCGATATTTGCTAAGGATATCGAGTGATAGCGGTCTTCTGCGCGAACTTTGTGCTTATTGACGTGACTTACAAGGATACCGTTTAATTAATAAAATTCTATAGCAAAATTCGTTTCTCAATGAAACCAATTTCTCAGTTTTATTGTTAAATCGAGTGAAACACTTGGTGAAAACTTACAATAACCTTGTTCTAAAGAGAACAATTTCCAATATTATTTTCTTTATACACGTGGACGATTTCGATCCTCTGAATAGAATCCTGAGAATTCCTGAGAATAAAAAACTTTTTTTCGCAACTCTGTGGTCGCAGTCTCGTCATACCGCAATCGATTGTCTCATTTCGTTGGAAAATATCTAGCGTGAACCTTAAAAACCACCAAATCGACGGCCATTAAGTTGTGCGGTTTCAAACCGCAGATCAAAAAATAAGAAAAGGAAATTCATTTATACAATGAGAGAAATATTAAAATATAAAAAGCACTAAGCTATAAATTAAGTGCAAAAGTTTTTCTAGTCCGTTGTATCCTTTGATTTGCGATTTACTACAATGTGTGTAAAAGTCGAAAGATCACACAAGAAAGGCTCTTGTGTATAATTATTTTACAAGAAAGATAAAATTGTGTATTTTATAATTTACACCGATTTGTTGTTAATAAGTAATTTTTTAATTTCGACCGATAAACAGTTTTAGGTAAACAGCTTCCCCTCAAGTATATGCGGATCGCATCCTCGGCTTGACCTCTTTCACTTCAAAGCTCAACAGGGCTGTGCATATTGGCATGCTGACACGGACAGTAAGTAATATATGGAATGTTACTCCTGGATCAGAGGAAATTGAGCGTTTTAAAAACCGTTTTTAAAACCACTAAAGATCGTACGTAAATCGTATATGTCAAAAGTTCTACAAAAATTCCTCGTTTTTAAACCACTGCTTTCACAATCCACAAGATTTTAAATCTCTCGAAATTGAGAAGATTCACGAAACCAGTCCAATCTTTCAAAATAGAGACACATCGTAGTAATTGTTGGTCATTGTTTTAACTAAATAGAAACGACGCACGACTTCTGAAAATTAATACTTGATATACGCGTTTTTTTTTGTTTCAAATTAATATCCAGCAGCAATTTTTATCGTAAATGAAGCTCTTTATTTTCTTTCATTCCTTTAATATTTCTCGGAACATTGTGATTATTTCTGCAAAGATTGAATTTTCGTCCCAGAAATCATCAGCTGAAAGTTATCTAGTTGTTGATGGTGAAAGTCGCATATTTAAGACTCTTTCTGCAAAACGTTTGGAAAATATAATTCAGGAATTCCAGACAATTTCACACTCTGCCTTACGTATCGACCGTTTTAAAGTCTCTCTGCTTAAAGATCATGGCCACGTTGCCTCGACCTGCCTGATTCTGCCGCATGAAATGCACGCGGAACGTTGAAAGAGAGATGTTTTTTTTATTGTTTATTGCAACCTCAGCAACTTATTACTTTCAGATTATGTCGATCGATTTCGGTTCTGGTTATATACAGCAATAATCCAGAAAAGAACTTATTTTTTCCGGAAAAATGTATTCCACATTTCTATTTTTATAATCGAATAATCAAACAAACAAATAATGTATGTAATATGCAGAATATCTTGTTCCCAAATGTGCACAGAGAGGCAAGTTAATTAATTAACAAATCGAAGGCAGCACGGAGTTTATGCGAATCTTTTGCGAGATATACGACTTATTGTACTTGTTTTGTTTTCCTCCGCAAAAGATATAGCTGAGATACGTATGAACGCAAATACGCATCGACCGGATATATATGTGACCGGAATAAATAAAGCGAAACGAGAGAGAGAGAGAGAGAGAGAGTTTATTTACAGAGTCCGGCACATTCCCACGGACTGCTGCAAGGCGAGTACCGGAACGAAGATGTAGAAACGCCCGAAACGGCGAAAATGGACCATTAGAAGAAACATGGATGCTCCGAATGCTCACGGCAATAACACCCAAGAATTTTGCGACATTCAGTACAAACATTTCGTCGCGCCGTACGGAGGTACGATCTAATGAAGATTGTCATTAATTTTCCGCGTCGCCGACGCGAGTCGTTTATAAGCCTCAGTCGTTCGTCCCGAAATCTCGCGTCATCAAATCTGACGACCTGGGGGGCTCTTTATTTTCTTTCGCAGCTGCGCTTCGCGTAAACATTTCCAACGGGATGTTGTTTGTGTAATATAAAAGTGATCCGCGAACTTAAGCTTCGGTAAGCTTCCGCGAAATTCGCTGCAACTTCGGAAGCGCGAATATTCCTCGAGCATAAAGTTTCGTGGTGCTTCTATTGGATCGAAGTTGATGAATGAAAGTGACGCGTGCTTGGCGAGATTTAACATTTCCGCGGAAAGCGGGAATTCCGCTGTTCACGTGCTGTTTTCTAGAACTCTGGTGCAAACCGGTATGGGACTCGTTGCTGTGTTGGCCGCCGACGAGAGCCTCCACAACGGCGAAGCAGCGATGCCCGTTCGTCGATGGTTTCGACACGATCAGTAAGTGGTCGCACAGCACAGTCACTCCGAGTAATCGTTGCGAAACCTCGATTTTCCTAATTACGCACAACTGCTGAATTTGTCCAAAGCCGCTCGAGAGTCGACAGTCGGCCTTCACGTCGAGTCTATTCTACGCTCATTTACCGCAGTTCCCAACTTCCCTCCATTAACGTTTCCTATTGAGTCGTTGTTCGTGCTTCTCAACAAAAGCAAAATCACTTTTTGTTTCATTTCTTCTCGCGCGGGAAATCGCGGATTATCGTAATACTAACTCGCCCGTTGAGATTGACAAACGAGTTGCCGCGGAATTGCCGCCTGCGAGTTTTGGCGAGTTTAATAGAGCTGCATTGTTTAAAAACTTTGAGGGCCGTTTCACCGCGGAAAGTCATTACAAGGTGCTTTGTATGCCTTCCATTTGCCACGCGACCGCATTCCGCAAAAACTTCCGGACGAACTTTCGAAATTCACGCGCGAGTAGCCGAGTAGCGGAGACAACGATTGCGAGCGCCTTGTGAAACTCAAAGCTCAAAGGATCTAAGCTTTCCGTATTGTACGCCTAGATCAAAGTATCTCTCCATCATGGATAATGACTCGTTGTCTATAGATAGGAAAAAACGCTTGAATTCTCTCGCAAACTCAATGGGGGGCGGGTGAGAGGTTTTTTGAAGAGTCCGACGCGAGAATCCCGTATGGAAAACTTCTAAGCCAATAACGCGCGCTTTGACGCAGAAACATTTCCAGTTGCTCTCAGGACCACATACATACAGTCGTACATTTTCTTTCTCTTCATTCGTCGCTTCTTTCCTCCTCATTTCAAACGAACGAGTGGTCGCGCACATATAGCCCCAACACACGTTCAAAATGTAATCTTGAACATTTCTCGAGAGACCCTGCAATCAGGTGCGTAAATCTGTGCAAAGGACAAAGGAATGCTTCTCATCGTCGCCTGAATTTCGCCAGTGCACAGTGAGGAACTTAGAATCGGAGAGTAAAGCTCGAACTCTCGATCGAGAGTGCGAATAAAGTTCGGCTTCGGTTCAACGGTTGCCGTACTTAGAGGGAACTTTTAAAACGATAGCGAGAACTCTTTCTAAACGTGAGATTCCTCTTTACGTTTCTTTCCGCCCCCCATGGCCATTCCGCGTTGTCCGCGCCTGTCGTTAGCGCCGATACGAATTTCGAGAAACCTCGTAATGACTTTCGCGATTCGAAACGATCCATACGAACGTCCGGTAAAAGAGGAAACGAAATAGAAGAAAAATAGAAAATAAAATATTTCCAACCAGTTAAAATTTTTCCATGTTCTTTTTCTGCATATACCTCAAACGTGGCAAACTACAATAATAAAAATAACGAGCTGTCACTTTCAAAAGTTTCTCGTTTCCTATTCATCTCAATATTTCATTCTGTCGTATTTTTTTTTTTCGTCGTATTTTGTTCGATATATTTTTACGAAAATTGCTCAATTTTTTTATTTTACGATTTTATTCCACGTCCCTCCGAGAGACGTGCAGAACATTTAATAAAACACATAAAATGTTGTAAAAAATACAAATCGAAGATTAGATCTGAAATATGAAGGCAAAATTGAATATTCTCAGCTGCAGCGCGTCGGACTTTTCCGTTTTTCCTCGCTCGCCAGATTATAGACTTTCCGTCTGTACTTCTTTTGCAGAATCCGTGGAGAAGAAATGCGGTTACAACGGGCGCTGGGTGGCGCAAAACGGCACAAGCACGAACGAGGATTCGCCTACTGGCTGGGCCAACTACACCACCTGTTTGACGCCGGAGATGCTCTGGCTTCATTACAGGGTTTACAACAACAATCTCGAGGGCGAGGTATGTAATTGTCAACGGAACGATGCATCTAACAGTGCATTGCGCAGTGTGCGCGAATGCCTGTGGCTCAATCGTAGCGGCAAACTAGTTGTCCGCCGTGACGTCGCGTATTTAACTTCGTCTTAGAATTAGAGAATGAGACGCAAGCGGAATGACAAAGTGGAGCGGCGAAGTGAAGACGCTGTGAAGCGCACCTCGCATAACTTGTCCGCGTATATCCGCTGCTTTCGGCGCTTTTTCTCCCCTGATGGGAAACAAATCTCTTCCGGGTCGGAAGGTGGAACAACACGGTCCGTATACCAGCTAGTTTGATAACTCGGAACTCGGAACTTTGAGAGAATCGCCATGCTGCACGCGACGTGAACGACGCGACGTCGATATTGTTTGCGGCGTGCCGCGCCGGGTGTCGTGCTCGGATATTTTTGGAATTTCCGATTAGTCTCGACGCTATTTCCGCCTATCGGAAACGATAAACAACGAGAGACGCTGAAAACTCGCCGTGAACTGTCGCCGCAAAATGTTTCGAGCTTCCTGTCCTGCTGCGCGTACCGGGTTTAATCGGATTTTGCTGCGTTTAACGTGCTTCCGCGGCAGCGGTTCTTTTCTTTACCTTTTTTACGCCTTACTCTTTCTCCCAGTCGGGAGAATATGCAGGAAATTTCATCATTCCATGAATGTATTCAAAGTGTCGAAAATTAATAACTGAATTTCTGTTAATAACTTTCGCGGAAAATCTCGGCAGAACCTCGCCGCAGTAGAGAGGAGAGTATATTGGTCAACTCTAAGGCTCTTTTCGTCTTTTTTCTCAGATGAAAATGGAAATCGCCGAGAGAACCCGCACTCTCGAGTTTGTCGGCCTCAGTATCTCCCTGGTGGCACTGCTCGCTTCCTTGGTGATTTTCTGTCGATTTAGGTGAGCGCGCAATTCGACATTCGACGCGACATTCCAAGCGAACATTTCCAGATCCAATTTTAATCGTTAGCACGTGTGTCTGAGGTTACTGCATCGCGCACTCAGTTCAGTTTCGATTCGTGTCGTCGAAGCGAATGCGAGAATAATGGCCAAATAAAACGATTCTAACCGTATCTCTAACACGTAAGAGGCGCGCGTTTGGGCGCGCGTTGCTGAATCGACAAAACGTAAAAGTATACGAACTGCTTGAAACGAATATGCATTCGCGCTGTACACAGCCAGTTCAGTTTGCATAAATTTGCGCCCGGAACGATAATCGAATCAAACGAATAGCGCGAACTGAAACCGAAGGATCAAACGCTACTCTGTGATTAAATTCTGCAGGTCGTTGCGGAACACGAGAACCAGGATTCACAAGAACCTCTTCGTCGCCATGGTCGTTCAGGTGTTAATCAGGTTGATATTGTACATAGACTTCGCGATCTTTCGGCGAAAGACGCACGGCGTGCAACGGGGGATAGGGAATACCGTAAGGCGCAATCAGATTACTTGGCTGTTACGACAAAAATAAAAGAAGGAGATGCGATTGCACTCTCCCGATCGTCTCCAGGCAAGCGAGCCTGGCAACTGAGCTCACCGAGTTTATTTTTTACACGACGTGTAAAAGTATCCTTTACCGCTGATTATCTCGCCGATGTTAAATCCCTCGGTTCGGAATCAATTTAATTTCAAATCGATCTCCAAATCAATATAGTACACACGTTTTCACATAGTACACACCATTTTCTTCGGTACAGTTTTCTTATGAGAAAGAAACACGTCGCGCGGATGCAGAAATTTGCCGCGTATACTCACGTTAGCGAGTTTTCGCATGAAAAGCGCTTGATTTCCTTCCTTTTGCATCCCTTTCCAGCCGGTGCTATGCGAGGCGAGTTATGTGCTGTTGGAATACGTTAAGACCGCGATGTTCATGTGGATGTTCATAGAGGGTCTGTTCCTGCACAACATGGTCACCGGTACGTAAGTAAGCCGCAATGCCACTGTACACGCTCTTTGTGTGTGCGCTCTTTCGCGTGCTAATCTTGTTAGGCACGCGACAGGTTGAATAGGACGACATAAAAAAAGAGAGAGAGAGAGAGAGAGAGAGAGAGAGAAACTGGGGCTGGCGGAATCGAAATGGCAGTGAAAAAGACTTGCCGCAATATTGCAGCACGAGGCGCACAAGCAAATCGCACAAAATGTTATACTTAATTCCATGTTACATTTAACCCTTTAACGCCTACTGGTAACTATCTACAGTTACCAGAAGCGCACTTAAGAATCTATAACTTGGTCAAAAAAGAAGATATTTTTTTTTGCACCACTGTAAAAGTGAATTCTTCTTCTAAAGAATGGTATTGCATGTAGATTCGGCTTAGTCTGTTTGTGTGCTCAGTTTTAATGATAACACGTTTTGTCAAATTCCAAGTAGGCATAGTTAGCATTGTTACTGACATCTAGAAGTGACGCTACAAATGAATAGATTGGTATCTGTGTTATAATTTTTTGTACATTTGGAAGCTTTCTCAGATGCAAAATGTGAAATTAAAAGAATATAAAAATTCAAAATGACGAATCCGATATGGTGGACACGAAAATCAAGAAATCAACCTATTTTCGTGAAAACCTGGTGACCTACAGCACTTTTTATGCGACGAAAAATGAAGGGACGATTGACCGTCCAAATGGTGATCTGTAATAGGATATTCTTCTGAAATAGTAAGCTTGACGCTCTGAATGATAAACTTCACTCACAAATATAGTAAAGTTTCAGCTGAAAAATGTCAAGCTGGCTATCAGAGTTATGTCGTATAGATTACCCTTCATTTTTCTCTGTATAGGTTGCTCTGTATAGGTTGCTCCTTTCGTATATGCTTTTAGGATCCAAGTCATATTTACCAATACAAACAATAAACGAACGATAAAGAAACCAAACTAACGAAACCAACAAACGAAAAGCGAAAACTTCATGTACTCATTTATTCGGAAGTAAACGATTGACGCTGATTTTCCGTGTAATTGTTTCACGGTTTTTCCATCTGGATAACCATCTCTGAGTGTGTCCATGTTTATCATTTTTACCGTTATATTTACACAAAAAAAGAAACAACAAATTCATTCCTTCAGAAGTGGACTACTACTTTACACTTTACTTTGCATTACTTTACATTGGAAAGGTAGTTTTTCGTAGATATAAAATTCTGATATCTTTTTTGTTTATCACTATTTATAGTCTCAGTTCAAAACAATTCAAATTTTATTCCTAAAACACTTATAAAAAAGTCGGGCGTTAAAGGGTTAAAAAAGAGTCGCTTTTTTTACTTGTCAGAAATGTCCGTTCATTTATCCATTTTAAATTGGTTGAATCTGCGAGAAAGAAAAACCTAACACGGGAGATCGTGAGATACGTATTGAATGAAGTCGCTGTGAAATGCAATGAACGTTCTCGACTCGTTAACATTTTAATATTTTGGTCAAGCTTTCGTTAATAAAGCGCGCACAAACGATATTTATCGTTTTCACAGCTTCTCAATTTATGACTCTATGCAACTCCGCGCTTCGTTCTTACAGACTTCGGCGCATTCGACAGATGAAAATTATTACCGTTGAAATAAATCAATTTTTCGAGTCACGGTCGATGTAAAGTGCTTGACCGACTAATTAATTAACAGCAGCAACGACGGATTTTATTATCACGCTCACCGATGTTGCAGTGACGGTCTTCCAAGAGACGTCTCATTACCGAATGTACCGATTCATCGGATGGGGATGTCCAGTGCTGATGACTTTGGCTTGGGCCATCGTTATGGCGTTTTATTATCATCCAAAGTCAAAGTACGTTGATTTCTTTGTGACAAAACGCCGAGAACAAATCCCTTTTGTGCACGAACATGTCAGCTAATACCTTCATCCTCGAAAGTGCACGTTGTCGCAATTAAATCGTCGAGTAAAATTCCAATTGGAGTCCGCGCGGCTGAAACTGAAGTTTCATTATCCGACATCTTTATCGCGAAAGTTGTCTTCGTTCTAATTTGAGATGTTTGTTGTCAAAGTTTGTTATCAAAGCTCACTCGGCATTTGACGGGGAGAGTTAACAAGACGTCTTGTGGAGGAGGAAATATTAAGACATGTCGAAACATTAGGTTTCTCAGATGCTGGTCGGGATACAATTTGTCGTCTTACTTTTGGATCCTCGAAGGGCCCAGATTCGCGGTGATATTGGTAAGAATTAGTTACAGCGAAGTTTTATCAAATTACAATTTTTTTTTTCAAGAACAAGAAACTCGATATAAATATATTTTTATCTATTTCTTTGCAATTATTGTCGGCATGATGACAGACAGCATCTTACTTCTTTTGTAACAACATCTTCTCTCGCTAATATTCATCGCTGAAGAAGCAAACTTCGTATAAATGAAAATGAATGTTCAATTTTATTGCGTTCAAACAGACAAACTTATTCAACCCGACAAACAGCCCCGGAATCCGATAATTCAATCATGTTTCTTCCCAGCTCAATTTCTTGTTCCTGCTGAACATCATAAGGGTGCTGGTAGTGAAACTGCGACAAAGCCACACGAGCGAGATCGAACAGGTCCTGTAAGTACGCAAAGGACCGAAGAGCTTAAGAGCGTAACTTCTCGGAACCATGTTAAATCCTCGCGGAATCGGCAGATTGATTCGTCTATCTCTCCCCGGTCGCAAGGCGAATAACTCGAGGACGCTCCATTATTCCGTGCGTGCACGCAGATATTTTTCTTCCTCGTTTGTTGCTCGCGCTCCTCTCAAGAAATGTTCATACTCGCTGGGGATGAAGCGCAGAGCGTGAAATCTGGATCGAAGGGACGACGCGTCGCGAACAGATATCGGCTGGCTTTCCAGAGTGTCTCCCGTTTAGCCTTCCGCCCCGTTTATTCCCCGTCTCAATTGAATATTCAATACTCGACTTCTGTCCACGAAGACTTCTAACTACGAAGAATTTACGTGCTCGCATCCCGTTACTCGGTCCGTGTCGCGTTTCGTTAAAGTGCGACTGACAGTAAAGTGCCGCGCGCGCCTTTTCCATCCAGCAACGGAATATATTACAAAGGACGGTTCTCCCGTTCTAGGAAAGCCGTGAGGGCAGCCGTGGTGCTTCTGCCCTTGCTGGGCATCAGCAATGTGCTCTTCATGATCGAAGCCCCGTTGGACAACGTGAGAAAATTCGCCCTCTGGTCCTACTCCACGCACTTCCTGCATTCGTTTCAGGGCTTCTTCATCGCGACCCTTTACTGCTTCCTCAATGGCGAGGTGAGGAATGACATTGCAGACGGGACGAGTCGGACAGCATCTAACGAATAACGTCAATTTTATTATGGTCAATTTTATTGTGGTCTCCCAATCAAGTTGCTACACAAGGCATACATCTGCTCGCAGGTGAGACTCGCTTTGGACAAAACTATCGCCGTTCATCTCTCCCTGAGGGAAAGCGACCTGCAGACTAGGAGACACAAAATACAAGCTCCGCCTTCAGCGGCCGTTAGACTCATCGAGTAGCTTCGGGTGAGTGTGATTATTAAGTTACCGAGATTACATTCGTGCTGCAGGAGCTTCCGATGATTCTCCGCTTTTTCTCACCACTCGTTCGATTTCGTTTCTTTTTTCGTATGTAAAGTAAGACGCGCGGCAATTTGTTCACCCCAAAAGAGTTTGCGCACTTAAAAATTCCTCACGTTCGTTCCTCACTTTCGCTCGCTCTTTATTTATTCTACCGTTCGCGAATTTGTGTAAACTTGCCTAAGATCGAAAGATCGGAGTACTCACTCCTACAGAAGCGTCGATTGCTCCACGTTTCAGAACGGCCGTCTGACCACATCAATTACTTGAATTCCTCGGCGCCCGGGAACCAGCCTCGCACTAAGCTAATTCCATGGATTGTGTGGCTGCCGATGTCACGCTCGGATTAACCCCTGGAGGAAACAGATTTTCGCTCGCGGCTCTCGCGGCTCTCGCCGCACAGTCGACTGCATCACGTCGCAGTGAACGCGACACAGAATTTCTGAATAAAAACGCCGCTTGCTTCTGAATAAGAACGCCTGACGTCAGGCGAAATAAGTTTCAAAGTTGACGCGTTTTCGCAGAGTATGTGTACGTAAAGGGCAACCGTAGGGAACTCCGAGCCTGTCAAATGCAACAGAAGCGCTCTCTCCGTCTCTCAGCGTGACGAAACACGAGTCTCAAAGGCCCAGCTTTTCTGTCGTCACTCTGTAAGCCAGTGCTGGCCAAATGTTTACCAAGTGTCAGCTGAGTTCTTTTTCTCTCGACATTTTGCTCTTTATAACTGGGACGATGCGATGTTCTGAGACTAATTAAAAGGTACCCGCAAAGAGACTGGCGTAAAGACTCGCTCAGATCGCTGCTATAAAATTTATTGTCATTAAAATTCAGTCATTGAGAATCATTAACACATTGTTCCGGGAACGCCAGAATTTTTTGCACAATTCAAGCGTCATATGGCGGATTGGCTTGATTAATTTAATGATCGATCTAATTGTTTAACGACTTTATGATGATTATGTAAGATTCATTCAGCATTCGATCGACACGATCGACACGAATGAATCGTAGTTTGAACATCACTGATGTAGTCCATTTGTTAAACAATCGCCGAAGCTTCGATAAATTGAATTTGATCGCTTGCATAAATAACTTTAAATCTTTTCGATCGAAAGCGGTCCGAGACGACGTATGTACGTACGTCTTCGCGTTCGATCGTGTAACGTCTTTCGTCTTTCCGCGGGAAATCGACCGTCGAGAATCGACGGGATTCACGGATTCGCGAGCTGGAAATCCTGGCTCGCTAATCGCCAATCGAAAGACTTTCTCTGCGTCAAAGGAAGCAATCCGTGACGTAGCTTGACCTTAGTCGGCAAAATTGCGCGCTCATTGTCTGGCGAAAGTAGGTCTTAAACGTACGTATAACGAACGAACTTGGCCAAACAGCCAAGTTCGAAGGCTACAACGAAGATGCGCAGTTAAGAATCCTTGCCGGAAGAACGGCCGAGGACGCGGCTTCTCCTAATCTTTTTACTCCGCTGTCGTCGTGTCCATTCGTTCTCTCGGAAATACGCCCGAGATCGCGAGTTCTCTTTTGCGTGTCGCAAAATCGTCGCGCGCTCGTCGTCGTGCGCTTTCGCTAAACTGCTACGTCATTAAAATTGTAAAGTCGTGAGGTCTCTCTTTAACGCCTCTCACGTAGCCCTCCCAATTAGTGCTCCTTGCGGTGCAGTTTGTGAAGATTTCGCAGCGAATTTCACTCCATATGTACCTCTGCTTACCTCTGCGAGTTAATCGCGATCGGACAGTAAAGTCGCCGACTCACCTCGATGGAACGAAGAATCACCGCAAGCGTGAATTGTTAACCACGTTAGAACGTCGTTTTAAGTGCCGCCGCTGGAAGTGCCGTACGTAGTCACATTACGTTGTACTCTAGCAGCTTTACATCGTGCAATCCAGCCTCGTCGTCCATCGGAGAGATAAAGTAGAGTGAAACAGCGTCAGAGATTTCTTTCTAAAGAGATTTTATTGCGCCACATCACAATATAGAAAAACGCACTAGCGTATAAAATTCTCTACGAAGGAACATCGAGCTCTATCCCTGTAAGGTGTAAGAAGTACGGAATTTCGCTCTAAAACGAGAGATGAAGCCGTTGTTCGTCGCGGAAATATCACCTCGCGCTCCATCAGACAGCGTGAGCAGTTAATAGCATGTATTCGGATTCTCCACAGGCATTCGACTAGGCCTGTAACAAAACACGAACACGTCTTTTGTGTCTTTGTGTTTCGCCGAAATGTCCTTGATGACGCATATCTCCGAATGACGAAAAGTTCCGTTCGTCAGATTTATGAATTGCTCGTGACGTTTCACCCTCAGAGATTCAAACACACACATTATTGTATTGTTGTAATATATATTACATTAATGTTATAATATCAATATCAATATTATTACTAATATTAATATCAGTATTATACTAATATTAATATTAATATTAATATTAATTATATTAATATCAATTACGTTACAGTATACAATATTAATATTACATTAATGTTATAATATCAATATTATTATACAATAACATTGTGTCACATAGTATTAATACAATCGATATTTCTCTTGCAAAAACGTGCGACTCCCGCGTTAATTTCAGACGGAATCCCCGGAAAACGGAGAGTACACGCCCTTCCCTTTTCGACCCTCATCCCTCATCCGAAACTCAAACAACTCTCCTGAATAATTCACGAATATGTCGCAACGGCAGACGCCATCGAGAGAGATCGCGGTAGAAAACTACGAAAGGACGGATTCGTAACCCTTCATCCGTTTTACAGTCGATCGTTCCAGCCAGCAAGTAATTTTACGAATAATCCCTGACCCTGTAAACGATCTGATCGAGAGTCCTCGCTCTCACCTATCGTAATCGTAAACGTAACGTTAGTCCGCCAACTTTGTCGTAAATGTGTGTGATAGTTGTGTCTACTTAAACGATATATATTCTACGTCGTAAAGACTATCACAGATATGTTCTAAAAGCCTATAAATTTCACGTGTGCGCGGTATATATCGATCAACGTTTGGTAAAGAAAGTCCATTAGAGATCGCTAGTAAATAGCCCGCACGAATAGACTGATCAGCCGCGTTGGTCTAATATATCGTCGAAATTATCGATCGAAAAATCATATTGTCTATTCGGTACAAATAGTCGAGAGTGATTCTGTTCTTTGAAGTATTTAAAAATATTTCCGCAGCTGAGCTTTCTGTTGAAGTCGCAAGTGCAGCTCGTGTTGTCAAGAAATATCCCTTCACCCGTCTTTTACTGAGAGATCTTTTACTGAGTAGTAAAACTGTAGGAATTCGCGGCTCTTCTCCTCGCGCTTACAATGTCACACTGTCGTTTGCGTGCGAAAACTATCGAAACTCGTCGTGGAAACTTCTCTCCGTGTCTACCATCTTGCTGCCGAGGAACAGATCCATCTTGCTAAGGATTTCCGGAAGATCGAGTTTCCCGTCCAGGTTCGTGTCCGATAGAGTTATCAAGTGCTGGGCCTCCTGGATCGCATGTCTGGGGTTCCGCGGATCGATGTACATCTGGAAGAAAGCTTCTGTTCTTTCTTTCGCCCCGAGAAATGAAGAAAATATTTTTTTACGTCTCATTTAACACGAATACGAATTATGCGACGTACAATTTTAAGATTAAAATTAATATCTCGCCAAAGTAGCAAGAGCCACCCCAGCGACAATTCAGCGATATCCCTCGTTTAATGCTCTTGACGCTTAAAGTATCTCTCTTATCGATGTGTGCACTTTATCTGCGCTTACTTTACTTCCTTACGTTCTATTACTCACCAGAAGCTCGGTTCGATCGGCTTTCCCATTTTTGTTCTTGTCGATCAAATGTCGGAACTCCTTACGTCTGTCTTCGCTACCTCCTATCGACTGCTGCCGATCCTCGCGTAAATCTAGGCCGACTCCGTCAGACGGCAAATCCGAAAACTCGTCCTCCGTTAACTGCTCGTCACCGTCTCGATCTTGTGTCACACACAACGGATTGTACTTTTTATTATTGTACCTTTTCGTGTCCTTTTGTCAATTTCGACAATAAATATTAGAAAATGTCAAATACAGTTTACCAATACATAATGGAAGAAAGAAAAACAAAGTATTGCGCACACCGCACGCGTGCGTGCACGCACGTAATTTTACCGAATTTCTCAAAGAGATCTTCCACCATCTGCAGCAGGGCCCTGTGGCTGCTCTCAGGATGCGTGAAGGCCAGAAATTCGTCCAAAGTCAATTTCTCGGGATCATTTCTAGCCGCCTCGGCCCATCGCGCTCTATCCCTCATTATACTTTCCTTCAGCGACCGCGACATTTCGCTGTGTTTCTTATCATGGGAATTTATGTAACTCTCGGAGAAACCATGAGATCTCAGGAAGTACGCGTGATACTCTTCCCAGGATACTTCGCCTACGGCAGATATCAAGAATTTGTGTTTATAATAACGATACTTGTCACTTGTTTGTAGTTATACTTGTCTCAATTATGCTGTTCTCGCGACAATTCTCGCGCTCTTCTCGCGCTCCTCGCTTGTCTTCGTGTAATTTTTGCAACTATCCGAGAAGAAAGAGAGATAGGATAGGATTTAGTTGTCCAAGCGAGCGACCGATTAATTGATAGATTATCATTAAATCGGTCAATTATCTGATTATTGATCCAATAATTTATCTGTTAATCCAAACAGTTAGTCGTACCGGTGAGTGCTTGTCGTTGTTCAATTTTTGTACAAGCGCACGAAATTCAAATATTACATCGCAATAATGTAATGTAATGGATTTCAACATATTCAACACGAGTAACCTAACTTTTCGTCGAGCCGAGCACGAAAATAGAAACCGCTACTAATTTTGCATTTTGCATATCGTTAATTATTGCGTGTATCCCCTAGCACACATAGGTGCGCAGGTGGCAAATATGACTGTCCTACTTTTAAAGTGATATATCTTGAACTGACCTAGCGGGCGGGCATATTTAATTAATGAGCGCGTCCAGGTAAATTAAACATGAAACGGCAGTTTTGCGAGTGACATTTGCGAGACTGCCGGCTAATCAGATCAGATTTTTATCTTTTCTTTTTTTATTCACAGTACCATTTCTGGGATTGTTGTCGATGGCGGTGAACAAACCGACGTTCTCCCGCATGGCACGGCTTATGTGTTCTGTAATCTTCGTGTGAATCCACTTGGCCAGTTCCTGAATGTCCAGCAATTGGTTGTCATCGGTATCGGCCCTTTGGAAAATATCCTCCAGAAGGGTTCTCGGATTTTCGCGATTTTCCGCCTCCTCGACCTCCCGTATGCTTTCCTCGTTCCTGCGATTGATCCTTGCAGCGTCCTTGTACTTCGCCAGGTCCTTTTTGTTCACCGTCACAGCTTCCAATTCGAAGAACAGGTTGTCCATCATGGAGCTCTCCTTGTCCTTCTCCTGAGTGGTCGGCAGACTTTTCAGAGGCACGTTTCTGTTGTACTTGACGAACAGAAGCGAGATGTAAATCACAAGCGGCACCAGGATAGTCCAACGCAGGAATCGCAGGCAGGTGAGGTTCTGCTTGCAGGCCATTCTCCGTATCTTTCGGGAAAAGGGGGAGGGCGACTTGATTTTCGCAGACTTTTTGCACATAACAGACAATACGGTTCATACGGAAATTGTGTAAACAACCGTGAGATTGAAACAATAACTATATCCATTTACGGAGAGAATAATGGAAGGAATAATATCGAGAAAGGAGAAGTACACACACACACACACACACACACACACACACGTGTCGGTGCGCGAGAAATAAAGAGAAAAACACCAATTAATATTCGAGTGGAAATGGAAGGTGCTCGACAGGTGCTCGAGCGTCGAAACGACAATTTGCGTATTGGCGGAGTGTTTGAAAACTACAGGTGAGTGATTGAAGTGGAAAATACAGGCGTCGATAATGGAGACAGAGAGAGAATGAGCGAACGAATCCGACGTAAACGCTAATTTGTCGCGCCCATCAGGCTACAAACAGCAAGGAGAACCGCCGACTGCACGCCGGATATAACATTTCTCCGGTGAAACGTCGGTGTGTCGACGGCTTTGTTCTTACTCACAAGGTGAGACGGGTACATCTCGGTACCGTTCAGCGTGTACACGATGACCCGCAGCGCTTTCTAATTCCCGCCTCGTCCTCTCTCGTCTTCTTCAGCGTCTTCGTGCGCTGCACTGCGAGCTTTCCAATCTCGCCGTACGCCATACAACGCGATTGACTTATCGCCGCGGCCGGCCCGTCACCATCACCACCTGTCGACAGCGCATAACCGAGACGAATCCTTTGATCAGCGGTGGTAAGCGGACACCTCGCGTCCCGAAACGCGACACGCGCCACGCACCACCATGTTTCGCGGGAAAAATGATTCCCGGCGAGGGCGCCGGGCGTGCTTCCGGACGGCTGACGGATAATTCCCCGACGTGCCCTGACAATTTCCACAATCGGTCCGGATCGGATTTCGAGCCGTCAGCCGACGGCAACGTTTAACACGCCGCTCTCTCTCTCTCTCTTCCTCTCTCTCTCTCTCTCTCGCGCGCGCGCTCGCGCCCGATGAAAGCCGCCGGATCGATCTTCCTCCGCTGCGCTGGAGGACACGCGAAATTTCGAGGACGCGTTCGCACCCCGAAATCGCCGCTCGCGACTATCAGTCGAAATAGCCTGTCAACAATCGCTACGAGTGCCGCTGCGCGCGTGGACAGGCGACTTCGCAATAGAAACGTCCGCACGCTGCTAGACGGGCCGCGCGCCCGTCGCGTATTGATCCACTTTCACTGTCGTGTTCTCCCTCTCCCTCCCTCTCCCTCTCTCTCTCTCTCTCTCTCTCTCTCTCTCTCTCTCTCTCGCTCGCTCTCGCTCGCTCTCACTCTCTCTTTCTCTCTCTCTCTCCCTCCCTCTCTCTCTCTCTCTCTCTCTCTCTCTCTGTCTCTTTCTGTTCTTGGGCGCGCGTAACAACAATGTTAATGTACCTTACCTCGTACTCGGGCATTTAACTTGGGCTCCTATACTTGATCAGTGTCGATAATATCACTTGGAATTTTATTTTATTTCTAAAAAACGCTCGTAACAAACAAAACGGCACTTCATCAGCGGCCTGCGTTTTCTTTGAGCGATATAACTGAGTGAAGGACGAGTGATGAGCAGAATTGCTGCTTCAATGATGAAGTAATGGAATATTTTTAATACTGAGGAATTCTCAACTACACAAACTCGTGCAAAACGACACGATGCGCGACAAGATACATAGCGAAGAAGAAAACGATGGTGGCGCAAAGTCCGGTCGTTTCGACCGCGAGTTACAGACCTAAATAATTCTTTTCGTCCTACTCGTGGTGTTCAATGACAGTTACATGGTCAAGCGCTGCTGGAGAGTGTGTAACGTTAGTTTCGACAGTATCGCACAAAGTGTTAACAATCTCGTTCTACGCGCAGGATAAAAGGAAATATTTCGAGAAATAAATAAACGATCGCGTCGAAAGTAATTGCGACGTAACGCGCCAAGTACCACCGATACCGGACACCATCGTCATATTTGATACAAATCGTGATGTCATCAGTCGTAAATAATTATTATTCCAATAATAATATCACTCACATGTGTCTTTCTGTGTAAAACGTACGATTTTTCTACCATTCCTACCTTCGCCGTTCTCTCTCGTAGCCGGCGCTCTCATCCCGGCGAGTATCGCTGAAAAGTTCGCTCCCGCTGGGAGCTTCAACGAGTGAGAGTCGTTCTTGAAAATAAATATCCCTTCGTGCGATGCATTGTTAGTGCTATCTACAGCCGTTTCTCGACCATTATCGTATAAAACGTGTGTGCTAAAACGGAGACTGAGATCTCCCGTAAGCGGCGTGTGTTCCGGCCGTACTCATTGCCGCGGCTACTTTTCACTTCGCGACATCTTCTCGACGGTCCTTCTCTTCTCTCAGACTCCTCTCGCGGAGTCTCTGCGAGACTCACTCCGGTGGTCTCTTGCAAGTGTCCGCTTGCGGAGGCTTCTCATCCTGCTCCAGGCCCAAGTTCACGATGCCCTGCATGCGATTCGCGGCGGCGCGAGGCTTCGTCTGCATGCGGAACATGGCAGCGATCGGCGGGCTCAGCAGGTCTTGGTCCACGTCGGCGGGATCTTGAGCACCCGTGATGAGGCTCACTATCAGACCCACCAGCATGGTCAACATGCAGCCGATCGTGCTGTACCATAAGTAACTGATCTGAAAGCGCAGTACAGATTGTTTCACTTCGCGGCGGCATGGAGAGTCACGCGTTCCTTCGGTCGCACGACTAGTCAAGAACACGAAGAGCAAGATCACTAAGCACTCACCTTGTATATAGATAGGACTTCGTCGTCAGAGTGCTCGGCTTCCTCGAGAACGACGATCGTAGTCTGGTTTATGCAAGGGCACCCTTCGATCGACGTGGGTTTACCGTCCAATCGAATCTGACCGTTTATAGCCGCAACTTGAGCGCCTAATCCGATCCACAAGACGACTACCAAGCTCGTGATAGCACCCGCTATCGCTCCTTTCGCATTAGCCCACGGTAAAAGCATGCCCAAGGAGAATAATCCCAGAGTCACACCGCCCACCATGCCGTTGAAAGACAATGCAACCTAGAGATGATGATGATGATGATTATTACGCTGCGATAAACTGTCGCGGGTAATAACAGCGAATTTGGAAGTTTGGACGTACCAGGAAGAGATCCAAGTCGGTGCAAGAACAGAGGATAGAGTGAGAGGTGTACAAAGGTTCGTCGTATGATAGAATTACACGGTGTGAGGTAAATGTTACGTTTCATTCGCCGAATGGCAGTTAACAACGAGACTCGCGAGCGACGTAGCAAAACTCTCTAGCAGACTCACTTGCAGAACGCTACCAAGTCGCTCCACGACGAAGACCAGTGCGAAACTAATAACTCCAAAAAATATGCTAATCCATCTGCCGTAAATGGCGCCCTTGCTTGCCGGTAATTCCATGTGGAAGAGCCCGCGAAGGACATCCTCGCAGGTTATCGCTGCCAAGGAATTCAAAGCAGTCGCTACGGTCCTAAAATTGTTCGGGATACTTTAAGATCGAATCTAATCTCTGCTTTAGACGATTCCCAGCTTTGCTGGGCAAAGGACGTTTCGAAAAAAGTGCTTTCGCTCGCTCTCTCTCTCTCTCTCTCTCTCTCTCTCTCTCTCTCTCTCTCTCTCTCTCTCTCTCTCTCTCTCTCTCTCTCTCTCCACTTTCCAGGTTTTATAAAGCATGACGAAAATTTTATCAAAAGCGAAACGATTTACGGCGTCGTCATGAATAAGTGACAAAATTAATAATCTCTACGTAAGAAATTGATGATTCCGTAATGTAACAAAAATGTTGATCTACTTTGGGAGGAGATTGACGTTCCTTTCCTTTCACGTCTCGTCTACGTACCCCAAAGAGGCAGCGAAGATCCCAGCGACAAAGAATCCGGGCATACCGCGAAGACCTCCCATAAAATTCATTACATATAGTGGTAGCAATTGATCCTGGCCGCTTATGTATCCGGCGGTCAATGGATCGCAGTCTTTGTAAGCGCTGTATAGCGTCATCCCGGTGAGGAAGTTTATACTATAAATTAAAATCATGCCGAACGCAGACACCCAGAGCGATCTGTAACACAAGAATCAAGAATCTCTCTGAAAATAAAGATTTCTGAAATAAAGATCACACATTAAATCGTTACGTTACACGAGAAAACAAGAAAAGAGGATCTTCTATTCTTGGAAATGCAGCGACGATAAAAAGAACATACACTGATAGAAAAATATAGTTGAATTAACTATAATATCACTATAATCTCTAAACTATAATCTCTCATACTTTATAGTTCATTTTGGCGTCAACCATATTTTTATAGTTCGTGAAACCTGCAAAGTATAGTAGAATAAACACAAATATATAGTCAATGATTGTCTTGAATAATTGTTTAGTTAGTGGTTTTATCACATATGAATGGTAATTTCTCATTCACAAATACAGTGAGATTTAATATTCATATCGTTACATCTGTCATCATCATTTGGCAAATATTCGGATAATATTGACTATATAAAAGAGTCACTTTACCTACCATTTTACATTTGTATCCATACAATAATTTTAGTTTAACTCATTCTCGGTATAATTCTTGGTAAAAATATTATATGATTGGTTATACTATGCCTATATCGTAATCATTACCGATATTATGGTAATACTTACTATAAATATGATATTTCGGACTATAATTTAGTTATTATATCATTATCCAAGTTCCAAATATCCAAGTATACCTTTCTCTCAGTGTACTAACTCTTATCGAATGAATCTCTTTCCGGTCATCGCGATTTATCTCGACTGAATATATATGGAGTACTTACGTTCTCACTTGCGAGATTCTCTCGACGCTGAGATACTTTTGGACGGACGCTTGGTTGCTGCAGAACATGGTCAGCCAGTAGAAGGTGCCACCGACGACGACGCTCCAGAAGCTATGTCGCACCGTCGGACTGGGGTTCATGTTGAAGAATTCCACCCTTCCGGAACTCACGTTTTCTTGCCAAACGAGCGCCATCCCGCCCGCCCAAGTCATTCCGTAACCGATGATGAAGAACAACGAGCCGATAAGAACGGCGGCTTGGAACGTGTCGGTCATGATGACGGCTTTCATGCCACCCTATCACAGTAACGGCAGCATACGTTCTTCATTGTGTGTAAACGTGAGAAAAGCATCATGAAAAGGAGAAATTTTTGTGAAATAAAATTTGCTGTATTCTTCGCTGGTAAAAAATGTTGTCTTCCCTTTTTTTAGTGACTTTTGATATCATTTAAATTATGAATGTACGATTGTTCAACTACGTAAAGAGGTATACGCAGTACGAACCTGTGAAGCGTAGAAAATGCAGACTACGTAGACTAGAGTAACGGCTATATAAGTATTCAGGCCTGTGACTGCAAAACAGAAAAAAAACATTACTCACAGTTTCGACGCCGTTTGATCTCGAGATAAACGTGACCAGTCTTGGTTATTAACTAGTCAACCGCAAAACACGCGCTTCAGCTGTGGCACAAGGTATTCGCGCGTCAACTTGCAAGTCAATAATTTTATTTCTGAAGCCTCACAGATTTATTGTCGCCAAAGTAAGAAAATAGACCGGTCATTGTGACTTTAGGTGGCAAGGGAGGACCGGAATTGAAAACGGGATGGGACAATTTGAGAGAAAAGACCGAAGAAGAATGTCAATATTTTCGACTATAACTAGCGCAATGTAATACGATCGATGAAGGAGATACTTTCTGTTATGTACTCATATGCAATCAGAATGAACGCATTAATTCGTCATTGACATGTGACCACTTACCGTGACTTAACGCTAACGCGGGAGCGTACACAGCTACCGACGTGTAGAGCACCATTTGCAACATGTATAACACGCTCGCCAACAATCGGCAGCGACGATCGAAGCGCAAATGTAGATATTCGTAGCTCGAAGTCAACCTTAATTTCATGAACACCGGCAGGTACAAGCAAGAGGTGATCGGCACCACGAGTATGAAAGAGACGCAGATCATCCAGAATTGAGTACCCTGAAAATTCAAATATAATACCGAAATATAGTATACACATAATACTGAAAATTCAAATATAATACATTGCCAATAACTCTTCTGCAAGTGTCAATTTTTACTTGAACATCAGCAGGAGAATAAAGTACGAACCAAGTACAACCAGTTTCATTCGATTTGACAATCGAATTTCAAATCGATATCGAATTTCGAAATCGAAACAAATCAGCTTAAATGTAAAAGATCTCTTAAAGCGTGAAAGCAGCGTGAAATGATCTCAGATCATTGATTCACCATACCTGTCCATACATTTCCGCAGGATTTCCTAAAAGTTCGATAGCCGTGATGAAGCTGGCAGCCAACGACATCGCGGTGGGAAACGTGCCCATGCTGGACCCACCTAGCAGAAAGTCCTGGCTGGTCTCCTGTTTCTTGGCGAAGAAGCCGTAGAAGGTGCCGATTAGACACGAGACCAACAGCATCGTGGCGAGTACCATGTAATCTGCCCACGAGAAATAATGGAGCAAGGTCGGATGCTCTTCGTGACACTTCTCCTCTTCGCTCTTAACACGTCGCTGCTCTGCAGATGACGCAGACAGGAAGAGAAACAGGACAAGAAGATGCGGTAGCATTTTGAATGCTACGGAACCTGCCGATCATTTTCCATATTCTGTGTTAATGCTCTCGCGCGACATGCGGAAAATTCGAACAAAAGATGTGTGTTATTCCAAGTGTATTCTTTTGAAATTTTGTCCCGCTAAATTTTTATCCCGACTCGAGAAATCGATCGAAAACTGTAAATCTCCGTGAAATTTTTAGTCTCCCTTTTTTTAACAAGCATTCTTCGGCAAATAATTTCTGTATATATATATATATGTACATATATAGAAGAATTGCTATTTTAATGTAAATTATAATGAAATAACAATTGCTAATCTGTAGTCTGTAAAATATAAGGGTAACATTGTCGACGTAGAGCGTTTGTTAAACAATATACACATGTAGAAAGTATGTACCCGACATAAATATTATAAAGAGAAATATTTATTGAGACAAAAAAGTATTCAACAAGAAAATATCTGTATGAAGCGGTATGGGTAAATTCTGGGAAATTATTCAGCAATAATTTAACGGCGCTTCACAACTCACGTAAATTGATACAGATGACACCGTCTCAATTGATTCTTTCGTTTGACCGGTCACCTTGAATCCTATCGATCTTATCAATCATATCGGAGATATATTACGATCAATGTTCAAACGCCTTCTTAATACACATATTAGTGTAATAATTTCAACATCATAGTTAGAAAGGAAAATAATTTAATAACACTTTTATTAATTTTAATATTCACAATATCGCAATTATCTCTCTGAAACAAAGTTATCAGTATGACTTTCGGTAATATAATAGACCCAAAAATTTACAGTAAAAAATATTATACTAGTCTGTTACAAATTAAGTTATTGATTATAGTTGATTATGAGATTTGAAAAAAAAATGAGAGTAACGGAGAAACGTCATTTCGATCGTCCTTCTGTTAACAAAATCATTCGCGACGAAATGTCATATACCGACTGACCTTTCACACACTCACATTGATTCTAATTTTTATTGTCAAATTCTAATTATCATAATTACAATCGATATTGGAAACAATATTGTCGCCCACGATACTCTTTCTCGATCATTATTAAGATATCTGTTTTAACCGGTTTGACTATTGAATCTCTGGTTAGAACCGGTTAGTTCTCACGTCAAACTGTACTTCAACTGACTGATACAGGAAACAAATAATAATCTCTCATGTTTCTGTCATAATATTTTTCATTAAATTTTCACGACAGATAGACTGCACACGGTAGAGAGATATTTAATTACCTCCTTATTTGTACATATGATTGGTAATGTCTGATTAAGCAATTCATTGTGAGAACGAACTTGCATGCAAGCTTCTAACGATTATTACTGATGTAAAATTTTCCTCTGCTTCTTTTATTATCAAAAATTAATTTTTTCACTGTAAGACTTTACCTTTGTCAATTTTATGCTAAGAATACCAAATGTGACAACAAATCCGCGAATATTTATAACAAGTGTCATGAATTATATAATTGAGCGAATTGGATGCTTCAAAGTTAGTTTGTGTATTTTTTAACGCATCGCGAAAAAATAGTAGAGAAAGTTTGGAAAATATTACTTTGTTAGCGCAACAACTGTTTACGATGTTATCAGACAACATTATATATATATATATCTGCAAATATATATATATATATATATATATATACATATATTTATTCCAATCAAAAAAATAAATATAAAATGATTTTTAGTGTCACAATACAATACGATGATTTTGCGTATTAGCAAAAATTTCTTTGTCGTACTGCGAAACTAAACTAAAATCCGAAAATAGATATCACCAAATTTTGAAAGATGAACTGATTAAATTTGCGGAAGCAAATGCGTATTCCTTTTACTTGTCTTCAATTCATCTTTCATTTCTTCTGTGATTAAAAGTGCAAAGTAAAATTTGAAATCTCACCTCTTTATCGCTTCTTTCAAGACGTGGAACAGATCACCCAATTCTTCAAGAGGTCTATATACAAAACGAAAGTTTTGACGCTTAATAACGCTTAATAACGCGGGTACCAACCAGTAGGAACGTGCGAAATTGCAGCTGAATGATTTTGCTCGTCTTCCTGACGTAACGCATATATGATCGGTTGAAGAGCTTTCTTCAATCGAAACCCGCCTTCCTGCGAGCCTGCTCGTCCTGTTTAATAGGACCCGCGGTTTTCGACTGTAAAAGTCACGCGAGATACTAAGGTAGAACGCGAGTTCACAACTGTAATTTCCGTTTTTCCGGCTTCTGCCGTGAGAGAACTTGGGACAGATTAAGCGAAGCACGGATTCGAGACTGATCGTTTTAATTGTCACGCGTGCGCCTTTATACGAACCATCATCCCCCTACTACGTATGACCGGTTTCAATGCAAAAGCAACTCAACAAAACAGTAACAATAATAGTCGCCACCTCCACGCGCCGATGATGAATTGCATAATTAGCCGTATATCGTTTCTACAATAACATACATAAATTTCCCCCGACGCTTTTGAATTCCGCATGCGTCTTAATTATTACGAAAGATTTAAGCAGATCTGAAGTTGAAAAGAAAATATGACGACATTTACATTGGTATTATGAAAAATCTCCTCTCGTATTTAATATAATCTTTCTAATCTCTTTTTATATAATAAATATTTCATGCATCACAAGTGCACTATACATATCGCTAATAGAAGGACAAACCGATTAATAATAATCGTTAATTTATATATACGTAACAAATATACAAACACGAGAAATTAAAAAGAAAAGTTTCATATTATATGCTCATTTTTACAATAATATTGCAACGGACGAAATTCTCGTTAAAAATTAATGGCGTATGTTTGTCAAAAATACGGGCGCTTGAATGACGCAGGTGGATTTTTTATTCAGCAGGTATCTGATTCTTTCTTCAATCTATCGTGCATAATTTATCTTGCGTGACGAAAATAAGTACAAAAACTACAAAGGATCAGGAAAACATGTGATTATAACATCCTGTACGCCGGTTTCCGATGTATTTGAATCTGCTAATGAATTATGTTCCGGATCTGATTATAGCCCAAATTATGGACAACAAGAATGTCAAAAAGATTACTGGAGATAATGATGCGTGCACATTATTATAAACTAAAATTTTTAATTTGTCTTATTGATCCTCGAAGACGTTTATTTGCTCTTATGCGTCGTAATATCACACCTGAATTCTTTCGCTGTCAGTTGAGGCATTAAAAATAATTTTTAATCTTTAATTTAATATACGTCTCATCTATATATTACTCGTCACGAGTGTATAATAATCATTTAAAAACAAATTAAACACCACATTTCTCATGAAAGAGCCTAATTCCTCCTCGGTTTTATTATTCAGTTTTATTATTCATATTTTCGCACGATTTTTTTTATATTTCACATAATATCACTTTTTATCAAATATCGTCTAATGATTAGGCCACAATGTAAGCTCGAGGTACCGATAATGTATGTCTAATGTAATTCGCAGCACGTATGAAAAGCATGTCGAGAGAGTCCAGATAAGTCCACATTTAACCGGTTACGGTTTACAGGATGGTATACAAACCAGATAGACAGGGGATTTCTACCAGGTACAAGGATACGTCATTTAAATTATACAAATCAATTAAAACCGCAGTCTCGAGCTTATGACGATGTTTATAAAATTATTGACAGTGTGATTGAGAACGGTATGAATATTTATTGCTTTCGTTTTGCATGAAAAATATGAATGACGAAGGTTTAAGTAAAACCGATTAAACGTTATCTCGTTTGAGTTAGAATAGAATTTTAGGTCCTTCCTCTAATTCAAATTTCAAATAATCTAATTCAAATAATCAAATTTCCTTTAATTTCTCCTACTTCCGTGACTCAGATATATTATTAGTTTTTCGACACCGTCCGAAAACCGTAGTTATATGTCTTTGAATGCTCTTTCGTAAATTGTCTGCTTTTCATAAAGAACGCGCGACTTTCGAGATATTATATATATGAAGTCGTCTTTAGATCTAACTAGGCAATACCAAAGAAAATTATTGAAGAGCAGTAAAAAATTTTAATGCTATGTATTTATGAACACACTCTGCACGTATAATAATTAACAACTGCGATGCATTGCGATATTAATAATAGTAACTTTTTCTTCAACATTGAATATTTCCGTGAATTTCTTAAATCATACTGAAGTCACATTCGATGCAAATGATAAAAAAGGTAATTGCGATTGCCTTGTCTGCATACTCACCCAGTATAATTTTTATATTCTTAGAAGAGACGATGATTATGTAAGTAGTACATATTACAAATCTATCGGCGTGTTAGAAGACAGAAATTGTCAATGTGCACACGAGAATGAAATTCTCGAGATTTAACACTTGTAAAATTTTCGCAAAGTAGAAGCAATGGTAAACTCGTTAAATACGTATCATCCGCAAGAGTGGGGATGACTTTCCGTCCAATTTTTCTTGAGAAAGATATCAAACGCAAATTTTCGAAAAATCTATTATTCATCTATCATTCGCTGAATCTAACGCAACGAAGAGAATATTTTACAACTTTTAATTGCTACACCCACCTCTTCATACGAATCCCTGCAGGAGATGCATCTCAATTTCCGGGACTTTTAATCGCAAGACATTACACAGAGTCGACACGAGATCTGGAAGTATTTATTTAAGGAATACGTAACGATAAAATCGTTCTCGACGAGAGCTGCCGTAACGAATAATACCTCACGAACAAAAACACTTTTTTCTGTGTTTAGATTTGTCAATTGACATATTACACCAAAAATTACATTAAGTTGCCACATCGAAAATAAACTAAATGACCCCATATCTTATTACCGAACATGAAATAATCTCGTAATAAAGATTAATATTCTGACTGCATATTTAATTCGAGACATGCATACAGTTAATATTCTCCGCTTCACAGGTTTAAGTAACACTGACTATATATCCTTAATACGAGTCCTTTAGTTAAGATTTCAAGCTCTTACAGTTACTTGACATTATATATACAGATCAGAATGCTATCTAAGTGCTTTGTTTCTAAGAAACTGGCATCACACAGGTGAGGGTATCCATCAGCTTCTGGACGGAAACAAATATCGCAATGAGAACGGCGAACCAATAACGGCGATATATATAAGAAATAATTACGTCATACACACAAGAATTTCTTTCCAAATAATCCAAATGATCAGATTGAGGTATAAATTTAAAATAAACGACGTCCAGAACGACGATACACTCGTGATATCTTCCGAAGCCGAATGCTGACCCGAAAAAAATGTATAATACGTAGCTACGGTATTATAATGCTGCAAATTACGGAGATAGAAATCACCAAATTCGGCAAAAAGATAGATTTATCGTACGTCGATATCTCATGAATGAAACGTATACACGTGATAAAACGGATTGCAACGGATCGTCTTTCTTTCTGATATGTCGATTAATGCGTACGAGTTGCCAATCTCCAAATTAACAGACTCATTTCATTTTACATTCTGTCAGTTGTTTCAAATGATGATGAGATTTGATGTAAAGTTGCAGCGTTTTTTGGTCAATCTATGAGACTTCTCGTCCGTCTCGTAAATTATAAAGTTGCGATAGAAATATTGCAAGAAACGCTGAATCAGACGCGTCCGCGAGACACGTTGGCAGCACGTGTCAAGGAAGCGGAGCACGACACGCTCTTCGGGACATTTGACACCTTCGACGAGGGCGAAGAGCGACGAAAGAGCGGCGGCATCAGCTGTGCGGAGACGCAGCTGATGGTTTAATTGAATATTAACGAATGTCACTCGGTCCAGGAAAAAATCGCACAATTCGCCGTGCTGTGCTTTATGGTCGGCGCGTTTCAGTGGAAAAATAATTAAAATGGGGCCCATAAAAAGCCCCGTCGATCGGCGGTATGGCGGACTCGCATAAATTGAAACTGGTTTCAACTGGCCGACGTTGGTTCAATCTGGTGTGTCAATCCGGACGAACTAGAAGCTTTCCGTAGCTACCTTCGTTTCTTCCCCACCGCGATATTTCTCTCTCGCATGTGCCCCATCTTCCCGCATAAGACCAGCGCCTTCTGTCGTGTTGTCGGAGAAAATTTGAAAAATGGTTGTACATATACTCGGTATGCATCTGACCGTAAATTGAAAAGAATTGACAAAAAATACGTGAGATAGGGAGAAACCTCTTTCACTTTCATCGAGTGTTCCAAGATCGAGTCGAATCTCCCTCTCTCTCTCTCTCTCTCCCTCTCTCTCTCTCTCTCTCTCTCTCTCTCTCTTGTAATCATAGATTGCATAATAAGATTGGAATACCAAAGTATGGAAATAATTATTATTTTCGAGGTACTTTGGGACTTTTAACGAACAGGGGAAAATTCTGCACAATTGGAGGGAATACATAGTTGGATAAAACTTCGTACAAATTTCCGCCAAGTAAATAAATCTAGGCGATTACTCGGAGAGTACTATGGTTAATCGCACCTGGTACGGCGTTTCTTGTTGGTCATGTAGTAACAATAATATTACAAACAAAGATTTTTCACATTGCAAAGCGCTATTGCTGCTGCTATAAAATATATGACGTGAGTCCGCCATTAAATACATGGCGTGAAATAACGATAAAACGACTTCGTTTAACATAGCAAAGGCTATTTATTCGAGATACATGAGAACTGCATTCGCACTAAAGAAAAGTCGCACGTACACGCAAATAAATATATATTTTGTATATTCCATATAAAGACCAACTACAGTTCAGTGTCGTTGTGATGTAAATATTATATATTAATAGTTCTAATGTACCATGTAATCTTAATATAAAATTTTATGGGAACTTGTAAATGTAATTGTGAATAAATATGTAAATAAAAAATGTCTCGCTTCGGAATTTTTTTTGCAAGAAGATATTTGAGAATTCATAAATGCAGATAACAGCAACAAGATTTATACGCGTCGATGAACGCATCGCGTCAATATATTATTTTATGAAAATACTGAAGTTTCTAATAAATAGAAAATTTTCAGGTAAATCGGATATTTGTTAATCCAAACACGTTAAACAATTTGATTTGTACAACGTATTTCAATCTTTCCCGCCGTAATTTCAATTATTATAGCCGTTATTATTATTCATGTGTTATATATTTAAATCTAGTTTTTTTTAGCAGTCTATAATTTTAAATATTGTCCAGATTCCTTACGAGGTAGAGTTCCTTCAAGTACATAGTTGCATACGTACATGGTTTCGATGTTACGTACACAAAAGAAACTTAGCTCTGAGATATGCATAGATATGTCTGATCACTGCCAAATTTATGCCTAAAATGCACACCCTTTCTCGCGAGAGCGCCGCACATATCTCGCAGAAAGTACTAACCGTTGACGGTGCAAACTGGCAGTGCAAACGCAGCAGTGGAAGACTGGTTTGAGGTAAGATCACTTAATTTTCAAGTGGTTCAGAAGTGGTGTTAAAGTAACGCAACTGAAGTAGCGTTAAAATTATGCAACTGTGTGGAAAATTGTGTACACAAATATCCAGCACGAAATATCTATACTGTAAAATCATGAACGAAAAAATATTCGCTACAAGTCTCTTTTCAATATTGTCCGCTACCATATTCAGGTCCCATGAAGTAACAATATATTCTTTTTCTGACAATTTATCTAGGCCAAATTTATCGGATCAGGCAAACGGTCCAATTTGATTTTTCATCAAAGCCACGACCATACTAAAATCAATGCAAACGAATTATTTTCTAGTCAATAAAGTAATACGAAATTCATTAGCAATACATTTTCGTTTGCATCATTTGTATCTGTATGTATTGAAATTATCCTATCTATCGAAAGTCGAATTGAACTATCTGACCGACTCTTAATATCTGTTCAATTAGATTCTATTTATAAGTATGGAATGTCCATTATCCTACGTTAAAAGAAAAAAAGAGATCGTTAAAGTTTGACAAAAACTTCGTAATTGTCATTCTCGTTCTTTCCATTGCTGAGAGAATCCTTCGTTTTCCGCACATAATCCGCCATATCATTGAGTGCGACGTCGGTACTTCGTCTGTAACGTATACGTCTCGCTACCAAAGGGAAGAACAATTTAAGATCTAAATCGTCGTTTTGATTTTTGTTGCATAAGTGGAACAAGTTGCTGACAACTAGACCCACTACGAACGTTATTAGGAACCCTAAGGGACAGTACCACATATACGAGATACGGTACAGATAAGGGTATGAATTTTCGCTGACATTTCTGAAAGAAGAAGAAGAAGATGTGGTTACCAGAGTTACCAAAGAAGGATACATCCTGAGCGTAGTAATGCAAGTGTGTGCATAGCATTTATTCAGCGATACTCACTGCAGGACTGGTATCGACGTAGCATTTCCTAAAATCGTCGCATTCGCAGAATTATTCGTGACACAGCCTTCGATGGACCTCGGCAGAATGGGGAGTATCGGACGCGGTTGTCCGAAAGCTATCCAGAATAGAAACGCGAGCGAAGTTAGAGAGCCAACAAGGGCACCACCCTCTATCGCCGATTCCGTGCCCATGCCAAGAGTGAAGACGCCTAACAATGGCCCGCCGACCACCCCAAAGATGGTCAAGCCAGCCTCCAAAGAAGAAAAATATTGTTACCGACGTGAATCTTTGCACACTTTTTACAAATGCTAAATTGAGATAAATTCAGAGTTCACTCGCATCTCTACTCGCTACTTTCATGACTCTTTAGCACTCACTTGAAGAACTCCACCGAGTAATTGAGCTAAGAATGCTAGAGCGATGGAAATTATGCCAAATATGAAAGCGAGCAGTTTAGCGACGGTGGTTGATCTCGCGGCGGAGATTTCGTGATCGGCGAACTTCTTGTACACAGGTTTGATATAATCCTCTAGCGTTATCGCTGCCAGGGAATTCAAAGCCGCTGAGATCGTGCTGAGGCCAGCGCTAAAAATACCTGGAAATATGTGTGTATAAGTTAGAGGAAAAGTAATATTGCATAATATTGATGCAGAGATGTTACCTGCAATAAAGAGGCCTGGCAAGCCTGGCATATCGGACATTGTGTCCATAACGTACAGCGGCATAAGCATATCTGGTGTAGTAATTCTTTTCTGCAGAATTGGATCGCAATTGTAGTATTTACTGTATATCGCCAATCCTGAGAAGCAAGTTGTGATTGAGAGGATTGTTAGAAAAGGCCAAGACAACCATAATGTTCTTTGAGCAGCCTTTATGTTTCTGGAAAAGAAACGTTCCTTTTAATGTAGCTTCCTGTAATATCTTGCAAGCGAGCGCAACATAAAAAGGGAAAGAAAAAAAGAAAAAAAGAATACAAAAATAATAAAATATATTTGATAGATGTATTGTTCATTTCACGTGCAATAAAAGAACAAGTAAAAATATAATAAAATGTACCGAGAATAATACGAATGTACTAAGAAATGTCCTAAGAAATATACTAAGAATAACGCGCGGTGGCTCGATTTTATGCTGAGCATGTATATGTAAAACATTGATGCTTCTAAACCAACTTGGTGCTGTCATATATTAGTAAATATGTTTGTTTTACATTACATGTTTGCTTCGCATTAATAAATATGATTGTTATTCAAATTATACGTGAGAACTATAAAGCGCCCACGAAACATCGTGGAAATAAATTCATGAAAAAGACGGGACTCCGAGCCGACTCTGATAGTAAATTCAAACAACGTGTATTTATGTGTAACTTACTTTACAGTCAACGTACGTTGTATTTGCACTTGATTCACTCCATAAAGCGATAAGAAAGTACATAAACCTCCGATAATGAGAGACCACCAGGTATGTCGAACCGTTGGGTCTAAGGAAAAACTGAAATAAAAATACAATTAAGTGAACGAGACATCATTCATGAATTACAAACTCAAGTTCACGCAGCTGTGTAATAAGAAGACGAGTGTAATTACTTGTCAAACTCAATTCGGTGTCCCTCCTTCGCAATCTCCCATATTCGTCCCAAGCCTCCTGCGTCTCTCGCTGCTATGCCGATAACGACAAATACAGCAAAGAACATAAGTGCAGCTTGAAATACATCGGTTATCAGTACAGCCTTAATGCCACCTATACTAGAGTAAAAAGCGCAGGCACAACCGATAATAATGATACTCGTAGTCTTAGGAATTCCAGTTGTCGCTTCCAAAGCTAAAGAAGGAGCATAAAGCACCACTCCTGAGTACAAAAGCAGTTGAACCCAGTAAACAAAACTAGCCATCATCCTAGTTTTTACTCCAAAACGCTTTTCTAAATACTAAAACGAGTAATATCTTGAAATATGTGCCATTGACATCTTTTGCGACATCAGCAAGCGGTGTTTATCGCACGACTCACCTCGTAGGCACTGGTCGCTTGCAATTTGAAGAATACCGGCAGGAATCCGTAGCACACGATCGGCGTGCCTATTAGATACGATATGTTTATTGTGACAAACTGCGTCCCGAACGAGTAATTCTCGGCGGACACACCGAGCAATGTAATAGCGGACATGAAAGAGACCATCAGACCAATGGCAACTGGTATAACGCCCATTGATCGATTCGCGACGAAATATTCCTGAAGATAATAAATATAACGTATCTCGTTACAAAAGGTGCAACAAACACACGACGAGAAAGGGCGATCCCTTAAAAAAAGTTGCAAAAAGCACAAAGAACGATTCAACTGCATTAAATAGCAACGTACCTCCATGGTCTTTTGACGACCTCCGCTGAATTTGTAATAAATACCAATTCCTACGCTTACGCTCAGCATAACCGCTATAACGAAGTAATCAATCCATGTCAAAAGATTTGTTTCCTCCATGATTGTCTGAAATTTTTTTGTGAAAAAATGGTTTCAAAGACTTTCATTTAAAAATTAGTTACATTCGTAGTATTTTAATATCTAAATTTGAATCTAAAATATCGTCTTAAAATGTCTCTCTCTCTCTCTCTCTCTTTTTTGCTGAATTATAATTTCTTTCGGTAACCATACATGACCGTTATATGTAGTTAAGTATTATCTTATTTAAATATCTTTCATCTTTATTTTCTTTAATCTTCCTAGCGTTACAAAGTCGACGTCTACTATTTGAAAAACTTAAATCTTTTCTAATTTTTCAGCAACTATCGTCGTATCTGCTTAATTTCCCGCTCGAGAATATTTACTCTAGCTCCGTCATTTTTCTCAGGCGAAATAAACCATTTCGGAAGTATAATTTTTTTAAACTTTAAACTTTTAAATTATACAATAAAAGAATTAATATTCTGATTCCTCCAAACGGAAATATCTCCTTAAAGAAGTATTAAAGAGATATCAAAACTACTAGCTAAGTCGAACGATATAATGGATTATATTTATGGATTCTCAAAGAGAAGGAAAATTCCTTTTATGATTCTGCTAAATATTAAAGCAGATAGGAGAACGTCGGGAGATAAGATATTGTAAAATATTGTATTATCTATGTGTTTAACTTCAAACATGTGTAAAAAACTTTACACTTGATTTGTAAAAGACAAAAGACTCCAAAATAGTATACGACATTATAAAAATAACCGAACGTACCGGCGAAAAACTTGTTTCGTAAAATTTAAACTTCTAATAAAACTTCTAATAAAATGAAGCAACGTTTAAAAGTAGAACACTGCGCAAACTGTGTATCTTTCGCAATATTCTAATCTCAAATTAAATACTAATCTATATATATTCAACTATGTTACAATTCATATTTGCTTATCACATACATTTATAATTGTAACACGTTTTTATAAGTTTGAAATTGCTTGTAAAACGAGGACGGTGACTTTCCCCACGAAAACAGGAATGTTGTGTCCACGTGAAATCCATGTGGTTTTGTGGATTCCACGTAAATGCAACGTGTGTTCCATGTGGATTCGATGTACGTTTTTGTGGAGTTTATCAGGTTAAAATGGACTATATTTGAGACTTGAGTATGTACTTAAAAGCACTCATAAACACATATCTACATAATTTTCCGGTAGTTTAAAAATATTAACATCATAATTAGTTCATCGCAAAGAACGCACCTGTCACATTCGAAGTCGCTAGCTATCTACAAATATAATGATGCAACGAGGTAATTTAATGATATGAAATTTAATGATATGAAACATCGAGGGAATTGAAATATTCGATACTTACCGATCGCGCCTAACGTCCGTTCGGTTCGCCTTTCGATTGCGCGAAGGATTATATAAAATTGTCAGTCATCGATCGCGCGAAGAAGCGCGACGTACAGGATGCCGACGTTGTTATATCATGTCGGCCGAGAATATTATAGAACGCGGCATTTCGTAAATACGCGTGAAATCTGAATATATATACGGAGAACTCACCAACCGAAAGAAAGAGATCGCAGTTCCACTCTCTCCGACGATTTGTCCGGCTGTTCCTGCGCGATGTATTGTCACGTGCGAAAGTAACGCACAGAGCTGTCCTCTTCCCAGCAGCACGTCACCTCGCAGCACACGCTCCTCGTGGTCTCTCGATCGTTTCTATTCGTGAGCATGGAATTCTCGAGCCTACGTAGTCTCACACACACACACACACACACCCACGCACACACACACACACACGGCAAGTACATGCCACGTGAAAGTGCGCGCGCAATACGATCAGGAACGGATGAATAGTACTTTATTTTCCGCTTTCATTAAGTACCTTTAGCGCCATAGGACTTCAATGGGACTTTCATATGACTTCAATGAAATTTAATAACATTTCATTGATCAATTGAAAGATTTGCAGCAAAATTATTCCAATCGCATTATTTTGTACGTACATTTACGGCTCTGAAATTTTATTGTTGCTTGCAGCAATACTTTACGTATCACGTGATATGAAGGTTATTTTATGAATACCTGAAATGAATACATTATAGTTATCTAAAGAGTACTTAATGATATCCGCAGATAATTTTAAAGCTAATAAAAAATATGGTAAAAATAAGAACTTCCAAAATTGCAGCTCAAAAACAATTGACCATAGATACTACAGATTGACTATAGAGTTGTAATAAAGTGGATATCAATAATATGATATAAAGGAAGAAAGAAAAGTATATACGCCTCTGAACTCACCAAGTAAAATTGCTTCAAGCGAGGGATCTTTTTGGTAGCGATTAACCACACCATTACCATTTAAGAGATCTGACGTATAATTTTAGAAGCGACGCTACACGCATCTGAAAGATCAACTATTAAATATGGATATTCCTCTAAGAAGATAAGACGCAAATTTTTATCGATGCTAACGGTTTGCTTGGAAAGATCAAATGTCAACTACAACGGGGCGAACCCGCATCGCGCGGATGTTCTCGAGAAGCATGTAAATGCAGCTTGTGATATCTTCGAAATCTAATTTATGTATGAATGCCCAATTCCTCGTTCGTATCCTTTATAAATAACTCCGTAAAATTTTCCTTAAGGTCCCATACTGCCAGATGTAATGGCCAGATAGTCCTCGGTTCAAACAATCCTCAGGAGAATCCACTGATTATCGCGGCAGATAATCTTGAGCCCATTGAATTTCGACCTGCGCAGTGTGTGGTATGTGGATGCACTACGTCCTTTTTTCCAGCAGAACTTGTCTGAGATAAAAGATCTAAAGAAAATGCTGCGAGGATTTACTCGACACACAGATTTCTTCAGAGTTCTCCACTGGAATAGAGACCCTCGAACACATGCTGATCGACGTATCACGAGGCAATCGCTACGACGTAGCATTGAAGTCATATGAAAGTCCCTGTGTGCTGATGCTTTGCGCTAGGGAAATCTAGAGAAATCTAGGGTATAGAAGCAAGCACTGCTCGAGGAGGGATTTTAGAGTCTCGTTCGATGACCACACTGCAGAGCGTATGCGAATTCTGCATGCGCCGTGGCATGGAAAAGCAGTCTTCATGTCCGCGGTAGCTCCTGTCAAAAGCGCTATTGATAGACCACCGCTGATGCTGTTGGCTGATGGAATTGGCCGACGCGCGAACTCTTCCGTTAGTGTGTAGTTAATTAAAGGTCTCCAGCATTTCGTCGGTAATTTGAGGCAGCTCGCGGTAGCGCTCCGCCGCCGTGTGTGTGTGTGTGTGTGTGTATATTGGATCTCCTCGACGGTGAGTGGAAACCCAGCGTGTCTCTCCGTCGGCTTCCGTCGAGTCGCGCACGCCGAAGAGCCTCGACTCGTTTCGTCCCCCTCGCTTTTCAAAGGCGATCTCACTTTTCGCGAGCATTCCGCGCGAAACGTCAGCCGACCGCGAAAATTCGATGACGTGACGGTTCGCGCGAACGCGCTGCCGCTGCCGCTGCTCCGACAATAACGAAATTAAACGCGGCACGGGACTAAAGGTCGGATGACATTAGTGTCATGATGCGTGACGGACACGCGAGTTATTTTCACTCCCTCGAGTGATTTTCCTCGCGGCCGATGTTCCGCGAGGATTTCGCGCGGCAACGCGCTTCACCGCGATGAACATCGGCCGCGTGTTCAGTCAACTTGACGCTTTTTTAATCGCCAAAGCCTAGTCCATTATTCCCCGACATAACCTGTAAATTTGTTAAGTACAGAATATAAGCGCTCTGCGACTGCCGGGAATGGAAGTGAATTTGTTTGAATTCATTTTCAACGGCGAATTCTTCGAGCGATAATCCAGGCGGATAAAATCTTATCTAGCTTTTCTACTTGCGATTTTCATGCAAGCAGCATTCATTAAGCTTCTACGTCGCTCCACGTGTACATCTAAATAATACGTATGTATCCATCTTAGAGATATCCCACTCCCATCTCTATCCGGACAAACTACTGAAGCAGATAAGATAGTGATTTAATTTGTAACTTTGATAACTTCTTCAACATTTTTCTGTTTCTCCGTTTCAACTCAGGGATGTGTTCCTTCGGATAAGAGAGCGCCGTGATCGAAAACATACAGGATCAACTCGAGTCAGTCAAAGCTGGAATTAAAAGTTTGCCATATTGATTCCACCCCTGTTCTTAGGTCTTAGGTTATGTAAGACATTGGTCGGAGAAACAGGGTGAAAGCACTTTGCATGGCTCAGTCGTGAGAGATTGGCGATTTGCGCGTTGGCGGCTTATTTGAGAGTATTTGTGTATCCGAACGCGCGTCATCGATAAGACGACAGCGCGTTCTGCGCTGGGATACGTTTCGCAGAATGCTAGATTAATGCTGTTATAGGATGTCCAATGCCCCGTTGTGACGTGATGGGCGAGCTCGAGACTAATCGGGTCGATTAATATCGTAGGCTTGGGAGGAATAAATTTCCGAAGCGGCACGCACGCGTGCGTTGAAGCACGTGATAAAACACGCGCGTCACCCGTTAGATTTTTTAGACGAATTGTTTTATTCGACTTTAGGGGACAGACTTGAGGGAGACGATTTTATTTTATTTTATTTGTTCTTTTTTTCATGAATTATGTCACGTTGTTTCACATAGTAACTTGCACAAAATGTCCCGCTATTGAATCTTAACAATAACAACGGATCTTTCGTCCGATCGATGTTGGACTCTGATTCAAATTTATCCGATTTCATCCGATTGACCGATTGAACATGCCGTAGCGCACTTGCTGAGAAAAATATGAAAATACCGCTCGACTAGCAAATGCATGAGTCTGTCATAAGGCACACATATAAAGTGTTTTATTACGTCCTTGGTCGTTTTGGCACAATATTTTGACTACTCTTTAGCGCGGCCTTGTATCGTCAGAGTTAGCGCTGGTGGCTTAAACTGCTACACTGCATTGGCGAATACACAGCCTCGGTCGTATGTCGCAAATTTCACACCTTCGTGGAACACCTTCGTTCCGAGATATTTCATCAGTTGTTTCCAAAATTTCCCTTGAGAATCCACTGTCGAAAGAAACAGAAAATGTACTCTTTCTCGAGCGTATCGTTTGTAATTCTATAAATAAATTTCCTTGGCAGGTGCGGGATTCCAGTTCTGATTAATCATGGCACAGGACAGCCCGACTCCGAAACCTGCGGACCAATTCAAGTACGTCCTCGGCATCGAGAGAGTCTCTTATTATATCTCATCTGAATAGCTAATTTTAAGGAAAAGACAAAGTTGTCGCAAAATGAGTCATTGATTAAACGCCTTAAAGGAGTCGTTTTCGCTTTTCAGACTTGTACCAAAAATCATAAATGGCGGCATTGCCGGAGTCATCGGGGTGTCCGTGGTGTTCCCGCTCGATTTGGTTAAAACGAGACTGCAAAATCAAATTATCGGTCCGCAAGGAGAACGGATGTATAAATCGATGTGAGTATACTTATCGCTGCATATCTCTATACGTAATATATCGTGAGTCAAGAGTCCGTCGATCAACTATCAAGGTAACTTTATTGATCGGAAGAATTGCTGAAGAACGGACTTTCCTCTCTTTTCAGGTTCGACTGCTTTAAAAAGACTTACAGAGCTGAAGGTTATTTCGGGATGTACAAGGGATCCGCCGTCAACATATTGTTGATCACTCCCGAGAAGGCAATCAAACTTACTGCCAATGATACATTTAGGCATTATCTCTCACCTGGGCCTGGGTATGTCTCACACACGATATTTCGCGTAACATATACTTTTGATATCGCGTCAGGTATGAGCTTGCGTCCGCTACATGTACAAATATTAACCAGAACGATAACTAATCCGTGAGAGGTGGCTGAGAGTTTTCACGCTTTAATCGAGACTTGTTTGTTTCATCGCGGAACAGCTATCGTGGGACTGTTTAAAATTCCGCTCGGCAACAGGAGTTTCCGCTTAAGATCAGTATAATGTTATATGCTGTTGAGAATCTTTTCCCGAGTCGATCTGTCATCACCGTGTGACGAAAAAGCAGTCGCGATTCTTCGCGACGTTTGGAATGAACTGCATCCGCTTGCTTGCGAAATATGTCGAAAACTTTTACGAAATGTCTTGCAACTGACCGTTCTCATACATCTGTTGACGAAGAAACAAAATTTACGCTTCTGTCGTTATGCATATAATCGAGAAATGTGTATTTTTCCATCGCTCGATGTCGCTCCTCGCGATAATGTCTCACCACCGCTATCGGATTAGATCTTAACAAGAAAATCGATTTACATGTCGTACTTCTCCGCTCGATCTCTCTACGTTATTCATGTCATAATTCTCATTATTTCCATAGTTAGTCCGTAAGGGTTGTGAGGTAATGTCCAACATTAACAAATTACTGTCTCACATCTCGTAGAATTAACTTTCTCATGTCCTGGCAATATTTAATAATGATATACTTCTGCTACACGGACAATCGGTTACTTCTTACTTCTTTCTTGCGCGCTATCTTGCCGTTTGCCACTCAGACGCATTTTCTATTGTGGTTTCACTATGAAACCGTAATTTTCCACGTAAAAGCAATCATTTTCATGTAAAATGTTTGTGAAATTTTAAGGGGGTTATTCAAAGTTTATGGCAAGCGGATCAGCAAGTATCAGCATGATATACACTTCGAGTATAATATGATATCTCTATTGAACATTTAACGACGAAATTTACAATAAAATTTAGAGAAGAGGCTTTCCAATTGAATATTCATAAAATCGACAGATGCATGAAATTTTGCGAGATTGCACATGATATACTCTTAATACATTTTGTAATGTAAGAAATTTATTTCTTTTTTATTTACATCAAATTTTAATTTAATCTTTAGAGTACTGAGTTATAGCAATTAAATTGGCGTGAGATAAACGTGAGGTAACTTCTACTTACTTGCATCAGAGCTGTTGCAAACTCTATAATTAAGGTTGTATTCATTCAGTTAATTGAATACTCCGGGCACACGCACCCCTTTTAATTAACGAACGAATATGTGCTTTACGAAACCTTAGCAAGTATAAATTACTGTATGAATGACAAAACGAGAAGCCAAAAAGTATTGATTGAGTCAAGCCAGTAATAATTGAGTAATAGACGATGCAAGGGCAGAAAACGCCGTCACAAAATCTGATGCGATGTTTTTACTTCTGATTGCTTCCGACAAGCGAAAGTTTAGTGACACGCTTTCCGATAATAAAATAAATTTTACGTAGAAAAACAAATTTGGAATAGCTCGTTATAGTTTAACAAATTTCGTACGTCTGTCTATCGAGTAAATCATGATAAGAGACATATGTTACTAAAGCAAGTATTTCTTTCGTAATGATGCTAACAGTTATTTATAACTGTTAGCAAGTCAAATAACATGACAGTATAGTCGCAATCCTTCTTGAAAAATATGTGTTATTGGGAAGCCCTGAAGACTAATCATGCATCGCTACAACGTAGTTTGATCAGCAGAGCATCATATTTATTCTTAAACTATCCCGTAATATTTGAACCTGCCTGTGTTGCTAATTAATTTCTACGTCTTTGCCCTCTGCTATTATTATAATTGTTTGCATTTTAACATTAACATTGTCTTCCAAGTACATCATACGGAACAGTACATGTATGTCTGTGTCTTATGGTAAAAAGTTATAAAAAATGGGAGATTTTCATTCAGCAAACTCTTGCACTGTGATAAATACTTTCTTCTCACTTTTAGATATAATAAAAATGTTTTGTTTCGTCGTATTAATTTTTAATGCGTTCTCTCAGTGACACATCTGGAGTAAACTTTTTTTCTAGTAAAAATTTACGTTATCATTATTAATTGCTTTTTAATTCCCAATAATAAAGCTAAATTAAACTATCGTCAAAATTATTATTTTCTATATTGACATTTTTACAATATTTCTAAAGACTTTAATTTAAATATATAATTTTCACTGATTCAGAAAATATTCTGTAGTTTTTTTGTCGTAAACTGAAAAGTATTAGTGCCGTAAAATCTTTCAATAATATCAAAAATATTTTCTTGAGAAAGGAATTACCTCTACATATAGATTAAAGAACATGTTATCGAGCAATTAGAAAAGGAGTTCGCGCTATTATTCCAGATCGTCTCTTCCACTAGAAAGCACATTGTGAAATGTATCGTTCTATAATTCTAGACAAAACTGAAGCTACCAGTTTGAATATTGTTTCCGAGTTAAATGACCTGATAAACGGTGCGAGCAACCATAACTAGCTAACCAAGTCTAGCAAGCAATCGAGGAAAAAGCAGGGTAATTTTTGCTTCTCCCTTTTCTCTCCTCTTCAACAAAACACTTCAAAGAGAGACACGTGCGCGCGCACGCACGCGCGCGCACACACACACACACACACATACAATACTTATTAACAATCACAATCGAAAGCGCTCTATCGTTTATTTTGTGCGAATACATCTCCTGAGACATGTAGAGCAAGCAATTTTGATGATTCATGAGAAGCTCATATTGCGTTATGCAGTTGAAATTAAAAGTCACCCGCCAATTATGAAATTAACAGTCAGCGGTTTGCTTCATTTACTTCATTTACTTCATTTATTTCGTTTATATCATTTTTCATTGCCAATGTGTTTTTGATGCTCTGCCGTCCACAAGTGCTTGACACATCACTTATCACCGGTGCTTATCGCGCGATCATGCCACCAACGTTGAATGATCTCCCTTACGTTAGGGCCCGGCACTTTTTACCGATTGTCTCGATTATCTTCGGTCCTTCGGAGATCGATCGATTTTCCTGCCGGACTCGACGTCGCATACGCGCGCAATTGAGACTTTCACATTTCGACGCGCTCTGATGTATTCGTACTCTGTTGATCTGTTGTCCAGACAAAAATTGCCATTAGTGCGTGAAATGCTCGCCGGCGGCTTGGCGGGAGCATGCCAAATAATCGTTACCACTCCGATGGAGCTGCTCAAAATACAAATGCAAGACGCTGGCAGAGTTGCCATGGCAGCTAAAGAAGGTGATGGAGCAGTTTTATACTTTTAAGAACCGCTCTTTCTCTCTCTCTCTCTCTCTCTCTCTCTCTTTCTCTCTCTCTCTCTCTCTCTCTCTCTCTCTCTCTCTCTCTCTCTCTCTTCCCCTCTCTCTCTCTCTCTCTCTCTCTCTCTCTCGATAGAGCACTTACTCCCATCACTCGCCCCGTTCTTTTTTGCATTTTTTTCCGTCGCTCTTTTTTCCCCCCCTTCCGCTGTATGCGATCCGTTATCGTGATTTTTCCCATGTCCCGTCATCTTCCTACGATCTCAACGCATTCCAATTGATCCTAACGATAACCGCTCGTATCGAGATAGATGCGGTAATAAAATCAGACCGACATCGCGCGACTGCGATTTTAATATTCTAATTGCTACAGTATGACGACAGCATAAATGATAAAGCACGATAGTCGATTGAACTCGCGCGCGCGCGATGTTCACGTGGCGCGTAAAAGGAACAACGTGGAGTCACGTTCCCGTCTGGTGACGCTTCGCTTCACGCTGTGGAATAAGTTGCATAATGTCTTACTGTTGCAGCGGGTAAGGCCATACCGAAGGTGTCCGCTTGGTCGTTAACGCTGGATCTACTTAAGAAAAGAGGCATAGTGGGGCTGTATCAGGGAACCGGTGCGACAGCACTCAGAGACGTTACGTTTTCCGTTATTTACTTCCCCCTGTTTGCCCATTTGAATGATATCGGGCCGAAGCGAGAGGATGGGTCGGGTAAGCCTCATCTTTCGATATCTCCTCTCTCGCGCGGGGCAGACGTGCCTGCACGGAATAGTCCGTGCTATTGTTCGACGCCGAAGCTAAAGTGCTCCTCCGTCTATAGCGAAGTAGTCCATTGAACTTGAGAAGCGGGGCTTGAGAGGAAAACCTTATCTCTCTCTCTCTCTCTCTCTCTCTCTCTCACACATACACACACACACTCTATACTTTTCTTAGCTCTTTTTGTGATATTTATCTCTTGTTTCCTCTTTCTTCCCGACTGTAGTAGACTCCTCTCTTCAAGTATCAACGTATAATTAATCACCCTGCGCGTCTACACGTCCATAGATCTCTTCAAGTGTCTTTCTTTTTTTTTTTCTTTATTGCAAATCGTAGCCTGCCTTGAATACTGTCACGAATTTAAACCAAATGAATTTAAATCAAAGCGGGCTTGAGTGGAATCGATCGGCTAGAAATCAATAAGTCGATGTGTGACTTACATGTGTAATGTTTTTCCATTAGCTGTGTTCTGGTGTTCATTCCTTGCTGGATGTGCCGCCGGCTCGACGGCTGCGCTCATGGTGAATCCATTCGACGTAATCAAAACTAGACTGCAAGTTATCAAAAAAGCACCTGGTGACCTAACGTACAACGGAGTATTAGACTGCATAACGTGAGTAGTCGCGATCGAGTGTAGACGCTGATGTAACGAGACGCGTGAGAAAGCTCGCGGAAAGGAACAAACAACAATTATTCTGGACCTTTTTGCAGGAAAACATTCACGAACGAAGGTCCGACAGCGTTCTTCAAAGGCGGTGCTTGCCGTATGATCGTCATAGCGCCGTTGTTCGGAATTGCACAAACCGTTTATTATCTCGGCGTGGCCGAATGGCTGCTGGGAGTGAAGAAATGAAATCGTCATATCGCCGACTCGTGCCGTTCATACTCTGGGAAAATAATGACAATAATCATTGTAGACGTAGTTGTATTATATTTCGGCTTGAGAGCTCCGTCGCCGAGTTGAAAGCGTTGTTTAGACGGAGCCTTGTTCGCTTGTTCTGTACGAAAAAAAAAAAAAAAAAAAAGAAGAAGAAAGAGAAGAAGTAATAAAGAGAAAGGGAATTGTCGTAATTGTCGCGGATCGCGAATTTTGTCGGATTCATAGTTTAACGAGATAAAATCCCTGTATATTTCATGTCCCTTCTTGCGCGGGCGTGAAGTATAAAGTAAAATATAACTTACTGTAATTGAAGTACCACGAAGTCAATGTACATTGTGTTCTTGCGGCGTGTGAATTGCAACCGCCGCGTCGGTAGATTTGCTGAGAACTTGAAAGTCGCTATTTAATCGGTATTTATGTCGTTGCATTTCTCGATATAATAGTGGCTTCACATCTCTTCCTCCTATTCTACAGACTGTGTATATTATGTGCGAGATCCTGTGTCCATGAACAATGTATCTATACCGATAGAGCTATATTGGGGTCTTCGTTGTTACACATCCACCAGACTAGCCAGTCAATTATAAATATATGTATATTAAAACAGATTTACAGTGATATTTTTTTAAACAGTGTAGAAAGAAAGCATATTTTGTTAATAGAATAGAACGTTTTGTTAAAGTTGCAACGAATAACGAACAAGTCATAATCGCATAGTCGTTAATCGTTCTTTTTAAGTTTTCTCTTGTTACATAAACACGAGAGTGTAATCTTTATGGCCATATTACATATGTAATATTACGGAAATATCACGAAGTATTTCAAGCAAATCTCTTCTTTCTCTCTTACTTTTTCTCATCCTCTTCTTCTCCTCCTCCTCTTCCTCCTCCTCCTCCTCCTCCTCCTCCACCCTTATTATTCTCCGCATTGTCAAATGTATAAAAATTACTTGTATAAAATTAATTGCATTGGCGCGGAAAGAACAATTTCCGCCTTCACAATCAACAAAATTCAATTTTTTATATTTCACGTATCATAACCATATTCAACCCCCAAGTGCGAATAATTTAAAAAAATAATGACGAAATTCTCTTGTAAGTGTATCTGAAATTAGAAAAGTATGCAATGAAAAGAAAAAGATTCATAAGGAGTACTGTAAACATATCAACTAGCGCTTTAAACATTAATTAATCAATTAATTATATAGGAATTACATAAACATACATACGCATACACATTGTTTTTATTCGATCGTTCATCACCTTTGTCGCTCGTCTCATTCATTCATTTATAAAAAATTATTAAATACCAGAAAAATTAACATCCGAACCTGGATATTTTTCTAATTCGCTTTGCTACCTTGTTACCCTAAATTATCATATGACAACTTGATATAACAGATCTCGCTAGGATAACGCGCGAAATAGACTCTATTTCGCGTATATTTAAATTTAAATTTAATACTTGTGTACGCGTTAATAAATTTTGCTTTTTACTATTAGTTACGTTCGACATTCGCACAATATCAGTTACGTAATATAACATAATCTCATTCGCACTTCGTTAACAGTAGTATAATCTGTTTACGCTTTAACTGGTGATATAAGATTATCAGCATGTTTAATGGCAAAATCTAATAGTTATGAGAGAGACGTGCATTATTATAATTAACATTAGCTCTTATGAAACTCCGACTTAACGCTGACGATACCTCATATCATACCTCGTACCTCATATCAATAGTCATTTGGTTTATAATAATAATGATGCGCAGTACGATCTAACAGTAAGGTATAATAAATAACTATAAAGCCTGACCTCGGCTCTAGAAAGGGCATGCCTTTCCAAAAGGAGAAAAAGAGAATCATTCGAGGAAATTATCGTCCCCAAATCACATGTACCTGCAATAACAGAAGATGCATTAATCTACAAATCTTAAGTACTCTTTCTTCGATCGTCTACTTGGAAAAAATATCGTGGTAAAAATTCGAATGACATTTGGGCCCAAAGATTCTGTTTTATATATCTCTAAAAAATTTACAATTCTTTTAAATATTCGCAATGATTCATAATATTCATTTGTATATGTTAACGTGATATATTTCTGATATTACCTTCTAAGATTTGCAATCTTCGATCTGTTAGTTTCTGTAAAATTATCAAAGAAAATATAACTTACAATGATGACGCAGCATTGTTGCAAAGCGAGACTCTATCTCGTATATAGTCAACAAAATATTGTTACGCGACATTGCACATAGCAACATATATCATGTATACATACGAAGAAAACCAGTTCGATCGTATTGATATTTAATCGCGAATGACAGTCTTCAATACACCGCTCTAATGGTTGTTCCGATAACAAAATTCCCAGATTCCCGTCGCGATATAAACCAAATCCGCTCAACGTATCTTAAAACTTTCAGAAGCTCCACGTAGCTGAGAATCGAAAGATGCATCTCGTCATAATATCGTCATCGTGACCGGCGATTAATTTTAATCTACGACATTGCACGATTTACTTTGCCGTGCTCCGGAAAATTGATTAATTCGTCCTAGTAATAACAAGTCTTGCGCCAGGATACACGTTAACTGCAACATACAACAACATTCTCATGAATTGAGATCGCGGAGGATCGAGAGAGAGAGGAGAGAGAGAGAGAGAGAGAGAGAGGGAGAGATTCGCAAGTACGTGGTGTAAATCATGAAGGGATCGAGATCTCGAAACCTTAAGAAGAATCTTGAATAGATCACATGCGCTCCCCCCGTCAAAGTCCAATCCGATTCCCTCGGCCGAGTTGTTCACCTGCGCTTACCTTATATTGTAATTATGAACCGGCTTTCGATAGAGCTCGAAAGCGCTGCCTCTTTGCTCCCGACTGCCAGCCAGGTCCAGGCCGCTGGGTTCCCTGTTGTGCCCGGGATTGGCGGAGGGATAGATTAGACCGGCCGGTCCGTGATTGTTGCCGTGCATGTACCCATTGTGGTTCGTGCCGCCGCGATTGTGCGTCAGACCGAGGTTGATCTGACCGGCGCTGTTGCTGTGGGAATGCGTGGTGGTGACCGGCGGGCTGGAGTGCGAGTGCGTGTGGCTGAGGCTGTGACTGTGCGTCGGCGGCGCCAGGTGACTTAGATTGTGGTGTGAATTCATGAGATTGCTCTCATTGTGACGGCCGGGCGGCGGAATGTTGTAGTAATACTGGCCGCTGTTGCGCTGAACGTTGCTGCTGCTGCTTTCTACCTGAACGAAGATACGCACCCACGTGAGCGGAATAATCGCGACTCGACGCGAGCCTTCTTGTTCAATCGGCAATATCTCCCTGTTCGCCCCGCGGGTTTGTTCTTTGTTTCATCGCGATAATTACGTCGATAATTCGTGTGTAGTTGTAAATTTCATTTTTTTTCCCCCTTTTGGTGGCACAAGATACTTGAGCATATTGTCGTCAAGTTGCAAGATTCGATCGGGTATTCGTGAGTCGTGGTGCGCTCATGAAATAATTACCCCATTGTGCACGTGAGACGTGGCGATGGAATAGCTCTTCGAGTGCTGGTACGAATTACCTCCGTCGTTGCCGTTGTTCTCCGTCTGCGCGAGCGATGTCTGGGGTGGTCTGTAATTTTTCGGCTTGGGCGGCGGGATCGGCTTGTAGGTGCCTGCCGGCTTATTTTGCGGGATCGGTATCGACTTGTAATCGGTGGATCGGCTGTACGGCACGCGAGAAATGTTGATAAGGAAATGATCTGCCTTGACACTTAATGCGCTTTATTACTTTAACTTCCTACTTAACGTCCTATTTTAGGAAGATTAACATACCGTAAATCGTCATCGAAAATCTTTCGGGTCGTTTTGACGGCCCCAAAGTGCACAACAAGGATTAATTTTCAATATCGTTTCGGTTTTTTCGGATATACTTTAACATTCTAATTTTCATAGTCATCGTACAACATACCTGTACTTGGCGTAATCAGTCCGCGTTTGAGCATCGTGCATGGGAATCGGCTGAGCCGTAGACCTGGTGAATCGGTACGGATCGTGCGCTCTCACCGGCATGCTGCTGCTCTTGAGATCATCAGGTACGTTCGGGCCCAAGCGACCCGTCGACGTGTTGAGATTCGGCGCGCCGTAGCTCGCGTTCCCATTCGTATTGTTGTACGAATCGTAGGAGGACATGCTGTCGTAACTTCCCTGCAAGAATAAGCGGAATCTTTTGGCGCGATCAAGTGACCCGAAATGATCACTTTTCCGAATCGTCGAGAGACCGGCCAACCAACTCAGATCAGGCAGCTTTACTAACGTGGTCCTTCCACCGAAGAATTTCGCTACTTGAGCATGAGAAAATTAATAAACTAAAATCTTGTAACAAGACCGAAGTTAGATCAATCTGTCGAATCGAAGGATTCATTAGAAACGTGACAGAACGATATCCGTCGGACAATGCCTACCGCCTTCGGCTGCGCCCTTTCGAGGGATGACGTGGCGTTCGCTTTGTGCGGGGTTGCATTGATGTAATTTCCCATGTCCAAGATCGACTCGGTTTTGTTCACTAGACGTTCCTGAGCGGATCGTCCGATCGTACCCCGCGGCGTTTGGTTAGTCGGCTTCACGTTCCGGTCGACTCGCGGCGGAAGGTCCGGAGGGCTATGATGAGGAGATCTAGGCTCGAAGGAGCCGCCCAAATATTCCGGCGAGCCAGACTGATTGCTCATTTGCCCGGACAGGGAGAAGCCGTATTTGCTATCTCCCACTCCGCCTTGGGACCTTCTCTTTTGCTGATCGAACGATTGCTGCAAGTAAATTCGTGACCGGAAAAGAAGCGTTAATGTTGTGCGTCAAATTATAAAAATATTACGCTGCAAATTTGTTTACAAGGAAAAGAAAGATTCACCGAATACTTTTCTTTCGCCTACACGGGTATTCTTCAAAGAGAGAGAGAGAGAGAGAGAGAGAGAGAGAGAGAGAGAGAGAGAGAAAGAAAAGAGAGAATAAGGATGCGTCTCGAAAACGAAAACTTAAGAATTTGCATCGAACGTATAATTAAGTGCGTTTTCCGCGTGTGCATCCAAAATATGTATACCTGATAATTCGTGGAGTACGGCGGTGGTGCGGATGTGTCATCTTGAGTGGCAATACTAGGATCTGAGCTGCTTTTGAGCCGCGACGGTGGGCCTAATGTACCGGGAATAACGGGTGCCGGACTCAGCTCCAGGTCACTCTCCGGGGAGGAAGCGTAGGAGAGGCGAGAAGTCATCGGGAATAGGAAATCATCCGAGAGGGCTTCTTCCGGCTACGAAGGCAGACCACAGAGGAGACATCACGTTATGTAAACGTTACATACGGGTAATAAATAGACGATACAATGTGTTGTTGTTTGAAGGCACGTTAATGCATGTGTGATGCAACGAGTATGAATTGTTATATCTTTGTATATGTGTGTGTGTGTGTGTGTGTGTGCGTGTGAGTACTTCAAATTACATTAACACTAAATGTACATCTATCAAATATTTCTTAACGCTGCTTACTTTTATAAAAGAATACATTATAAATAACCGACAAATGATTCTTTTTTTATAGATGTGGAAAAAGTAAAGTTACAGCGAGTGCAAAGTACTACAATACTACGTGTCTTTAGAGGCATGCAATTCGTCGAAGCTGAGAACTGATGGCATGCAAGTTCGATTTATTCGAACGTATCTTAAAAGTGTTGGAAAAATTATTCAAAGAAAAAAATGCTTCTTTATCCGTCTATATTCACCTACGTCGTACATAAAAGTGTCTTTTCTCGTCAGATATACAGAGAAAAATTATATATACTTTCGAAGCTTAATTATAATTTAAATGGAGGAAGGAACGATCATGGCACTTAAATTATTGCTGAAAGCTGAGCTTCGAAAAAATATATATTTTCCAAACGTGAACGATTAACATTGGGATTGGGAACTGAAATCGACAGGAGAGCAGCAGACAGACGGAATCAAATCATGCAAGAGTGCGATATACAAAATGAAGAAACGCATGCACAGAGCGACAAAAGAGACAACAAGCAGAACTTATATATAGCCGAAAAATTGCTCACGGATGACGTCTGAATTTAAAGGTGATTGAGGAAGCGGCAGGGGTTTTCTCATGAGGGATGCCGACAACATTGATGGCTGATAATACGACAAGAGCACATCGTGATTCTTATTCTCATCATAATATACATTGTTGTTGGGAAGAGGAGAGAATGGGAGGGCAGGAGGTGGAGTGTGAGCATGTTGCGACAACTCCCACACCGTGTATCGACTATATATCGGCTATAACAAACAAGCCCAGATTACGCCGAGAGTCGTTGGAGTGCCAACGACATGCCAACAACCGGAGGTAGATCATGACATTTCGTAAGAGAGATGAAAACGAAAGATGAAATTAAAGAGAGAAGAAAGTCGTGCTATAAACTACTCCAATATCCTCCTCGGTGTTTCCTTCTTGTACTTTTTACGTTCAAAAACGTGAAACGGTGTCGAAATCTTCAATCTTCGGAGGATGCAGAAGAGGGAAGAAAGACAATCGTGAGTAGTGAAAAAGCGTAAAAAGATACTTTGAGAGAATGATAGCGAAGTGCGAAATGAAAAACTATATAATGTGTATGTATGACAAATGTTTAAGATCTCTAGATGGACACATTGTCTCTCCCCTGTGACTCTGAGAATTTATTTGTGTTTCCAGATTTTCTTCAATTTCAGATAAAAGAAATTCATCATTCAAAATTCATAAAAAAATCTCTAGGTAACTGGAAAGAACAATCGTACTTTTTACAACAGTCTGTACGTGAAATTAAATAGTCTCTCACCTTGGTCTGACTCATCCAAAGTGAGCCTTGTTGCTGGCGATCGATGAGCTCTCGGAGCTTCCGGTACCAAGCTTCGGGCGCATTGAGCGTAATCACCGCGCTAAATACGTGTCCCCAGATCTTGTCGAGTTTTTGGCACTGCTCTAAGAGCTTCTTGCTGCTTTTATGCGCCGATCTGCAATCGGACATCAGTTGTATAAAATATCGCGCGGATGCCAACACGGAAGCGAACCTGCCAACTTGTTCGTCTCATGCGCCTCGCCCTTACTTCGGTATGCCAGCCCTCATCTCTTTGATGACCTGCTTCGTCTCAGCCTTCAGGAAAATGACAATAGGGTAAAACTGGGCGTAATTTAATCGGTCCACGGCGTTGGGAGTAATATCTAGCAAAGCGTGTTTCCCTCGATCCATCACCTCTCTGATGGCGCTCAAGCGAATGATGCCGGAGGTTTTGGTGTTCTTGCCCGAGCCATCCTCCATTTGGCTTTCCATCTCTGCAACATCACAATTAGTAGTTACAAATTTACAAATGCGATGTTCAACGCTGCTGATGTTACACTTCGATAAAGACGTGAACAGGAGTCAATGGAGACCAGGTAATTTGTCGCTCACTTACGCGGAGAGGTGAATTTATCGGGAAAATCCTTGAGAAGCTTCTCCCTGGCGAGATCAGCTACGGGCCCGAAGAGAACGACGGGTCTAACGAATCCAGGATGTCTCAGGATCACGCGCTCATAAGCTGGGAATTTGCTGACGCTGTCGGAGAACACCACATCGTCCCAGTGATCCTAGATTACACCGAAAGGAGCATGAAAATCTGATCTGGATCGCCAAAAATCTTATTACAGGTAATCCTTCCTCCCCGATCCCTCCGGCGTCTCTGCCGGCGTGTCAACCTTTCGGAGAATTCGAAAAAAAGGAACGAAGAAAGAGAGAACCGCGTTCTTACCCTTCCCAGAGACTTTGACCGCCTGTGGCTGTTTCTTCTTCTTCTGAAAAAGCTACCTCTGCTTTCACTGGCGCTCATCTCCTTCTTCGTCGCGTTAAATTGCGCAGTCGCCAGCTCTTCAGCCCGAGCCTTGTTGGGTATGATGCCCTTCTGCACCTCTTGATTGTTTCGTCCGATCCGGAAGACCTGCCAAGATCCCACGACGCCGTTGTGAAGAGTGTCCACCACGTGGAAGACGTCCCCGCTGCGGAAGCTCATCTCGCCTTTCTGCGGTTGCTCGTAGTGGAAGTGAGTTCTACGCATTTCACAAAGTACATCCCGTGATGAAAAGGCGGGATTTCTGCTCGTTATTAACGACCAGTACGACATTTCATCAGTACTGATTGTAAATCGCACTTTTCCACTTTTTTTTTATTAATATTCAAGAATTGTTAACCGCTCACTATAAACGTTGCTCACTTTATGTGGAAGGAGTCGCCTCTGCCGGATGCGACGATCTGATCGTACTCCTGACGACGATGCTGCACGATGAGATCGATCTGTTCTTGCAAGCTGAGGAGAAAAAGCACAGCTTCTTCCCTCGTGACTCCTTTCATGTCCATGTCATTTATCTGTCGCGATAAAACTCTGCGTTTATATTCCTATCTCCATATCTCAAGTATCCGCTGAGCGGATACTAACAAAAAGCTGCGTCCCTTGGTGAATGGTTTTGCAATCAATGTGTCATTAAACGCTTTATTCAGTACTTTGGTTAAAAAAAAATCTACAATCATACACGACACCCTCCTTCTGATGAAAAAGTGTAGTATCTGCAAGTTTATGGTGAAAAATTGCCCTATTTCACGTTCCAGATTCACGTTGACGCTAGGCGTCAAATAACCGACCTTTAAAATCTTATCTCCTGGCTGAAGACCCTGAAGCGACGCGGGACTTCCCGATTGAACTGCAGTCACGAAGACCCCGGTCTCGTTGCCACCGCTTAATCGCACTCCTACGGATCCTTCCTTTTGGAAGGTAATGAATCGAGGATCCGGCCTGTACACACACGCAATATCGGCAGGATGCATTACTGATGCATTGATGCTGTGTGTAACAGTCACAGATTGCAGAAAGTTAAGAACAACACACTTTGTCAACACTTACATCGGCTGCTTCGACCGAGGCGAAACCGAATCTTCGTCGTACAGTTGCCTGCGCGTGCTATAATAATCTACGGGGGGAAAATAACACGTTGAATAAAACAAGTCCACAGAGAACTCGATCCTCGACCGCAAGATCCATCCCGATGGAGATGATTTTTTCACAAGCTTCGAAGATCGAGAAACGATCTTCCCGCGCGCATTTGTATCGTAATGTATATAAAAATCGCGCGTATGAAACTCAGATTCAAGAACACAGCTCTTGACGAGCAGCCCTTCACTGTTTCGCGCGTGGCAGTTTACTTTATATCCGTGTTTGAAACTAACACGTATTCATGTTCTGCGACCGTTAAGTTAGCGATATCGTATATATATATCGTCGTGATAACATCGCGACATGTACCTTCCGGCCTGGGCGGAGGTGGCCTGGGTGGATCCACTGTGGGTGTAGCCGGTAGATCCAGTTGGCTCAGAGAGACGTCCATCAGCGGACCCCGGGAACGACCTCTCGGCACGAGGTTACTCTTGTCCTCCAAGGGCTGCCTCGTAGGTGGCGGAACGTATAAGTTCTGACTACTGTAACTCGCGCCCGACAGGTATTCACCGCTATCCCCTTTACCTTGCTGCTGTGCGTGGCAACAGGAGCTGTCCCGCGTAATTACTATCGAGAGTCTGTCTTTGCACTGGTCCATCAGCTTTCTAGCTTCCTTCAGACTCATATTGTCGGCGGCGACGCTGCCTATTCGGGTTAGCACGTCCCCGGTTTTCACTCCGATATTTTCTCGCGTAACCTCCTTTACGTACAATCGACATCCCAGCACTATGCCGAAGTCTAGAAATCGAGGCGACATCATTACACCTCGCTTCGACTGAGGGAATGAATGAACGAATGTTTCGATGGGGAAAGGGCTTGTAAATCGCCGCAAATAGAAACCTCGGGAGAAACTTATTTGCGAGGCAATATTCTACAGCTCCGCTCGACGAGAAGAATGTGAAAGGACATTCTTTATTTGCTTTAGTTTCCGTATCTCGTCACACACAGTGCTTTCGTAAGTAGCGTAAGTTAGCTATACGTCTCTCTCTCTCTCTCTCTCTCTCTCTCTCTCTCTCTCTCTCTCTCTCTCTCTCTCTCTCTCTCCACGTGATAAATATCCTCGATTTATATCTCGACGCAAAAATCTCAAGTTCTCCTTTTAAAGACACAATAAGAGGAACTATGAATTAAACATTAATTCGAAGATCAGATTACACGCTAAATGGAAGGAAGATCACGCGGAGAATCAAGCTCCAATCTTCCTAATTAAATCCGAAAGCTGACGAAGCGGCTTATAGATAAACGCGACGCTTGGATTCACGTGCGCGCGCTGATTGTCGTGCGATCGTTGCACGACGTTTAATTACGTACCGTCCTTTTTATTGTTTCGCGTGAGAGTGAGCCGGTGACTCTGAGGACCCGCGCTGCCCAAGCAGCCCGGCGAATTCGAGGAAGCTCTTCGTTTAACAACCAATAAAACGGTGGAACCGGAATCCCTCAGGACCCGCACGGCAGCCCCGTAATCCGCGCCCTCCAGTGACACTCCGTTAGCGGATATGATACGGTCGTTCACTCTGCGAATGACACGATCGAGCGATATTATTTCGCCGGATAAGCCGGACCGAAATGTGAAGAGCGTTGAAGACAGATGGACGGAAAGAAGCCAAAGAGAAGACTCTCCTACGGCGAGTTATACGACAACGTTTCTTCCTCCATCGGGGATTTTAATAAGTCTCACGGCTCATAAAACGGCTTTACTCTCTTCTCCGTGCTAAACGTATGTCAAAACTACTGTGGCAAAATTCGCATCCTTCCCCACGTAATACTTACTGCAATTTTCCCTCGGCCGGGCCAGCTTTCAGCACGTCGGAGATCGCGATCGCTGGATCCCCATTGGTGAAGTGTGGATTATCGCGGCCTCCTGACACGGCTATACCGAAACCGTAACCGGGCACCCTGGTGACCGTAACATGGTGGATCTCCCAGCCTCTGTCGCCAGCCTGAAAGTCAGAATCGGATGGACCGACTCGCGTGAGTGCGTGAGACGTAGTTTTTTTTTTTTTTCTCGACAGCGCAACTTAATCAAACATCGACATGCGACGAGAGGCGCTGCCGCGACCGCAGGATTTCGCATTTTCGCGTCGAATTCACGTTTTATCCCGCGCACAATTCCGACGCACGGTCGTTCAATTGCCGGCTGAAGGACGACGGTATCGCCTCGAATTGAATCTCGCGATTCATTTGCTGCGCACGTGGAAGCCCGCGCACAATGGAGCAATTATGTGCATTCCACGAAGCCTCGTGTGGCGCGTTCCTAGCCTCCGCGGCTCCGTAGTTCCCTTCGGAACTCACTCCGCTCGAATTAACGTTAATAATCATCAAGCATTCATGCTCTGTGATAATTGAATCGCGGGGTGGCGCGAACAATGAACCGTACGTGGCCGGTGCATGAACCGGGGGAGGGGGAGGGGGGCGGTTAAAATCGCACGCGCGCGCGCGCGATCCGCCGCGGATAAATTTAGCCCGATGGGCTTTTATGAATCACTTGCGAGCACGTGGTGGAGCGCGAGAGCGCTCCCTTCCTGCGAGAGCACGATCGGCGGATAATTCAATACCCACCGTATCGAGTGGCAGAGTTACGCTAGTGAAGACGTCTCTCGCGTCTCGCGGAGACGCGATACGTAGCGAAGCCATTCGCGGCCCCGGGGTGTTGGAGTGAGGTGTCACGTCCGGACGCGGTGATTCCGACGACGAAAAGCGACGACGAGCGACGGGCCAAGCGCGCTATTTGCCTTGCGTCTGCATTCGCGAAATGCATTCGCTCGCCAACGAAGCCCGCGAGGCGGAGCTGAGAGAGAGAGAGAGAGAGAGAGAGGCGCTCTTGCTCCTCAGCATTCCGCCCAGACGCGAAGAAAAACGTGCGTCGAAGCGAGCCTCGCGCTCCTCTTCGATCCTCAGCGCGACACTCGGCGAATTACCGCGGAAGGCGCGCACCGGAGGGGAAAATAATAGCAAGGGAGCTCTATTTTTAGAAATCTCGTATGCGGCATGTCAATTGTCGCACTCGAGCGACGTTCTGGGCGCGGCCGCGCGAGCCCGCTCTCGTGCTATCCTCGAAGACGCGTCCCGGAATTACCCCGGAATGCATAATCAGAATGCATAATCAGAACGGACAGTTTATCCCACGCAGAGACGCGCGAGATCGTCAGGATCCCCATTTAGCGTGGTCGTCGCGCTCGTCGCGAGCGCGTCGTTGATGGAAGATCCTCGAGCTCCTCTCTCTCCCCGCGATCGCGTCATCCCCCGATCACGCGAGGAGCAGTCGCTTTTTTCCCGCCTGCCCGCTCCCTCCCCTCCCCCCAGCTATCTCTCTCCGTCGTCTTAAATCTGCACGATCCTAAGGAAATCTCGGCTGCGCTACCTGGCCGTCGAACCCGCCCGAGGAATTGTGCATTGTGCCGTGGGTCGACGAGGTGGAGTTCGGCGGGGATCCAGAATTTCCCACGTGACAGCCACCGCCGCCGACGCCTCCACTGCCTCCACCGCTGCCGCCGCCGCCGCCGCCACCGCCACCGCTGCCTCCACCGCCGCTGCTGCCACCGCCGCCACCGCCACCACTACCGCCGCTGCCGCCGCCGCCGCCACTTCCGCCACCGCCGCCGCCGCCGCCGCCACTTCCGCCGCCGACCCCAACAACATTGTTATCGCTCCTGTCCATCCTTGCGAGGAAGACCTGTCTTCTCGAAGGCCCCGTACGCGCGATCTTCCAAGACGATTCTCACGGGCCGCTCCCTCGCGCACTTCCGCCGATTCGCGAGTCAACGAACATCCCTCCTGCCCACTTTTTCATGAATCACGCGGAGTCGCAGGAGTCGCGCAGGAGTAGCGTGTCGCAAGCCAGCAGGTCGCAATCGCATCATGCACGCATCATATACGCGGTGAAGGCGCGATCTCGCGTCCTGTCGATCGATGCCTCGCGACGATCTCTCGCGCAGAAATGCGCGGCGTCCTGTTTCTGCCCGTCGGCCGAACAGCGACGAGGAGAAGCGGAGTGGTCCTGCCGGCGTTGGGCAAGGATGAGCGAAGAACTGGTATATCGTGCGTGAATCAGAAAACGAGTTATCGAGAATATCGTCCGGTTGCCGTCGATCTTTCCCGTTTCCAATTGAAAACGAAAGCAACGAGAGAGAACGAAGCGACCGATAGGAGCTGATAGGAGCTGATAGGAAATTACAGTTCCGCTCTTATCGCACCCGGCCAGAGATCGATTGACATTTCAGGTCAGGTTTCCGTCGTCTCCCATCCGATTTTCTTGCACTTGATCGCGAACCCCTCGCGTTCTTCAGACCTCGTCATCGTTCATCTCCGCGGCTGTACGGATCATCGAGCAGTCGTCCAGACGACGTTCCGCAGGTGCAAGCGGACACCACGTGTCTCGCTCGTCTCGCTGGAAAATCCTGCCGCGCTCGCGACCTCGTCGTCCTCGCCGGCGCGGCGCGGCGCGGCGCCGACACCTGCGACGCTCGGCCGATTTCGGCGAGATTTCGGCCGGGCCGAATTCTCGCTGGCGATTTCTCTCACGTGTTCCGGACGGATTCACAGCGACTGGCCGCGTGGATCCACCGAGTGACCCGTTTTTCCTCTCGCCGCCGCGAGAATTTCCCTCCTGCGCTCCGTTCTCCGACTCGTCCGATTCGACACACTCGACGCTCCTCCCTTGCTCGCTTCCTTCGCTCGGTCACGCTTTTCGTTACAACTCCGTCGGCCTCCTCCTCGTCATCGGACGCGATGTACCGTGAAGCGCTCGATTTCGTTCGGAAGCTACGCGCGGCTTTCCACCGAGCGATCTCGGCTCCGCATCCTCGGCAGTCTGGAAACTCACTCGCTCTCTTGGCACTCTCGCGCTCCTACGGAGCTTTATCCGACCAATTCTAAGCCAAATTGAATTCTATTCTAATCTTATTTTCTCCCCTCTCTCTCTCTCTCTCTCTCTCTCTCTCTCTCTCTCTATCCGCATTCACTCTGCTCGACGTGTTTCTTGGATTATCCTTTATCTCCGCGTAATCGATATTGCCTGCGAATCCATCTGCTTCTTCGCGCGGGCCGAGAAACGGCGACTTGTTGATTGTCTCGTAGCTTCTCGACATTCAAGATGCTGCTCTCTCTCTCTCTCTCTCTCTCTCTCTCTCTCTTTATTCCGGGACTTGCTCTCGGCTGAACCGAGTGAGTCACTTCGCTCTCGAGACGAGTTGCCGAAGTTGCCGAATCGATCGCTTCGATTTTCCCGACTCAAGAGACTCGCTTCTTAGGTGATCTCGTCAGTCAAGAGAGCGCTCGGCTTTATTTTATATAATTAACTCTTTGCGCGCACTCGGCCGATCACGAAGATACCGTTCAGCCGCGCCGAAAACAATCATCAGGAAGCTTGCACGCGCGGTAATTTCAGTAACGAGACGCCGTCTCAGGCGCCGTGTATAATTATCACGACAACGCGGAACCCCTCTCTGTCTCTCTCTCTCTCTCTCTCTCTCTCTCTCGCCTGCGTCCTCTCCTTCCTCAGCTCCTCTCCGTCCTCTCGCTCCTGTCTCACGCGGCGGCACAGAAATACATCGCGTTCCGCGTCGACCGGAAGCGCATTTCCAAAAAGCCGCTGAAGGCCGTCGGCACAAACAGGTTCCTGCCGAGCAGCAGCAGCAGCAGCAAGCCGCCACGGTCGGCCAACGAAAGCATCGAAAGCGGAGCACGATTTAAATCACCATGCACCGAGGACGACCTCGCTCGTCCTCACCAGGCGCGCTCGTCGGTCTATTCGCGGCTCAGCATCGCGGGCACTCCTCGCGCGGCCGCCGCGCCGCATCAGCGTGAAAACTGAAAATGATCCACTTGGACCTTCGAGTCACGATCCAGGCTCACTCGCAGTCGCGCGGCTCTCCCGGGCTCGCTCAACAACTTCCGCTGCCTCCTCGGCTCGCTGGAAATTGCAACTTGACTCTCTCTCTTTCTCTCTCTCTCTCTCTCTCTCTCTCTCTCTCTCTCTCTCTCTCTCTCTCTCTGTGCGAGGTCTCCCGGCCGACGAAGAGTATACGAGAGAAAGAGCGACTCGACTCTCTCGGTCGCGTCACAACGTAAACTTTCCCGAGGTTCAGTAACAGTCACAATCGACAGAGTCTCCGATGGCCAAATTGCCTTTTCCTCACTGAGATCAACCGTGCAACCGTCCCAACGTGGCACACACCGAGTCGCATTTGCTCCGGATCGCGATCGGTAACAACAACGTGTTCGGGCGGTTCCTCGTCCGCGCGATATCGATATTATCGGCACTCTCTACACCGAGGGCAAGCTTCGCTCGCACCTTCGCGGGCGTGGATGCACGTCGCACGGCTGCACCTGGAGTGGTCCTCCGAGTCTCGAGGTATCATCTCGTGCAGCACGCGCGTACATATAGCTTTCGCGTGCGTATGCGGCTCCGCAGCAGCAGCAGCGTTCATGGACCCATGAGAATCACTCTCTCTCTCTCTCTCTCTCTCTCTGCCTTTCTCTCTGTCTCTCTTTCTCTCTTTCTCTGTCTCTCTCTCTCTCTCTCTCTCTCTCTCTCTGCCTTTCTCTCTCTCTCTCTTTCTCTTTCCGGACGAGTTCCAGAACAGGACTTTGAGCCCGAGAACACGGATAAATAAAAAAATGTCCCTCTGCCGAGAGCGAAGGAGCTCTGGCGATGTATGCGATCGGCTTCCCTATCGTCAGGTCGACTGGTCGAGGTAGAATCGGCCGAAGACTGCAGGGACGCAGAAGGACGGAGCGGTGCTGGAGAAGAGGCCGCGGTGTTGAACATACAAGAGAGTCCCATAAGATAGAAAGAGAAAGATAGACAGTTGGAAAAGGGGGGACGAGACAAGAGGGAGTAGAGAGAAAGAGAGAGAGAGAGAGAGAGAGAGAGAGAGAGAGAGGGGAGAGAGGAAAGAAGGGCAAAGAGGAGGACTGGGTTCGAGAGCGTGTCGACACCGGTTTTGCCTGGACGGCTCGCTTAGTTGGCAAGACTGTAGGTAGAGGTCGGTCTTCAACGTCTTGCCCTTGCGAATGTGTGTGTGTGGGTGCGTTGGTGCGGGTGCGTCTGTACACGAGCGTACACGCACATGGCTAGACTACGAGACATTAACTGGAATATGACACACCTTACGCCAGCTGGAATTCTGCTGTGACGGTCTGGGTATCCGCTTTCCGTTTCTCTATTCTTTGTCCCAGGACCAAGAGTATCCCGATGTGGCCAGAAGACGAGGCCAGAACTCGTCTCCTGACAAAATCACCATGGGACCTCGAAACCCTGTCGCCTTTGGCCGAGGCTCGCGCATTTAAAACGAAGCGGGTGTGTGCTCAGCTTCTGGAGACAGAGGAAGAAGAGGAAGAGGAAGAAGAAGAAGAAGAAGAAGAAGAAGAAGAAGAAGAAGAAGAAGAAGAAGAAGAAGAAGAAAGGCGGAAGGAGAAACGGAGCTATAAACATTGAACGAATCAAATCCTTGGCCCGATGTCGTATTAGGAGCTTTTACAGCTGGAAGCGGCGTACGACAGATGAATCCGTAAACGAAACGAAAGTCGACCTTGAGCGGCCAGAAAAACGTACATGATGGGAGAAATGTGTAATCTGACGTCATATGGCTGGTTCAAAGACCGGTCAACGCGAGATGCTAACTGTAGAGATCGAGAAAGCGATCGATTTACGAGGCCGCTGATGCTTTATTCTTATCGTGGAGGATCGATATTCACTTTCTACGGACGTCTCAATGCGCTTCATCTGTCTAGATGTAACTCATACGTGAAACTAAAGCGCGACAAAAAGAAGCATCGTAATGATGCCTGCCTTATTTATATACATCTCTCTTTCTTCCCCTTTAATAAATTGACTTGCGGAGATCACGATCGCGCCTGAGTGCGCAATCTTGCTAATTGCTGCAAATGTCGCGGCAGTTTCGAGCTCGCTTGTTCTTCCTGAGATCGAACGGCAGCTCGCGCGAGCTGCGGGGGAGGAGGGAGGGAGAAAGAAAATTATCGCTTCAATGCACAACTCTCCCATATCGATACAAAGTCATTCCGATCCGTCGAGTGATGATTCATAAGTTTCGCAAGCTCGTAATGCTTTTCCGTGAGATCACGCCGAGGAAACAAATCGCACTCGGATCGTCGCGATCGCGGATTAGATTACGCTTCTCGCGCGCTTTGCGCTAATGAGGAAAATTACGCTACGCTTCCCACAGCGCACACCTCATTACGGATGAATCTGGCTAGCCATCGCGCTGAATACGGATGGGCCGGCTGACGAATTTGAAAGGGAAAATCCAACGGGGGGAGAGGAGGGGAGGGGAGGGGAGGGGAGGGGGCACCGTACCACTTTTCGAGCGTGTCGGCGAGAATATAGACCGCGCCGCGTGAAACGTGGAATGCGAGGAACGATGTTGCTCGCCTATTCGCAAGTTCTTTCCTCGCGGGACTCGGGGACTCGGGACATTCCTCGGGCGAAGCCGGGGGGGGGGGGCGGGGGACAAGGAGGCATTTTTGCATTATTTCTCGCATGAATCAGAACCTTTCCGCGATTATGTGTGTGCGCGCGCGCACAAGGTGCACACCGAGACATAGAAAATAATTAATCCTACGGTGAAAATTGGAAAGAAACGACACGCGCATTAAACTTGAATTACAGGATTGAATTTTACGCGCGCGGAAAAACTGCTGCGGATCGAGTAACCTTGCAGTCGCCTTGCGCGCGCGAGGCGCGCGAAGGAAATGTTTAGGATTATACGTGAAACGCCCGTGGATACGTGTACACGGCCGGTGCATGATTCATACATCGAGAAAAATTCTGCCGAGCGTCGTACCGCAGAAGGAAAACCGGATCCCAGAGAGAAAATCGTTATCGATCGGTTTAGAATAATCGCTTGGGTGAAACGTTAACGTTAGCGTCGACGTAGGGCATACCACCGTCCCGTGCAACCCGGCCCGTTGATCACCGTTATCAACGACATTAACATCGCTAATCCGGCTAATCTTTCCTCGAAAAGAAGAGAAACCGTGCAATTTTTGCGAGAAGCCAGTCCATTTTTCGCCGTGAACTGGGAGCGACGCGTCCCTGACGCGTGTAACGAAAGATCGACAAGTAACGGCAGGCGCGGAAAAAACGAAGAAGCACACAGAGAAACGCGCGCGACATGTAATGCGCGGCGTAATTTCAGATAGATGGCGAACATTAATCTCTCTCGCAACATCTCTCGCAGCGGAGCGCGAGCGACGAAAGTGCACGGAAAGCGCAGGAAGCACGCTCGATTTAGCAAGCGGCAACGTCATCGACGAGCAAGAAAATAGTCTTTCGACAGACACCTCGGACACAAAAAGTTATCGGCGAACTTCGGAACGCTCCTCAGACCCGAGGACATTTCCACCCGTGGAATGCGCGCGACCCGGGCAGACGTACCTGCGGCAGGCAGGTAGCCGCCGCTTCAGCCTTGGCAACCTGGCGAAAGATAAAGCGACATGAGGGCGTGGTGCGCCTATTTGAAGACCTCTCGCGACTTGTACCTGCTATCTTATATTAGCCATGAAATTAAATTTTAATACCGGCCCGAGAAGAGTAAGAATATAAAACAGCCCTCAATTTTGTGGCGTTGTAATTATAATTTTTTATCGTACTCGCCGGCTTCGTACCTTTTTCTCTTCAAACTCGGGCTATCATGTAATACTATGTAAAATTGATGTCTTTCCAGTGAGAAGTGTCAAGAAAATGTCATACTTTCACATCACGTCGCATATCTCAGCGCTGCTTTGTCCTTTGTCGAAGGGAATCCAAGAAGAATCCACGGTGTGATATATTTTTAAAAGTCCAGCGTATTACTATCATCATTCGAACGAGAGACTTGGGGCTCGACAAGTTTGGAACGGAGTTTCCTCGAAAGATCGATTCTCAGACGCACCTCGCGTCGACCTGTCGCGTTGACCTCCCGCGTTTTCACTTGTCCGTTCGTTTACCTACGCATTTGTAATGCGATTGTCCGCGCGCGCGCGCGCGCGCTGGCACTGATACGGCCGCGGTCATCGTGCCTCGCACGATGATAAAAGTGACGATACATCGCGCGTGCACGGAATAGCAATACTCGCGATACCTTCCACGTAGAGCCCTCTCTCGTTTCTTCCGCTTATTCGTATTATTGAAAAGAATAACCACAAGATGCCAAGTGTCATTCGGTGCAAAAATCGAAATTAAATGTCACGTCGAGTATCTCGCGCTCGGCTCGTTAAAAAGCCGGCATTAAAGATATGCACTTTCTACGTGTTCGAGTGTTCGATAGCGAAAAGAAATGGTGTCGAAAGCGTTAACTAGGTAAAAGCGCGTTAGTCGCTGCTGCAGTCATTGGAAAGCCGCGGAGGTGTAGAACTGTGCACACTTGTCGAAACCGGACTGGAAACGTTCCGCCTAAGACTAAGCAGTATCGTCGGCACGATATCCTTCGCGCGATCCAGTTAACCAGAATATATTTAATCAGAATCGCGCTGAGGCACGCACAGAGGCGGCCGTGCGACTTCGCACGCACGAAACATTCGTGTTCGTGAATACAAACGGCAATAACAGAGAGCCAGCCCCCGTGTAGCAGATACATCGAGAGCGCGCGAGGGGGAAGGGGCGAAAGGAACGGACAATAATTGCTGTGCGCAATCGAACACGCGAGAGTATGCGTCTAGCGCTCGTATATCCGATTATGCGGTCACTTCCCGTGAAATTATGGCCGGTTGCCCGCAATTCTCGGCGCTCATTCACCACTAAACACGATCGCTCGACTCGCTCGTTTCATCTCCCGCGAGGGCACGAATATTCCCTCGAATATGAAAGAAATAAAATATTACATTTTATCGTAGCGGGCGGGATCGTATCTCGCCTCGACCTGTTTTCACGACTTTTCGTGAACTATCCAGTTTTTCTTTTTTGCGCATTGAATATTAACGACGCGATTAACAGGTTGCAGTCACGCCGAGGAGAGGCGCGCGCGCGCGCGATGCGCGGCGATGCGTGATAACAGTTGTTCAATATGTTGGCGTGTGGTCCTCAAAAATGGCACGGCGCAACCGTAAATAGCGGAAGAAACGAGAACGTTAAGACACGAGCGGACAACACTTCACCCAGTTCTCTCGCCGCTATCTTTTGCAATTCATGCAAACCGTGACGTGTGCGTGTGGCTGCGCACACGGCGTCCTCGCGCAAACCACTCGGCACTCGGCACTTTACCGCAAAGACGTAACAGATTTACACGAGAAATTACAACCGCGCCTTTTAATATCCATTACGTAGCGCGACACGTGTATCGCTCGAAGAGCGGTGCGCTTCGGGAAGTTTCAGTCCGACTCGAGTTTTCCGGCAAGTTCGACCTTATCGGAATACGGAAAACGGAAGTTATTCGCGAAGACCAAATCAAATCGTCCTCTACGATCATTCTGGCAGCAGTTGATTCTCTCGTATCTGTCGAATAAGATTCATTGACTGACTGATTTCACTCAAATCGCCGCTGACTCGAGATACAGAATAAACACAATGGCCGAGAAACACCGTAAACGCAGCGAGCATAACGTTACGCGCCGAGCTGACATTCAGATTTCACTTTCGCGCGCGTACCTTATGTTTACGCCGATACCGCTTCGAGCTGCTGCTGCCACCGGTGCCGAAGAGGAAGTCATCCTTCAGCAGGTGCGCGTCGTACGTCCTGCTCGAGGCCCTCTTCTTCGACGTAGTCTTCCGCGACCTCTTGCTGACGGTGCGCCTCTTCTTCTTCTTGCTCCTGAAGAGCTTGCGAAAGATTTTCATGCTGCCGGCCGGCCGGCTCAGCTGAATTTGAAGACGAAGAAATATGAGAAATTCCAGCAAACGAAGCGACCGATCCGACTCGATCGGCCGACGACGGCCAACGATTATCAGCGAGAAGTGTTATCCTCCGTCGAGGATTACGAGCTCATTACGTACGTGCGCGATCGCCGCGTTTGCCGCACAACCGAACGGCCGGCCCGCGTCGTGGGGGATTAAACGCAACGCAAACGACGCCGGTTCACGGCCAACTGACGATCGCGGAAGATTAACGAGAGTCACGTTCGCGAAATCACGCTCGCGCAGCGAGAGCAGCGAGTGCCCGGCCGAACGATGCAGCTCGAACGATGCGCGCCAAGCCGAGCCACTAGACGCGCTGCCGCGTTTACGCGTTTAAGTCCACGGCGTAAGTCTCATCGGGATGTGCCATGTGGGCGATGGGGGCGGCTCATGGCTTATCGCCGCTGCTGTGATGATGATACAAACACACACACACACACACACACACACACACGCGGCTCTGAAAAATCCAGCGGTGATTTCTTACGCGGGCCGCTCTCGCATATCCGATTAATCGATCGCGCGCGCGCGAAGCCCCGCACGCGCGCGCGCGCGTCTCGCTTCCGGGTGCGGAAAGAGCTCATCGTCGCGGAAACTCCGGATAAGCTTAGTGACTGGCAAATTAAGTTTCACGGCGGAATAATCAATTTGCCTTCGATTACCCCGCGAGTCGATGCCTGCCTGCCCTTCTCGCTCGCGCCAGCTCGGAGTTCGGAGCTGTCGGCCAGAGAAAACGGGCTCGTTCTTCTCTTCTCTTTCTCTCTCGCTGGGATGTGAGACAGAGGTTTTCTCCAGCGAAAACCGCCGCCGCCGGTCGCAAAAGTGCAGCACAGCTGTGACCGGGAGAATCGTTCACCTTGATTTTTAATCAATGAGGTCATCGCGCTTCCCCCTTCGCATTGACGTCGGTCACACCGGATGCACGGCCAAAGGACGCGCGAATTAAATGCACGAGGCGCGAAGGCAAAGTACTCCCCCCCACCTGAAATGAACCCGGGATCAAATATGCTAATTCCGATCCCGCCTCGGTTTCGGACTTTAAATCTCGCTTCGAATGATCTCGCGCGAGTTTCGTCGCTTCAATTATTTTTCTTGCAAAAATCGAGAAAATTTCTCCTCACGACCCGTGCGCGCCGTGAGACTTCAAGTCTGTGAGATGGATTTTGCGGATTTAGCGACTTTCGTTCATAAATATCGCATCGCACCGCTCGTTCCAACGTTACCATTTAACGGTTAAAATATAAAATATTAACATCGCTTTTACTTTAGCTGCGCATGGTCCGTCTCAAATCGACTGATAATGTCGAGATCTATTTATCAGCCACATTTATCGAATTCCACACTCCCAACTCAAATACGTACTATCTACCTTTCACACGAGTGAGCTTGTATGTATTCGAGAATCTCGTGGGATTCGTTGAACACTGTTCAACCTCTGATAAATGTATCTTAACGCAGTCGCTAGAGCGTACAGACTTTGATTCGTATTTTATTTCTCTCTCTCTCTCTCTCTCTCTCTCTCTCTCTCTCTCTCTCTCTCTCTCTCTCTCTCTCTCTCTCTCTCTCTCTCTCTCTCTCGTGATGGATAAGGGCCTAAATTGAGCGCTTCGGAAGAGGAGATTCCCCGAGGACGGTAATTTCTCTCCTGGTCGGCTGCTTGCGCGTAAACACACTTAATGAACGAAACGTGTTTAAAATACGTCGCGCGTCTTAACGCTGATTTGCACACACATGCGGCGCATCAATGGCGACAAATATGGACCGTCTATAATGTAATGAGATAGTGACGTGACATCTCGTCGCCGACAACGCCCATCGTGAATACATGCGCAGGCGTTGACACATTTGTTATTACATAGGACGTCGTACACGCAGACGCTCGTTTCTGTTGCCTACATATTTACGCCCGCCTCTCGCTCGCGCATCCTTTTTTACACCGTGCGCTTTTGCAATCAATCTTGCATAATGGTAGTGTATGCACGTGATAAAAACGAGAAGCGGGAGTGCAACGTACGTGATGAGGCATACGGAGCGAGAAGAAATCCGCTGAAAAGTTACCTCGGGGAAGGGTTATTAAGATGTTAATTACCACGTGCGATGACAAATTAATATATTATTTGCCAGTCGCGCTCCGTCGGTAATGACGGTAGTGTCAATATTAAGACTCGACATTAGCTTTCGACGATGTCTATATTTCTGCGTTTCGCGCAATTAAAGACTATAATCCTGCGCTTCTACTCGCGGAGCGCATTTTTTTACTCGCTTCAGTTGCACTTTAAAGTTGCGCTTTAAAAGAAGACGATGCGCGCCCGATATTTGCGCGTTCGCGGTTTTCCTCGAGAAATCTCTTCATGCGTCTCGATGCGTCGATCGTCGCATTCGCGACTCCCGGAGCGTCTGAGTCTTAATCTCGCATTTAACTTCGGCTTAGCAGCTTGTGTGTGAGTACGTTAAAGTCGCGTCGAACCAAATTTCGCTCACTAGAACCAGAAATTCTGTCTCCTCCCACCAAAACGTATCGTTCGTCGCCGAATCAATTCGACCAACCTTTCTTTTCCGTACGTACGCTAACGTACATCTAACTAGAGATCCATTCAACTTCGTGGTTTACGTGGCGGGAGCGTTCACCGAACATCGAGTCTATGAGTTCATAGCGCTCGAAGAGATTGACGACAAGCAGTCTGACTCGGCAAGAACTGACCCGCCCCGGGCAACAGTCTTTGAAACATTCTTATGGAGCGCAACAAAGCTCATTATTCTGCAGAATCAATGAAAAAAATTCGTGAGAATTTATCTTCGATGATTCACCGGTCGGACTGTCACCTTTGGATCCTCATCATCGTAACCTTGAATCATAATGCCAACTCGCGCGGGGATATTTCCTTCTTGTGCGACAAACAAACGAGACCCATCGCGAGACGTCGCGTTAATCGTCGTCGCGAGTCGCGATGCTGTTCGACAGGCGAATACTATCGAGCGCGCTCCTCTCCGAAGATGACGTGCGTATAAATGTATAGGAGATATAAATCAACGCGATAACGCATGTCGAGCAGGGTAAAGAATGCCCAGCACGGAGCACGGCCTCCTTTCTTTTTCTACCAGTCTCGCAATATCCACGCCTTCCTTATCGTAGACTCGCGAACTCGCAATTTTTCTATACCAACGCGGTCTCAACGTTTCGTCTCTCAAATTGTTTCCGTTACGAGTCGGGCATAATGGTCACGACTACGATGGCATACGCCGATAAAGCCGACGCCGAGACTTTGACATCGATCGAGAAATCGAGATTTTTGACCACCTCGTCTGATAGTGAAAAGCAAGATCATGAGTCGCAAAAAAGTGCCGGCTCTTCCAACGCGGGAAGAAAGCGCTTTCAACTTTTGGCCAGTCTCTGCGGTGAGTAGATGAAAAGCCTGAGGGAACGTCTGCAAAAACGTCTGCAAAAAAGTGTGTCCCACGGTACGTCGAATTGCGATATGTTGGTTAGAAAACGTATAAACAACATTTATCTCGATCGAATGTTGCATCGAGCTGCGCGAAGAAAGAAATTACGCTCGTCCGGATTCAAATTGTGCATTGTGAGAAGAAACGAGTTCAATCTTCTAACGCTTGGATTCTCGCGTTAGTTGTAGCTCGACATTTCCTCTAGAATTTAATTAAATTTCAAATTTTATTAAATTTAAATTTAAAATTTCGTCTAAAATTTTATTATTATTTTATTATTCAAATATTTTGATGCGTATAATTTTATTATTTTGATCCATTCGTTTATTTATTTGAATGTTTACCGTATTATTTACTGTCTACTGTTTCGGCTATTATAGCAATAGTTACACACGTCACCTCGTCGACGAAACGTGAGAAAAATATTTTTTGCTTTTTTTATCTACCAGCAGTGCGTTAAACTTTTGTACGTTAAACTCTCATCACAAAGTACATTTGTGTCAATGTAATCGTAGATAACACGTATTTATAACAAGTCAGACTCGCATTATACTCCGGATCGGATATCGTACTATTTGCTCAGCGATGACGACGCGTACATACAACGCGAGAATGATAAATGAAAAAAAGCGCGGTATTAAGGATTGATCAAAAATTCAATTTAGCTTGCTCTTTGTGTTGAATTTAGCTGTTTTATCGTGCTTATGTTTATTCTCGCAATTTCACAACTGATGTCCAAATAAACTTAGGTGTGACCTGATTCGGTTACTGATTTAAAATCATCATACGCCTTTTTTTACAGAATACGAGATATTTTTCAAGAAAACATTATGTCAATCATTTATGTTGTGTGCATATGTGTGCATAAGTTCGAAATGCAAATATGCGTTCGTACGCGCATGAATACCTTTCACGTTACGCAATTTTATCTTATCGAAAAATTATAAAAAACTCTAAGCATGATTTCGAGTATCTCGAGATTAGCTTTTTCAAGTCAGTCTCTTTTCGTCAAGATGTCCTCATCGCGCGTTCCGGCGATACGCGTCAACAAAATCAAATCGTAAAGCAATTTCCCCCCCTTCTGAGTTAGGAAGACAGAGTCGTTTCTCTGTGTCTTGGTTGATAAAAGTACAGCTCGATTACAGCCGGAGTAATCGGCGTTCAAAGCGGCATAACGCTCACCTGGACATCGCCGATACTGCCTTACTTCATGTCAGAGGAGTCCTTCCTTTCTCCGGTATCGGAAAATCAAGTTTCCTGGATAACGTCCTTGCTTGCACTGGGCGCCATCGTAGGCGCCGTGCCTGCCGGCAAGATCGCCGATCGTATCGGTCGGAAGTGGTCCATCCTCTTGACGATCGTGCCGTTCGCGACAAGCTGGCTGGTCCTGATCTTCACCCGCGACATCGTCAGCATATACATCGCCAGATTCGTCGGCGGGATCGGTGCCGGAGCGGCGTGCGTCCTGGTGCCGGTCTACATCGGCGAGATCGCACATGCGTCGATTCGAGGCGCCCTGACAGCTTGCTTCCCGATTCTCCTCTCCTTGGGGATCGTCTTGTCCTTCGTGGCGGGCGCGTACTGTCCTTATGTGACCTTCAACGCCATCTGCTGCGCCCTATTGCTGCCCCTGGTCCTCGGCGCGCCCTTCATGCCGGAGTCGCCGATGTGGCTGGTGCAGCGGGGCCGTAAAGCTCAAGTCACCAGAGTGCTGTGCATTCTGCGAGGCTCGAATTACGACATTGAGAAAGAGATGGCCGTTCTCCAAGACGACGTGGACAAAATGGCGAGGGTGCAGGGTGGCTTGAAGGATCTCATCGGTACTCAAGCCGGGCGTAGAGCCATCATCGTCTGCTTGGGTCTTATGAGCTTCCAGCAACTGTGCGGCGTGGACGCGATCCTCTTTTACACGGTCAACATCTTCCAGGCTGCCAACAGCACGATCGATCCCTTCGTGGCGAGCATCGTCGTCGGTGTCGTCGAGGTGTTGATGACGATAACCGTCGCCCTCGTCATTGACAGGTAGGAGCACCAATGTGATTCGGGGTTCCCTCGCGAAAATTTCTTTCAGAGCGGCATTGTATCTCTGGGGATGCAAACGCCATTGTTAGCGGATTGACAGCTTTGTGCGTTTTAGCATCAATACGCGCGGCAATATCTATCTCTCTCTTTTTCTCTACGTCTCTTTTTCTTCAGGTTCGGCCGCAAGCCGCTTCTGATAATATCCGGCACGGCGATTACCATCGACCTGGCCATCCTGGGCTATTACTTCAAGCTGGAGAACGAGGGTGACGTGAATGCCATCGGCTGGCTGCCGCTCACCTGTCTCTCCACCTTCAACATCTTCTTCTCCATCGGCTACGGTTCCGTGCCGTTCACGGTGATCAGCGAGATATTCCCGCCGCAGACCAAGGGCGTCGCCAGCAGCATGTCCATCGTGGTACACTGGAGCCTGGTGTTCGCCGTCACCAAGCTGTTCCCGACTATGGAGGACAGAATGGGCCCGGCCGCGACCTTCTGGACATTCGCGTGCTTCACCGCCGCGTCCGCTGTGTTCGCGTATGCCTTGGTGCCGGAGACGAAGGGAAAAACGTTGCAGGAAATACAGAAGAAGCTCGAACGAAAGAGTAAGACGAGAACTACGGACTACCCGGTCGAGCCGGTCTGATGCTCGAAGCAGGCTGCCGAAAGCGTTCATTTCGTCACGCTTTTGCAGCGTCAAAATTTCAAAAGCGATGCTTTCGAAACGTCGAGGTTTTTCTTCTTTTTTTATTTTTCTACCAAGAGTGTGCTTGTTTGTAGAAAAATCGCAAGAGTCGAGAGAGAGAGAGAGAGAGAGAGAGAGATATCTTCAATTTGTATAAATTATTTATCTGTGCTAATTTCTACGCAAATAATATACAAAGACTGAACTCACATTGTCTTTTATATGAGATCTGCGCTATATTTAGAGCAAGTTAGAAATCAACGATGTTATAAGAAAGAATCGATGTCTAAATGATAGAAAATATCATTTGTGTAAAATCGGCATAACCTAAAGATTTCATCTTAGTTTTTTATCTTCTTTTCGTGTGTATATATTATGCAATAAAAAACAATGCGGTAATCTTTCACAGCACACTCGTTATTGATTAAAAAGTTAATATCCTTTTATTCTATTACTAAAACTTCTTGCCTCATTACCTTTGTTTATTTATTATCAGTAGAAGCGATGACTGCGAGTGTGCTCGCAGCGGAGATTCGGAAATAGCGCTTTGAGGTAATTGCCAATCCACTAGACATGTTAAGTCGTTATCTGTGCAAAGATAGTCCAAGTGATTAAATTTTAAGAGCAAACCTCTTCTGCGTCATGCCCCACTTAATTGCGACTGGCGGCCTACCTACCTAGCGCCACATAGTGGCGCCACAAAGAGATTCCGTTAACGGTTTTCAACTCGGCTAAGCGACGTTCAACTTTTGGTAAAGTAAGGTTTGTGTCTTGGCTAAACGGCTTCGTAGTTAGTTTCAAAGACTCCGCTATGAGGCGCCACCGATTTCAGCATCAGCGCAGCTTGATTCAATGGCGGAGATCGAACGGTCTTACCGTTTTCCAATAGTACGATGATGAAATGATGACGGCGCGTTAAACGACCGTGTTATTTTCCAAGAGGGGCTTAACGGCAGGTGAGAAGCTTTCTTTTCATAAATATCTGATACTAGGTCGATGTGAGATGAGAGGCGAAATGGAAATATGTCGGCAGAAATTGATACGTTTGTCTCGTTCTCTGCGATGGCATGAAATTTTCAAAGCTAGCATTTGCCTTGCCGAAACTTGCCGAAGCTCCTCTCCGGTATTTCTGACTCGCGATATATTGACGCTGCTTAGAACTGCAAATATTCAATACAAAATATATAGTGAGCGATGAGTGTGTTACTTGTATCGTAGAATTTCGAGCGATCAGCTTTTCGGATGTTCGCTTTTTCTCCGTGAGAAATCATACGAATAAAGAGAAAGATGTAAAGAGAGAGAGAGAGAGAGAGAGAGAGAGAGAGGCAGGGAGAAAAAACGTGAAAGGGTGAGAGAGAAGCCTACAGTAACAGGACACTGATAAGACAATTTAGTCGTAGAGTGCTATTGCATTCTGTTTCAATGGGCAGATTATCGTTTGATTCGAGCTAGGGATCAAGTCGGTATGACGAGGTTAAAGGAGATAGCACCATTCCCCGCGTGCATTCTTCGGACATGCTCACAATAGCGACATCCCGTCTGTGACACCGCTTTTCGCACACGATGTACGTACGCGCTTTGTGCTCGGTATTGGCTTCAACGCGATTACGTCGCCCCACTTGACGCAAATCCTCCCTTCTGTGCTTCTGCTTCTTCCCTGTCGTCATTACGATTGTAACGCGATGCAAATTACGATGTTTCCGAATTATACGCGACGCGGCGGAAGCATCGCGCGAGCTTAAATTCATGCGCAAAGTGAATTTTTCCCCCCTTGGCGGAAAAATCGCCTTACCGGTCGTTATACCTTAAATTATGGATGTAAAATGTAACGCGCGCTTATATGCGTTCTGTGCATTACAACAGCGAGATGGAATTTTTACGTCTAGATTAACAGCACGGACACGTGCCCGCGGAAAGGAATGAAATTTCTCGCGAAGGCGTAAATAAACGACCGGACATCAGCGCTTGAACAGAGAAGCAAGAACTTCGTGACTCTATAAATCCTAAGTAGGACTCGGTTTCCGGAGGTTTCAGCAACTTATCCTGCATAAGTTGCGCCGATGACAGCGGAAAGGAGTTTCGTCGCTCCTTTCCGCTGTCTCCCCGAAGACTGTTGTAGCGCTAGAAAAGCACGTGAAAAGCAGGATCACACATGTTTTTGAGAATGGTGTGACATGTAAAAACGGATTTGGGAAGTAATATCCGGCTTGCCGTTTCTTTATTCCTTTCATTGTTGCCAGCTTCTCATTGTTGCTGTAAAAGTGCCCTGAGTGCCCGAGTCTTAATGTGTTTAAGAATACATGTGGGGATTTATCAAATCTACCTTCATACGTTCATATTTTTCTGATATATATTTTCTCTCTACATTCTGATGGTATATTTTGTCCAAAATTATATAAACCAGCGTCGTAAATCTTTATTTTTGACTCGCTTTATTTTTGACATACCGGAAATCTAGGGCCAGCCGCGTGTGTTCTGCTGCGCTTTTGAAACCAAAAATATATCATCGTAGATTAGATAGGAGGATTAATGGCTTAGCGAAAAAAATACGCATGGATATGAGCTTTTACGATCGTCGTAAATCAATAATTTTTACTTGGACAACTGGACCTGGGATGTTTCAGGTTTCCGGCCTGAAGAGGGTTAAATGCAAGGAAACGGAATTCTAAGAAAACTACCTCCGGGAGCCGATCTTGCCCGGCTCGAACTGAAGCCTCTGGTATAACATAACCGCGTGCATTGAAGCTGCGCTTTCCAAGAATCGTATCCATCGTGTGGCCACAATCTCCAACAGATCTGGGACAAGAAGTAAGTTCTCTGGTTAACTGTATCGATGGAACATATGTCAAACTCAAGTCTCCGGCTCAAGGTGATACATTTTTCATGAACCGACGAAGGTATAAGGCGACAATTACTCTCGCAGCCGGAAAAGGCGGAGATCATAATTTTTTTTCATTTATAACAACAAACATTGATCTAGTGACACCACGATGCTTCCTTTCGATACGTGTAGAATACGACGTCTATTGCATCGCGTAAAAAATATGTAAATAATAACTTTACGTAAGATATCTATCCGCAGAGCACACAGAGCGAATGAATGAATCAAAGTACACGTAAGATACATAAGCTAACGTTCTCGACTCGGGAACACTACGATTAATTTGGAAATCACTCGTCCCGAGATTTCGCGTTCGTAAATACATATTGTTCTCGACTTGAATCCCTTCGGACGTTGAATCGAGGTCAAAATGTATATTTCGTAATCCGTGGCTATTGTAACTATACATACGAATGGAATATCGCGCGACATCGCTAGTTAACACATTCGTCATAGAGGCAATACATCTCACGTAACTTATCCCGAATCGGTAGATTATTTCGCGCTGGATATTGCGATAAGCGTCGTGTACCTACAAGATATTTTACAGCAACTCTACGTAGATTAAAATGCGCGCGTTTCCGCATTTTTCCGTCGCAAACTCATCCCTCATCGATTTTGACGAGTCTTGGATAACTGCTTGGATAATCAAGCGAAACTTGATATTCGACTTGTATTCTTCTTCTGTGCTTATTTCGACTTATTTGAGATGTAAAATCGACGAGGACAGCTCTGTTCTCTCTTCCTTCTAAGACGAAGCTGAGATTCCCCGGTTAATAATTCAATGGAGTACTCGACGTTCGATGATACTCGCTGGTAATTTCACGACTAGACGTTGATACTCGAGGGTACGTATGTCAGCGCGTTTATTGCGCGTTTCACTTACCCGGCGATATCAATTAACCCACTCGAGAATTGGAGAGGTTGAAAATAGGAGAACTTATTGCAAGATCGCCGCCGACGAGAGAGCCGCGAGAGTACCTTCACCTTAGACTCGTGGGAATGTACGTCCGGATATACTTTCCGAGGCTAACGTACCGCCGAATAACTTTTCGAATTCGCGGAGTTTGCGAAAAGCGCACACATATACGCGCGGGACCATTATTGGCCGGGTTATACTCGTTACGAGGACGATCGTACGTTTCTCGCGTATCTCGCTGATTAATCGTCACTACGCGCGGCCAATCTCAGATTGAAACGCTAATCCTAAATCGCGGCTTATTCGAGGACGCGGATGGTGATGAAAACCGGATGGATAACACCGCGCTCTGACCAATCACATGTGCGGTGACTTTTCCCCGTTAAACTGCATCGCGGGATAACGCTAGTGATCCCGCTGGACGAGAGAAAATCACATCCAGTCCGAGGGAGCTGACAGAAGTCGACGATGAATAACGCCCTCGTGCATTAATTTGGCGGCGCGTTAACTCAACGCCCCGCCTACGCCTGGTCATAATGCCTTGGCCCTGCCAGATCTAACGTCGCTCTCAGCATTGAATTGATATTTCGTCGGGTCAGGTACACGCGCAGCAAGGTAAACCGCGCCGCGGACCGACCGTTGACATTTTAACACGGGCTGGGTCAAAATCGTGTGATAGAGAGGAGGAGAGGAGAGTATAATTCTCCCGGGAGACCGGGAGGAAATCAACGGGGAAACGGCGAGCCGCGTACATTCGCTTCGTCCTTCGCGAGGGTAATCCTAACAAATTTGCGACACCGCGACTGCTGAGTCGCCGCCGCCGCGTTAAGATGCGCTGCTCGATAGGGGGTAATTTTGAAGGAATTTCCGTGTAAGCTCATTCACCGCAACTTTCATATTTCGGATAGCAGTTAAGCTTGAAATTGCGTCGCCTCGTCGTGAGAGCGATATTTCCGAGACACGCGTTAATTGAGAAGAAGAAGATTCCCGCTGTCTGGGCTGAATTCTACTCCAGAGAGCTCGATCTCTCGTCGTCTTCTGTTTCATATTAAGGCTCGTGACCCACACACGTCTACTTAATATCCACTCTGAGGAGCCTCCCCCTCCACTTATCGAACTACCACATCTACCCCATCAACTAGTTCGACCAAACTGATCGAAGTTTCCATCTCCATTATCGAGGCTCGCGTATCATCGTAACGGGAAACTGATCACAGCGACGACGATGACGGTAGCATGTGAGCGTGTAGCGCCGCGGATGTATCCTTGATTCGGCCGATGTATATGACGCGTAATGAAAGCTCCGTTGAAATTTCCGCCGGCAGAGACCGATCGAAAACCCTCGACCAGTCTCGGAGCAGCTCGACGCAATTTCGCGTCTCGTCAGCCGGGAACCCCGTTATCCTGATGAAGATACCGTGTGTAACGGACACGGGCCGATCGCTGGGAACCTCGTGGAAACGGTAATCGCGTAAGAGACGAGAATTACATGCTCCCGCGGAAGAGCCGGCGTTGGCGCGCGTTAACTCGCTCTCATCCGGCGGAATCTGGTGTCGATTGGCGGATTAATTACAGCGCGTGTCCTGCCGAGAACGGGGGTTACAATCCGCCCGGCCGGTCTGGCTGTTTGCCGTATCCTGCTCGTCTACACCACCTCCACCACCTGCAGGGGGTTGGTTGCGCTCGCTGCGAGCCCAGGGTGGGGGATAGCGTCAGCAACGGTAGCGGCGGTGGGTGTTCGTGCAGGTACGCGGTATCCTCCGCGACCATCGCCACCACCACCACCACCACCACCACTACCACCACCACCACCACCTCCACCGCCTCCACCGCTGCTGCCGCCACCACCACCACCACCACTACCACCACCAACACCATCATCAGTACCAAGTATTATCACCAGCACCAATACCAACACCAACAGCGTCGGGACACTCCGTCGCCAACCCCCCTCATCGTGTTCTCGTCGTGACGACGCGTGTGTTCGAGACCCCGGTGTGTGTACATACACGTCACTATGTCGACTAGGATTCCGTGTGGCCGGCGTTCTTGACTCGGCGGTTCGTTCGATAGGCGCGCGCGCGCACGCGATGCCGATGGGGTTCGGTGCCGACAGTGCCGCCACAGCTCTCGCAAGAGACGCCCGTGATTTTGCACCCCCGCTCGAGCAGAATTTACCGGACTATACGACGAGGGTGCACCACGGCTCTCTCTCTCTCTCTCTCTCTCTCTTTCTTTCTTTCTTTCCCTCTATCTCTTTCTTTCTGTCTTGTCTGTCTCTGTCTGTCCCTCTCTGCTTCTATCTGTCTATCTCTCTCTCTCTCTCTGTCTCTGTCTCTCTCTGTCTCTCTCTCTCTCTCTCTCTCTCTCTCTCTCTCTCTCTCTCTCTCTTCACTCACTCATCCTCTCTGTCTCCCGATCCTTCTCTCTTCCTTCTTACTCGCACACACGGATCCTCGCACAATCCTCTCCTCGCCGCTGGACTGTCTCACCCTTTCTCGCTTTTCATCTTTGACTCTCGGTCGTCGTTGAACCGCTCGCTCGGTCGTACCACTCGCGTCGCGACGAAGCCCGTACCTTCGCCGGATAACACGGTGACGAATGATGAGTGAGTGTTGACGGAGTCGACCGCCGTGGAGTCTCGCCGCTGGTGGCCCGACGCCTCGTGGTGGTGGGTGCTCGTGATGATAGTGGCCCGCTGATCGTGAGGCGATTACGCTGTTTGCTGCGAGAGTGCGAATGTGTGTGGGGGCAGACGCGCCTTCCCCGCCGGTCTATATATCTTGGCGAACTGGCTAATCGCGTCTTAGTCGCACATCACCGACAGCCAGCCTTCGGCCAGGCTCTGCTGGCGTCGTTCACGTGATCCCGCTGGAACGGGATCGAGCTGTAAACGTTGAGAGGGTCAGGGTGATCGACCGGAGCGGGGCGGCGGGGTGAACGGAGATACTCTGTGACAGCGCACATACCCAGCGTGCGCTTGTTCAAGTTTCATTGCCGAAGAACGGTATAGAACGCACGAGAAGAGGTGCAGAGGATCGAGGAAGGATCAGGCTCCGGATCGTATCGATCGAGCATCGAGATCGTGGATCGCGCGGGCTTAGTCGCTGGATCCGCTCGACACGCGCGGTTAGTGTCGCGCGCGCGCGCGCTTGACACGCAGCGATTGACACGACAGCTTACACACGCTTCAGTGACGCGTTTAATGATCGATGATGGTGGCGAGCCGCGGGCAATCACGTGGTCAACTTTCGCTCGCTATCTCACGCATGTATTTATAATGAAATTTAGCCGGAGAGACTCTCTGACAGTAGAGTGTCGGCGAAAGGGGTCGGGGTTTCAGCGTTGCCAGCGTGGTCGGTCGATGCTTATAGCAGGTAGTACCATGACACTCGTAGTCGCCGACATTCGGAATGAGCTGTGTGCAAGCACGGACTCCTTGACCTCTTAAAGTCGCAACACACGACACAAGGAGTGCACGTCTCGCGATGTGTAACCCGCTCTCAACAATATAGCGAGGCTGAGCTCGCGCCGGGCGAAAGTCGCAGCGGAATAACTCAGGTGGTAGCGATCGAACTTCCGGAAATTTCAAGAACTTCGTCGTCGACTTGGAAAGCACGTCAAATCGGCTTACACGCTTTACACGCCTTACCATCGCGGGCACCGCAATACGGCGCAACACCGTCGTAATCTGTCAGAAGCGCAACGACGCGCTTTCCGATAAGCGAGGTCAGTAGAAACTTCCAAGTGCGAGCAGCCGAAAAGTCTCCACCGCCATCCGTCACGCACGTCAACATACACACAACACACACACACACACACACACACACTCCCTCTCTCTCTCTTTCTCTCTCGGCTACGACGTTCGGTCGTATTCACCTAGTCGCCGGCCGGCCACCTAGTAAAACGTCGTGAAAAGGTCTCCGCCGGGCACTTCGAGTCCTGCCTGGCCCCGTAAATCCATTCCACGGCAAATCGATCCGGTGGCTGCCGGAAAAACAAGCCGTCGTAATTTCGCAGCGTGGTGCATCGGTATCACTGACGTGCAGGCACAGAGTGTACAAGGCCGCGTTCGCGAGACGCTGATGTCTTTCGTACGCGAGCTCCGTTCAACAACGGCTGAAACCCGAATGCATCTTGTGTCTCCGCACCGAAGAAATATTGAGCCGTCGACCGGAGCCTTTGCTTTGACGTCGCGCGACACCGAACCAAGTGTGATCCAAGTGTGATGCAACGTGAAGTACAATTAACGAAGAGAGAGAGAGAGAGAGAGAGAGAGAGAGCGAGAGAGAGCGAGAGAGAGCGAGAGAGAGAGAGAGAGAGAGAGAGCGAGAGAGAGAGCAAGAGAACGACGAGGGGGAGAGGGAAGAAAGAGGAGATGCTTCACGCGAGTTCTCGCTGACGCTTGAGACGGAGAGAAACCGAGGAACCGTTGGTACAGCCGAGTAACCCGGATGCAGAAACCGATGTGAGAAACCGAGGCGTCGCGCATAAATCAACGAGAGGAGGCAGGAGGAGATAGAAAATCGAGGGACGACCGGCAGCAACCCCATATCCCGCTGTAATCCTTTTACGCTCCGCGCTCCCGAGGATCCCGTCGACCAATAACACAGCGTGGCGTGTATCGACCGGCCGAGCAATCGAGTCCCGAGGCAATTTAACGGTAGCATGAGGCCGACAAGTCCAGGATCGAAAGGGATGATCGAGCAAAGGTCCCAATGACATCTCGGCGGGGTGGGAGCGAGGGGTATAAAAGTCCTCCCAGCCCTCCGAGCAGCGGTTCGGAGGACAATGGTTTCACGAACCGGCCTCGGGTGGCCGGGCTCTACGTGAAGAACCTCAGCAGAGAGGAATTGGACGAGCTAGCGAAGGAGGGTATTTATGGGCCCACGGGCAACCCGAACGACCGAGCCAGGGACGGCGGTAGTCAGAGAAGTCTTAATCTGCCGGGTAGTAGGGAAGCTCTGGATCATCCCAGAGGAGTGACCTCTAGGACACCTCAGCCACCTAGGAGATCCGCTGCCGGAGCCAGATACCGTGAGCCCAGCGAACTATCGGAGGACTTGGCGCGGAGGGATCACCATGGCTCGCTTCCTCTGGAAAGGGGATGGTCAAGACGACTGGAGGATCGTCCAGGCCGGGACTCGCCGGAGAGATCCGCTCGAGGATCCTCCGAGTTCCCCGTCGCCTGGAGAGAGCCATTCGCCCGGCCAGGCGTTAGCGCATCGCCCAGAGGAAGTTCCGTCGACGTGCGAGTCACCGGCGAGGAAGCTAGGATTCAGCCGGCTGTTCAGCCACGTCGCTTCGCGGAGGGTCCCAGGCGTCCTCCGGAGGCACCCCCGCCCCGTGCCTCTCCGTCGGTGGGAACCTTCATCGGGGATCAAGCGACGCCGGGACCGATGAAACGTTCACCACCACCGTACGCGGGTCTCAGTCCACCCGAGTACACCGAGGAGCCGCGGACGTCGAGGGCTGGTCCCAAGACCATTACGAGCAGGTCCCAGCAGCTCGGCAGGGACTCGCCGTACGAACGTGCGACTTCACCGTTACCGGCCGACGACAAAGACTCTGAGAGTTCGAAGCTAGCGAGTCCGCGCGCCGACACCAGCAAGATCGAGGACGTCCATCTGAGTCCATCGCGAACACCGGTGACCGGTGAGAAGCCGACCTCGCCGGACTCCAAGAAGAGCGAGTCACCACCGGTGAAGAGAAGCGGCTCCAGGGTGCAGGACAGGCTGCGGCCACCATTGGCCGGCACCGCTGGGACCTCCGCCGACTCCGGCACCGGGGACTCTGGCAGCGCGGAGATCCAGGCGGACGTAGCGAGCCCTCAAACGACGTCGGCCGATATTCTGGACGCCAACCTGGCGGCCAAGATCGACGGCAGATCGCCCGGCTCGAAGACACCCGGCGGCAAGGGCGGCAAGCAAACGGTCAAGCCGTTCACGAAGGAGAGCCTCGACAGGTTGGAGAACAAGACTGTGCAGTTAGTGCGCGACTATGGCTTTCAACCGAAGAGAAAGATGTCGGTGGAGGATGGTGCAGTACTGCCAAACAAATTCGAACCGTTCCCGACCGAGCTCTACGGCAGGCCACTGGAGGAGATCGACAACTTCATCTACGACGAGGTGAGTTTGCCACTTAGATCTCTCTCTCTCTCTCTCTCTCTCTCTCTCTCTTTCTCCTTTTATTATCATCCCGTCTTCTTCCGCGCCCTGAGCATCTCCTTTCTTGCGCTGGTTTACTCAAATGATGTCACCCGGTAGATGAGCGTTTGAATTTCATCATGCAATTGTTCGACTGCACTGCTCGGCAATTTTGAACAATTACGTTTGCGCTATTCCTAATTTACGGAATAATATACGGCAACGAGTAATACGGCGCGGCAAATATTTACCGTGAATCTCTCTATTTACCGTGGGTGGGATCTCTCTATCTTGGTGAGGAAGGACCAAAGGTCTTCTTTTGGACCAAAAACAAGTTTACGCGTCACACATTCTTGCGCGAAAATCGAAGCGCGATCGCACTTCGAGATACTTCGAAAGTTTCCAAGTGTTTGTTTCACCTAGATCATCGTAATCACTTCAACCTGTAAGTTTCGCGGAGCGAGGAGAGGGTGGTACGTTAGAAAACCACGCTGGATAACGCGATTCATCTCGTGGCGATGCAATTTCGGCAGATATTCCTAGTTCATATCGTACAGTCGGAAGGGCCGGGAAAACGGCGAAAGCGCATATCGCTCGGCTTTCGTATCTGTAAATAAATTTCATCCCTCGGTCGTGGAGCGAGTGGAACAGAGGTGAAAAAGAGGTAGGCGGCAATAGAGAAGAATGAAAAAAGAGAGAGACCGAAAGGGGGAGGAGGAAGCGAGCCGTCGTGGAGGTGTGCGCGCAGGGCGGGCGGAAGGAACTTAAAACAACGACGAAGAGAGAAGGAAGAGAAAGCACGAGAGACAGACAGACAGACAGAGAGAGAGGGAGAGAGAGAGAGAGGGGGGGAGAGAGAGAGAGAGAGAGAGAGAGAGAGAGAGAGAGAGAGAGAGAGAGAGAGTGGGCGTTGAGAGAACGGCATGAAGGAAAGAGTGAAGTGGCGGAGGGGGAGAAAAGGAGAACGCGGATCGAAGCAGGACATCGAGTGAAGGAAAAAAAATCAAACGGCAAAAGAGGAGAAGGGTTGGCACAGAGCAAAGAGGGTAAAAAAAATTAGGCGGCTTCTCGCGCGTGTCTGCGTTTGTGTATGTATGCGAGAGTGCATATACGTTATACACGTCTATTTATATTAAAAATCGATCGACTGCAACTATTCGTGACTTGTTCTCAAATAAGGAGCCTTTATCGAATCCCCGGGAGAGGATTATGTGGGTCACAAAGACACACCGGATTTCTGTAATTATTTTTTTGTCTTTCTTCGTCTGTCGTTTCTCTTCGGCTTCTCCAGATCTTTACTTATTGACCAAGAGAGATATGGCGTGGTCCGATATTTGGGAGCTCTCACTCCCCGAGTGTTAATCTGCTTGGCTTCGTGCATTTCGGCACTCTATTTCACACACGTCGTTTCACTTGGCAGTAATTAAAATTGTACTTCACTCGCGAAGTTACAGACTATAATCAACCACTAGTGGTAGAAACGGGCTTTTATTTGGACCAGCTTTGAATCGGTCCATATTAACCTACGGTTAAACGAAAAGAAGACTCACGCCCGCGCCGGCGCGATAACACTTAGAATACACCATATGTTTATGATTTTTATCTCACACGTACCGATCGTTAAGCGTGAAGTTTAGACGAGCTTCCTCGGCAAACCAGCGACGATCTTCTCTCAGCAGCAAGACCTTTCCGCTGAAGAGACCTAACTGCTGAAATGTTTATTATTAAATGGTTTCTCCCGCTCAAGCGATTCGTAAAATGTCGTACCGTGTCTAAGACCGTGTCTACTTGACGTAACGCAATTTCCATTAGTCTCCGTTGCTCGTAAATTATCATAACGGATACGTTTGTACGCGCGGCGCCGTTTGTTCACGGTACTCAAGTACCGGCTCGATACGTGAGCGCGCGCGACCAAGCAAGAAGAAGAAGCTTAAGCTTCGGTAAGCTCGTTAGGTTCCTTATGCAAGGGAGCAATGAATCTTTCTTGAACGACTGGCGAGTTGTTATTGCTCGCCTCTCGCGCTCGCGCTTTTTCGCGAATGAAAGCGTCATCATATTTCTTTCGCGCTATTTCTGTCGCGGCCAGAGCGAAAACCGCCGCGGCGCGGCCCGAGTTAATGTATCTTTAATATCGCGACGCACGGGAGCGAGAAAATAAAACGTCGCTCCCGCATGCTCTCTGCGCGACTGAGAATGGGAGGAGCATTATTTATATCGGATGCAACGCTTCGCGCTACCGTTAACGAGTTATTGCGCCCCACGGGCGTCGCGATTCCCCGCAGCGAAGAAAGTCCACGGTTTTTCGGATCAGTCCCGGTATTATCGTTATCAGATTCCATCCGGGCCGCTCGCCGTACGTTCGCGCGGCATATAAATATGGTAAACTAGTTTGCGGTAATTATGTTAGCGTACCCTCCGTGCTCCTTCTTCTCCCTATCCGTGCTACGTGATATCCGCCGTGCAGCGAACCGCGAAAACGCGTCCCATAATTTCCGCAATGATGGAAAAGCCCACTGCGGCCGATGTTGATTCTCGCGTAAGAAGAGAAGGTGCGCGATGTTTTCTAACCCCCTTTCTAAACTTGGAACTAAATCTACATTTTCTTTGATATATATATATATATATATATATATATATATATATGTAAATATACATATATATTGGAATATAGATCGTGGATCTGAATGACTTTTTGGACGGACGACTCGAAGGATGCATAATCAAGCGATTCTATCGTTGTTCCTGAAATAAGGAGGAAAGTGGCAGAAAGTGATATAAATTGAGCGAGAGAGAAATGATCCGCTTTCGGAAATTATGGCGCATAATTACGTATCCAAAGGGAGAATAAAAATATCTCCAGCTGAATGCGGATGAAGATATTGTGAGCGTATAATTGTCGCGAATTTCTTTCACAAAGCGCGAGGGAGAAGGGAGGAAAGGACGGGAAGACAGCACGGGAAAAGCAGATGCAAGGAGATATTCTTCATGAAGCCAAGCTTTCAATATCTCCCAGTGGCATTTTCGCAGGCGGATCACGTGCCGCGATACCCGATCTGTGACATTTCCGCCGTTTGTCTGCAACGTACGTTCGCAAATTGACAACGCGGCAAAAAGAAAGCACGTTAGCAGCGGCAACAAGAATATCGCCTTCGCAGTCAATTGTCGCGAAAGTCAACAACTCCCGCAGTTTTAAAACGAACACACGTTTCGCATTGTTGAGCGGCTCTTCTTCACTCGACCTTTTATAATATGCATACATGCGCGTGTTTGTTCCGAAAGATTTCCCGTCGAATGTCTACGGCAGAAGTCGCACGAGCTGTTATCAGAAACGACGCGATTTCGCCGCGGCCGCCAAATTGCCCGTGATTTTATCGAGAGGAACCCGCGATTGACGAAAGGAAAACAAATATAACTTGGAGCACTCTGCAGATACTCACGAATCTCATTAAGTAACAGTAGCAACACACTTCGACTGTACACTGGTAGAAAAATATCGTTGAATTAACTATAATCTCACTATATTTTGTAGTTCATTTTGGCGTCAACCATATTTTTATAGTTCGTGGAATCTGCAAAATATAGCAGAATAAACACAAATATATAGCAAATGATTGTCTTAAATAATTATTTAGTTACTTTTACCACATATACGGTAATTTCTCATTCACAAATATGGTGAGATTCAATATTCCATATAGTTACATCTGTCATCATTTAGCAAATATTCTGATAATGTTGACTATATATATACAAAAGAGTTACTTTACCTACTACTTTATATTTGTATCCATACAATAATTTTAGTTTAACTTATTATAATTCTTAGAAAAATTATCATATGGTTGGTTACACTATGCCTATATCGTAATTATTACCGATATTATGGCAATACTTGCTACAAATATAATATTTCGGACTATAATTTAGTTACTATATCATTATATAGCTCCGAATATCATATACTTTCCTCCCAGTGTATACACAGTCGGCCTCTACGATTCTTGTTTAAGTTAAGACCCTCGTCGTAATTACGTTAATTTCTCGCGCGCGTAGCGGATTAATTGTTACGCAATCTTACACTATCCTTGTGACTCGAAGCGGGGCACCGTCGCCCCGACGGAATTTCAGTTATACCGGGATATTTGACGTTGCGAGTTAAAAACTTGCGCGACGGCGTTCAATGGAAACAGGGAAAAAACGACTCAACTGGAACGACTCATCGAGCGCAATCTCTCCATTGCCGGCCGGAAGCATGCGACTTTTTCGTCGAGTCGGACCGCGAATCGCTGGCGAATAGGGAAGAAAGGGAAGAAAGAAGGGAAGGAAGAGAGACAATTGCTCAACAAGACTGATTGAGATACGTCACGTAATTTTCCCGACCACTCGGAGCCTTTATTCCGTCTCGAGACCATCTTGACCCGTTTCCCTGGATTTTCCGCGACTTCTATCAGAGAAGTCGAAAGCCCGACGCCTACGACGACTTACGATTCTCTTACGTGCTGGCTCGCGATACAGTTTTCGCGAATTTGCGTTAACTCTTCAGCGCGTGCGCGCGAGTATTAAGCGTGTACGTGGTTCCGCTTGATTATACGCTTCGCCGCACAATGCATAATTCTACCTTAGAGCAGAGCTCGCCCGCTACATCCGATAATTCTACTCTTTCCCTCGCCTCCCCTCTCTCTCTCTCTCACTCTCTCTCTCTCTCTGTCTCGGTATCGTCGTCGTGCCTGGCAGACGAACAACAGAGAGTGCCACCAAAATTTCGAAAAAAAGAAATATCTGTCCGCACGTTACATAGATAGCCCCATCCGACCCGGTTTCGCTGAAAGTGGACTGCGAAAATCGACGCGATCCATCAGCCCTGTTATATGAAGTATTCCAGGGTTGCTCATAAATCCTCTCGGAAGAACCTCTTAATTCCGGCATAAAATATTGTCGTAATTGAATCACTCCGGGAAGAACGTCGTCGCGGAGAATGGCCG